TGAGCAGTTCCACTGTCCACTATCACGGGCGGGGAGGGGGACCACCATCGTCCAGAGACAGGGGGCAAGGGGGGGTTAGAGAGGTGCCCACCCTGTTGGAACGGTAAGGCACCTTTTCTTGGTGCTTGTGCCTGTGCCTGTGCCTACATACTATGGTAGTAGTTCACGTTCTATACCGGTGCCAGTGCCTGAGCTCGAGGTCCAGCGCCTCGCCTTGCCAGCCCGAGACTCACCTTGCTGGATACGGACGCCTAGCGCTGCTACACTATAATGTCCACACAGTCCATTGTCAAGGTTGCAGCTGCTGGGTTACGACGTGGGAAGCAAACGACTGGACGAGGGCCGACAGTTGCCAAAACCCAGCGGACGATTCCGAACGAACCGGGCCCAGCTGGAAACGACATGCATTGAGCAATGAGAGGTGGCAGCTCAAGATGAGATGAAATGAGATGCTGCATGGGATGAAAAAAAAAAAAAGAGTCTGACCAAGTCAAGGGCACAACCTAGGCCGGGAGAGAAAAAAAAAGCCACCCACCTACCCAACGTGGACTAAGCAACATCGAGCACAGTAAGCCCCGACAGGAATGGCCTGCTTCGCGTCGTACTCCATGGGCAAGAGCAGAATGCGCGTGCGTGTTGTGCCAGTTCTTCTTTCTTTTTCTGTGCCCTTCCTACATATAGTTCTATCCTATTTTGTTTTGGTTTTTTGCGAAAGGCCCGTGGGCAGAGAACGGCCACTTTTACGGGTACCTTATATTGCAGGCGTCCTGCGCGTCACTCTGGCACCCGTTGGTTTCGCCCACCACGGCTTCATGGCGGCACCCGCTCGCCCAGCAGGCTAGCAGAGGTCCAGACCAAATGATGTCCCGGCCCTACGAACCATGACGGGCTTCTTGGACGCCACCAGAACAACAAACCGCACAATGGGCCGGCTGTGGGCTTCCGCCCGTGAGTGAGGGCTCATGCCAGTCAGTCCGAGAGGTAAAGGACCAGAAGACATGGGGCTTTTCAAGCCAGGCCAATGAATACGAGCCAACCATCTCGACAAAGACAGAAATAAGCAATCGTGTCCCAAAAAAAAGTCGCTAAACAAGGTTTCGTTTGCCCATCCGACGACTTGTAGCGACGGCGGCCAGAAGCAAGGTGCGCTCAAAATGGTGCCATGCCAGCAACGGCTTGCACGCCATCACTCGTCGGGGCCTGTGGCTGACTGTACACTACACTACGACGGACCATCATCCTGGATCAAGCTCGGGTCTGTCCTGTGCCCTTCGTCCCTCGCCGGAGCTCTCCGTCGTCTTTTCCCACCGACAATGCATTGTCCTGGGCCCGAGAGGCGTTGCAGACGGAAGCGTGGCGTTGGCTGGCACCTCCTCCATGCCTCGCGCCGTCGAGTTTCCACCACCTCGTATTTTTGGCCAGAGTCTGCATCGAAACGTCTAGACGTTGTTTTCCGAGCCCTTTGCCAGCCGCACGACATCGTTGCTGTCTTTGTGGTACCGAATCCGGATGCAGAATGCAGATACAGTGCGCGGTACCTGCGTCTCGTCCCTGACATTGTTCCTCTAGAGGAGGGGCGCCTTTCGTCGACGTGGAGTCGTGGGGCCTTCACTGCCATGGCCCACGGCCGGCACCCCGGGCGAACGAACTTGTGGACAGGACGGAAACGGGTGAGCCCTTCTCCAACCGCACGATATCGCGATGCGTTAAGACGAGGGATGGGCAAGGCACGCCATCTGTAGCCACGGCGCTGCGAAACTCTCGCAGGGCACATGCCCGCACCTGCGCTTACACGAAATGAGTGCTACGCATTATTGTCCGTTGTGCATGCAACCTCGTCCAAGTCGTCCCGGGGCCTTCCCTGGCCTTGCCCGGCGCGGCCATCCAGACCCTCGAGGTACTATCAGACGTTTGACGTGCCGAAACGCCCATTGACAACGGCTGCTGTAACGGTCTTCTTGGGGGGAACCAAACGAAAGCAACACGCCCACATGCCGTTGGCAATCTGGTCTGGCAGAAGGGGGCCCCGATCCCCTGATTTCTCCTAGTGCGCGGCAGGCACGCTCATTGTCTCTCTGTCGGGGGCCTTGCTCAATCTACATAGTATGTAAACGGGTGAGGCTTGGCGGGCAGGGCCATCATGGGACGAATTTCGTTTCCTTCAGAAACAAACACTGGGGAGCCCTTGTCCCGTCTGTCATTGTAGCCCCCTTGCTGTCCGTCCTGCTTACGCGCCCCTTTTTGGACGGCACAGGGGGGGGGAGGGCCGTTTTTTCCCTGATGTCAGCGACCGAAGCCATCGTCTTTTTTCTTTTCCTTTACAAATGCCCCCGCTGAGCTTCACTGCCTCGTTGGCGACGGGTCTCTCTGGAGACGGACCCACGATTTAGGTGGTCGGCTTCTTCCCCGTGTTGCACGTCGTAGCCGTCGCATGCGCGTTGTTATACATAGTATACACTACAGCTAGCAATGGCAGCTTGGAAAGATGCGGGCGCTGTTTTAGTGCGTCTCAGGAGGCTCCGGGAAATCTGGAGACGGCCATAGTGCACCTGCTATCGACAGCTCGAACTACGAGCATCAAGCTCGGAGACCATGCTGCGCGGGTTGAAGGGGAGAGCCATTTTTCAAGCAGGGCAAGGTGTTACGTCGCTCCACGGCTGTACGTAATTCTCCCTTAACCTCCGATCGGCGCGGAGTGGAGCACAACGGAGGAAAGGCTTGCAACCTGCAAGCCTGGCCTGCCCCGAATCATCTCAGTCGAGGCGAGAGACGTTTCGACATCGTCCTGCTAAGGTTGCTGTGCAGACGTTGTGTACGGCATGGGTATCAATCGAGCGCAGCAACAAACGCATCCGTCCAGATGACGGTGCCACCCCCTCCGACACGAGCAGTCCGTAACGTCCAGCGGGTTCTCGCCCTCGTTCCCAAGACGACGGACGTCGGACGGAAAAGCTCGTATCAATCCAAAGCGCACGGAAGGCCGTGGTCCTCGTCGCTCTAGCGTGCTTTCGGGGGTAGGCAGCTCGCCATCTCACTTACACGATGCCGTTGCGCTCCGTCCCAGACACCCCCACCCCCTCCAGAGACCAGTCCCGTTTTCGTCCCTTGACTCATCTGGAGATGAGAGGCTGGCGCGGGCGGCCATGGTCGTAACTACCGGCGCCATCTGGTCCTTGTGGTCCTTGTGGTCCTGTGTCCTTGGCATGATGTAGGCAAGATCGACGAGCACCAGGCAAGATACCCCGGGGATGTTTCGAAGTGGGCGGGCAGCGACGGGGGTTGACGCAACGCGCCGGGGCACCGGGCGACGGCAACGGGGTCCCCAATCTAATCTGTGTAATCTCCCGTCGTCCCCTCTCTGTGCCCGGATTGAGGAAAATGGCCGCGATTGTTCAAGGGACGCAACCAGGAGTTGGCCTCAGCGAACCGGATTTTCAGAGGAACCAACGCCCGGGGTGGGATATATCGAATCAAACCCAAAGACTACGCAACATGAGACTCATGAGCGCAGTGACGGCACGTACATTCGCGGCGTGGTTACCGGCAAAGGCTTTATCGTCTGTTGTTGCTTACCTGCTCGCTTGCCGGCGGCCGGTTGTGAAGGGCGCACCGCACTTTATTAAAGCACGGATAGAGTTCGTGCAGCGTCGCACCAGCGAGGGCAGTCAATCTCTCGGCCTCTCGGCGGCTCGCGTGCGAAGACTGGACATGGAGTGTCTGTCTGTCCAGCCATCCTGTCGCAGCTCACTCTACACACTTTGGCACTCAAGGAAAGTTATTGGCAGCAGCGAGCTAAAAAAAAATTCAAAAGATAACCTTGTGTCCGGCCGAAAGCCTCAAGAGCACAGCCTGGATGGGCATGAGTGGAGCGAAACAACTATAGTCGAGCACAGCCAGAAAGCCCAGAAGGGGCCAGAACAAGCTCCACGCCTATCCTGTTCACGTCGGGCTGTACAGTATAGAGAGCATGATTGACCAAAGTCTTGGAGGACGGACCGGCGAGAGCCTTTACCACGACGGGTTTACACTCCTGAGACGACAAAGCCCTGACGGATGGATGGCACATGGTGGCAGCGGGCCAATCCCCGTATTGCACCCGCGGATCCGAGAGGTGACTAAAAGTCGCTGGAGAGGGCCGCGACAGCTTGTTTCGAGCACCGGCAGAGCATGTCGTCATTTTCCACTGTTAGTGTCGGCAACATCAGCCAACCGCAGCTGGGCGCGTCTTGTCTTTTGGCACCTCCAGCCGCACAATCAGTGGCTGATGCAGGTGCACAGCGAGCGTGTGTGAGGCTGGTACGCTGCGACCATATCGTAGGCGTGCGTGTCTGTGTGAGTGAAGAAGTGGCAGATGGCAGATTGTTCCCTTTCTCCTCGCGATGTATTCCTCCTCGCTCCGTACGTGTGTATGTACCTACAGGCCTTACCTAAGGTAAACGCAATTCAGGTGCCTGTCCGCCTGGAAAACCGGGCGCAGCACTGCGGCGCAATAAACTAAGGTATCAGCGTCCCGCGTTTCAATTTTCCGCGTATCCTGTACAGCGTGCTCGTACCGCATAGCACAGCACCGCAGCAACCTTACGGCGAGCTCCACTGCTTGACTTTTACCTTACTCAGTCCACCCATCCCACAGCTCTATCCCTACCTCATCCTGCCCAAAACGGCAAAGGTCACCTTATCAAGCACGTCTGGACCAGTTTCTTGCAGCAAAGCCACAAGGCAAATGTCGAAAAACCACGGGCTTCCTTCTTAATACCCGTCGGCGATGACCGGTCCTTGATTGATTCCACGGCCTGTCCGTCCGTTGTATATCTGGCCAGCCCAAGTCAATCCTTCCTTTACACCTAATGCACCGCGCCCGAGGCTCGCAGCTCTGAGTATACTTTGTCGCCTCAACTCGGAGTCGTTCCCTCGTTGCCCCTCTCACGACTTTACTTACCCCTCTCTCACTACACCCCCTCATCGTTACGTCTCTGGGCTTGACCTCCGGCTTTGACGTCATGGCCGACTACTCCTACGACGGGTCCTCGTCTTCGGCCGCACCGCCACCACCACCGCCGTACTCCGTGACTGCTTCCGCTTCCGGCTCCGGTAACTTTGGATCCACCTCCTCGTCCCTGTTCGCGCCACCCCCGACGACCGCCTACGCCGCGCACGGGGAGTCCCACGCGGGCCCGTCTTCGGGCTACCCCTTCGGCGGCTACCCCCCGTCGTCGCCCGATCACCTCGGGATTGTGGACTCCAAGTGGCGCCTGGCCGATCCTAGGTCGTCGTCGGCTCACTCACTTGCCCCGTCCACAACGGACCGCGACGGCGTCACCCGCCGCACCTTGCTCATCATCTACATCCACGGCTTCTACGGCAACGAGTCGTCCTTCAGGTCCTTCCCGGCCCACGTCCACAATTACCTCAAGGAGACGCTCGCCGAGACCCATGTCGTCCACTCCAAGATTTACCCCCGTTACAAGACGTACAAGGCCATCGATGTGGCTCGGGACAACTTCAGCCAGTGGCTGGAGCCCCACGAGTCCGACTCTACCGATGTGATTCTCGTCGGCCACTCCATGGGTGGCTTGCTTGCGGGAGAGGTTGCCATGATGGTATGGCCCGCGCCCCGGCAATGATGATGTATGAACTAGACTGACCTTGCTCCCAGCCTAATCGGCACCCGTACAGGCGCCATCCGTACAAGCACCGCATACTCGGCACCATTTCTCTCGACTCGCCATTCCTGGGACTCCATCCCGGCATCATTGTGGCTGGAATCTCAAGCTTGTTCAGGCCGGCATCGCCAACCGAGGAACAGCCCGATCAGTTCGACGCCTCGTCGAATTACCTGAGCCCCAACAACTCCGCCATGGGCAGCCCCAACCCGTCCATGTACACCCTGGAGACGAACAGTTCACTGGGCGCAGAGCTTTCCCCTCACGCAAGCAACCCGCCATCTCTGTCCTCGAACGGCCCGCCGCAACGGCCGGATCCCACTTTCAACCCTCCTTTCTTCAACGACCTGAATCTGAAAGACCGCCCCTTCATGAGACGTCTGGGCCACTTTGCCAAGAAGCACAGCCGCGAGGGCATCTGGGACGCCACCAAGAACCACGTCATGTCTCATCTCGAGTACGGCGGCTGTCTGGCAGACTACCCGGGCTTGAACGCCCGATACAACAAGCTCCGCGCCATGGAGAGCGTCGACCCGCTGCAGCACATGGGCGACGGCACCAACTACGGCAACAACGTGAACAAGCCACCCCCCGCCAGGGTGCGCTTCATCAACTACTACACCCTCAGCAGCGGGAGGCCGAAGAAACCAAAGACGCCCGACTCGCCCAAGTCGCCAGAGTCCCCAGCGTCCCCCGAGCAGAGGTCCGTCCTCGGCCCCCCGGACACTCTCGAGGTTGGCTCTCATCTTTCGCCGCCGGCCTCGTCGACGCCCAGGATCTCTGTCGAGGACTCGGACGATGGCAAGAGTATGGAGCTCCTGGAGCCCATCCCGATGGAGGACGTGGACGAGAAGCTATCAACTTTCCACGAGGAGCAGCAGGCGAGGTTTCACCACGAGTCCAAGGAGGCCTCCGAGTCCGCAGAGGCGCTTCGACGTGGCCAGCCACAAAACGCGCCGGAAGCAAAGGGCAAGGAAAATGAGAGGTCCGACAACATCGGTGCTGGTCTCTCCGAACCCTCCACGGCCGAGCAGAGCAATGCCGCTATTGCCGGGGAAGGGGAAGCCCAAGAGGCAACCCCAGCCGGGGGCGTGACGGACGAGCCGGAACTTCCCCCGATCCCCGACCTGCCCGAGCAGCCAACGCCCCCCGACCTGGACAGGTACACGGACAAGGACGCCCGGAAGCAGGCCGAGAAGGAGGGCAAGCGGGCGCAGAAGGCGTACGAGCAGGCCGTCAAGGCCCGGGACAAGGCCATCAAGGAGCGCCAGAAGCTCGTCGAGAAGCGCCGCAAAAAGGCCGAGAAGGAAGCCCAGAAGGAGGCCCAGCGGATCGAGAAGGAGGAGCAGAGGCTGCAGAAGGAGGAGCAGAAGCGGAAGCAGGAGGAGGAGGCCGCCAGGAAGAAGGAGGCCGAGGAGGCCCAGAAGCAGGAGACGCAGGCCGAGGGCGAGGCGCGCCGGCTGGCGGAGGAGGCGAGGCGGATGGAGCGCGAGGCCCGCAGGCTGCGGGGAGAGCCGCCCGAGCCCGAGCCCGAGAAGCAGCAGCAGCCCGAGGCCGGGAGCGTGGCCGAGAACGAAGCCCACATCGCGGCGGCAGTCATCGCCGGAGCGGCGGCCGCGGCGCCGGCCTCGGTCGCGGCGCAGGCAAACAGGCCGCCGGCGATGACCGCTGCCACGGCATCCTCGAGCACGTCCGTCAACACGACGCGGACGGGCAGCGGCACCACCGCGAGGTCCAAGGCGCCGGCGGCGGACCCGGGCAAGCCCAAGAAGGAGCGCAAGTTCTGCACGCTGCCGCGCAAGGTCAACGGCCGGCGCGACGAGACGTGGGTGCCCGTGTACATGCAGGGCATGGACGAGGTCGGCGCCCACTGCGGGCTGTTCCTGGCCGGGCCGCACTACGACGGGCTCATTGGCGACGTGGGCGAGCGCATCCGGGGATGGGTCCAGGACGACCTCAGCGTCAGGGCGATATTGGAGATGCAGTGAGCCGGAGGAGACTTGGGCTGGAGGACACACGGGCTGAGCTGAAGACAGGCAGCTGGACTGTACAGGCAAGGAGGGGGGGGGGGGGGGGGGGGCTCTCATCAGATATAGACCCCCCCAAGCCAAACCAGAGGACACACACACAAAGACATTGTAATCATGAAAGCACTCGGCTTCGTTCACGCATCTAGTCAAGAAACATGGTGATGACGACTGTGATGACAACGGCCGCCACCACCACAACCAACTGGATGTATCGGCATCTCATGGCCTTACTTCTATTGAATTAACTTTGTGTTTGTGTGTTTGTGTTAGTGCTACAACGACCCAGCCCCCGCGGGGGCGAATTTTTTTTTCTTTCTGCGTCCGGTTGTGTGATGGTGTGGTCGTGGTGAAAATGATCCGTCCCCTTTCGTAGCAGCCTGTAAGATGCCCCTAACCGCGTGGTATTTTCCCATCCTTCAGTCGGTCATGCTTTCATTGTCAACCTTGACTGAATGCGTAAAAAGATCAAACGAGCAAGGGGAAAAAGTAAAGCAATAAAGAGAACCCCCCGAACGCCCTGCTGGAAGTGGAAATCATCAGAAGAGCAGAATGCCCATCCGCCCTTTTACCCCCAAGTAACCCTCAAAGCGGTGCTTCCTTTGACACATGTGCGCGTCAACCGCTGAACCCCTTTTTGTTTCGTCCCGCCGTACTGCTCATCACTCTCGTGAGTAAGCATCGATACACGTCCCCAAAGCCGTTGGCAGGTGCGACCAGGCGGAAGCTCGCCATGGCCGACACACTGCAGAGTGGTGGGCTTTGGGTGACATACGACTCGACCCTACTTGCGCACCCTTCGTCGCTTGGCCTTCGTAGGCGCTGGCGGTTTCTAAGCGCCCACAGCCCCGTAGCCTTGCGGACGCATCGCGTTCGGGAACGCTTGGCCGTTACCGCCATCCTGTAATGGGTTAGACAGAGACAGACGGCATGGGCGAGGCATCACCAACCTTCTTGCGGCGTTTTTGACCTCCCCTGTCGTCGCCATCTCCCGTAGAGTAGCCGTCGTCGGGGAAGCCTTCACCGTAGCCCTCGTAGGTGTTCTCGCCATAGCCTCGCTTCTTTGTCGTTCGCTGAGGACGGACCGCACCCGGGGGTCCTTGTTGCTGCTTCCGCACAAAGGGGTTGGGCGTGGTCGCTAAAGGCGTGCCAGGCGCCGTTGCCTTGCCAGTAAGACCCTGTTTCAAGGTGTCAATACCGCCGGGGGGGAGATCTCCAAGCACCGAACTGTCCCAGTCCTTGGCAGGAATCGGTCCCTTGGCCATCGTCGTAGCTCTGTTCAAGATCGACTTGACACTATCCGACAGCCCCTTGGTGATCGGGTCTGACCGCGAGTTCCAATACTCTGCATCAGGAATCTCCAGCAATTCCCTGAAGCCATGGTATGCCTCCCTCTTCTTATCGCCGCCGTCGCCGTCCCTTTCTCTCGGAGCGTCCCAGTCCTGGGCGACGGAGTCGAAGCGGCCAAGGATGCCGAGCTTCTTGATCTGGCCCTTGTAGGTCTTGCGAAGAGCGTTCTTCTCACCGTTGGGCTTCTCGCGAGCGACTTCTGCAGCAATGCCCGTCAAGTTGAACATCTCGAAGAGATCTTCCGTGATACGCGGCAGTCTCTCGTGGTGTGCTAGGGAGCTCAGAGTTAACGAAGGATGTTCGACATAAACCGCCTCAAAATACCAGATACGTCATGGGGAGGGGGGTTTTTCGGCAAAACAGCCTGCCACGGGAACAAGGGACTGTGAAGGGAGCCTTACGAGTTTGGCAAAGTAGGTATTTCTCTCCGACATCCAGGTGGAGTGCCTCGATACCAGTTTTGCTATCCTCGATGTGGACTTTCTTCTGCTCTCGATCACCATAGTCTTCGAGTGTGCGCTTGCGCTTGTGAGGCGAGTCGTCGCCCATGACGATGTCTTGCGACATATCGGAAGGCTGCGATGCGCTGCCGTTGACGCTGTGTGCGGGAGTCGGCAGAGTGGTGGTTGTGGACGGAACCGAGCTGTTCATACTCGACGTGAGGTCGGAAGTGCCAGGAGAAAACTGGGAAGGGCTTTGAGGGGTTCGGGGATGGAACGACATGTTGACGTTGCCGCTGGAATGAGGGCTCGATGCTCAGGTCGTGGTCGTGGTCGTAGTCTTGGTCGGCTGAGGATGAGGATGAGGAGGTCGGAATACGAGGGATGGAGGGCCCGCTGTCACGCCGTCTCGGATGCGGAAGGCTCGAAAAAAATCACCTCCTCTTCCGAAGAATACCGTCAAGGCCCTGATCGATCAAAATCCACGATGCGCTCGATGGGAGGGGTCGCTCTGGGCGAGGTCAGAGGATGAGGGGGTTGTTGTGGCGAGTCGCGCCAAACCGCCGACGGCTCTCAATCCCCCGACGCAGCGTCATGCACCACTTTCGGATTAACCTTCGATCGCTGGCGCCTTCTCCGGGGTGTTTAAAAATTTTCCTGATGCCAATATCCAGCAAGAGCACTCGTAGCGAAAGGAATCCGACGGCGATAAAGGGCTGTCGAGGGTCGGTGGTCGGTTCGTGCTGTGGTTGAGCCGTCAGGTCGTGGTGGAGTTGAAGGAAGTGAAGTCGGAATGGCGCTGGGTAGAGCGAAGGGGGCGGACACATGAGCGAGGCAATTTGCTCGCTTAACGGGGGTGGCCGCCTGGGCTGGCTGGCAACTGGACCGTGGGCTGCGCTGGCTGGCACTGGCACTGGCACTGGCTGAGGTAAGCTTGGCCGATGGGTGGTGGGTGTAGGAGCCGAGAACGCTGGAAAGATGCGGGAAGGGGGGGAGTGAGGGTGGGAAAGGCAGTTTGCCGCGGGAGTGCGAGAGTGGAAGTGAGAGGGGGAGTGGGAGCCAGCCCCAGTGTGCTGTTCTGGGACCGGAGCGAAAGCCAGGCACCATCACCCCTAACGGCGAATGGGAAGGCGCCCTCCACCAGTTGGATCGTCCAGGAAACCATGACCACCGTGCCCGACACTCGACGCCCGATCACCGGGACCTGACGGCTGGCCAGGAGGAGGAGAGACAGCCATCCACGGGTACGGGCCCTCGAGGCATGCACTGGAACGCGGCAGGGGAGGCGTGGCTGGATCAGGAAGTCGGCAGCGAACACACTGACCAACCACTCACCACCACGCGCCTCGGTGCAGCCATGGCCTGCAGTCACGGTGCACAGTCACGTGGTGTGACATGGCCCCACCTGGACACGATGGGCCAGACTCTTGCAATTTTTAAAGCTCGACGCCGCGAGCAGCTTCTGCCTTTTCTCTCTTCTTCAACAACCAAGACCACCCATTCAAATCATCGCCAGCCAGCCCCGATTTTACATCGCCTTCTACGCTGCTGGACGATTCCGAGGGATGAGTCGAGATCAACTCTTTTAATGCCCTTGTTTAAAACAATCGTCAGCGAGGGCCCCTCGTGCGGCTTCCCATGATGCGACGATCACCTGAAGCAAGTTTGGACATGCCTTTTACCGGGCAGTGATGTTGCTGCTGTTGCTGTGAGACGAGACTAGCTGTACCAACCGCTGTGCCTGTATTGGATATGGGTAGTGTCTTGTATTGTTGTTGCAGGCGTCCTTCCGTTAGCGAATAGGCTTGATTAAATTGTTCCAAGGTACGCTTCATATATGAAGGCCCATGCCAATTAAACCTACGGAGATGGGGATGACATCCATACATCTGGTAAACCGATTGCTCAGCCGCGAGCGCGGCGGCTTCTGCCAATGCTCTTGACCAGGTTGAGCCTGCTGAGAAGTGGCATATCTGAATCGCTCTGTTTTGAAGGCCCTGGAAGCGCGCGGAACCTTCTATGTAAAGCGGCTAACAATTCTTCCGTCATCCAGGTCCAGATCCACACAGTATGCTCCAAGAGCACCGCCATCTACCCTCTCCACGGCAAAGCCCCTTGGCAGATTGGGTCACGCTGGTCTTGTTGACGGATGCCATGGTGACCTATTGTTTTTTTTGAAGAAATTCGGAGCAAAAACAGGGGCAAAGCCGTTGGAGCTGATCATAAAGGAATCACAATGGGTTAACGCCCTCCATTTCGAACTCATTCCAGGATGTCAAAACACATGTGAGCTTGTTCTGGCGATCACACATTAGTTAATTCAAACCATACACAACTCCCAAGCTCCGAAAACTGAAGTCCTGTTACAAAGGCCTGGTATTATCATTTCTTTCGTGAGCAGAATGCTGCCGCCGGAACCCTCCAATCAACCACAGCAAACAAGTCAGCATCTTTGATAGCTGCCTCCTAACCACCATTCCACCTCAAATGGCGTTTCTGTAAACCTGCGCTCCTTGATTCCGGAACATGATGGTATCCCTCCGTTGCATGATCATTAGCGTCCTGTTGAGGGCCTGCTCGCTGTAGCCCTTCTGCTCAACCATTTCGCGACGCAGGCTTGCCAAACTGGTGCCCCATCCAACCGCGAGACGCCGCTTGAGCTCTGTCTCCAACCTGCTGACTTCCTCGTTGAGCTCCTTGCTTCCCTGGTTGCTGCCCTGGTTGACAGCGTCCATGGTGGAACAGAGGAAGAGTCGAATAGCCTCGTCCACGTGCTCCTCCGTTGCAATGGGGGACAAGGTCAACTTGGCTAACGACTCCGTGATACGAACAATGGCCTCCAGTTGACGGACAGTAATAGGAATGGAGGATCGCGTATTAGCCTCCATCTCGGCTGCATGGACCTGTCTTCGGATGGACACAAAGTGAGATGAAAGCTTCTCGGCTGCTTCAGGGCTGAGACGAGGAGCCATTCGTCTGGATAAAGTTGTAAGCCGAGGTTTAGGCAAGACTACAGTGTGGGGGGGGCTTACGATTTGCAGTAGCTGAGGTATCTCTTCATCTTGTCGACCGGGATTTCAGACTCGACTTGCTCCTCAACACCTCGGCCGCCCATATGGATGCCCATTACGTGCTTTGCTATTCTCTCATCTTTCTCCCTTGTGTGCTCGTCCTTGACAATGAAAATCATGTCAAAACGAGAAAGGATAGTCGTTTGGAAGTCGATGTTCTCGCCGGGAGTCTTCATATCATCGTAACGACCAAAGATGGGGTTGGCAGCGGCCAGAACCGATGTTCTTGCGTTGAGGATCGTTGTGATACCAGCCTTGGCGATAGAGATGGTTTGCTGCTCCATGGCCTCGTGGATGGCTACACGGTCCTCGTCACGCATCTTGTCGAACTCATCGATACAGACGACGCCGCCGTCCGCAAGAACCATGGCACCTCCCTCAAGGTAGAATTCACGAGTCGATTGGTCGCGTTGTACTGAGGCGGTGAGACCGGCTGCTGAAGAGCCCTTACCAGATGTGTAAATGGCAATGGGCGCACACTTCTCGACAAACTTCAGAAGCTGAGATTTGGCAGTACCAGGATCACCAAGCAGCAGAACATTGATGTCTCCACGAAGCTTCATGCCGTCAGGCAATATCTTCTTCGAGCCGCCAAGGAGGAGACACAGAATAGCCTTCTTGATGTCGCGGTTGCCGTAAATGGAAGGAGCTATGCAGTCCGCCATGACGCTGTACAGATCCGGTCGCCTGCTCATCTCGAGGAACTCTTGTTCTTCTTCGTCAGAGAAGAGCGCCTGACCTCTGGCGGTCTGGTCAATGTCTGTTTGGATGCCCACCGCCCGCAGGTAGGGAGTTCGAATAGCTACCGCACCACCAGTGTTCGAATTCTTGGACGCCTTGTTCTGGTAGATCGAGAAGATGCCCATAACTGTACATCTCGAGCCCGGAACCACGCGGTTGGTCAGGTAGCGATCAGCTGAAATGAGGACATGTCGCGGAAGCTCGCCCACGGGAACCTGGTCAGGTGCCTCTTGAAGCTTAATAATTTGTTGATCGACGAATCTCGATTTCTCGTGGAGGACGAAGTATGGGTCGAGAGGGCATTTGGGGGTCGGATCGTTAGGGATTCTCTGTCTACCGCACTGTCTCGGGAGCGTAACGCCGGTGAAGCCTCCTAGGACTGGGATGGTAGACGAATGTGCGCAGTTGCGGCACTGAATGGCAAGTTCAGTGGCTTTTGATGACATGACGGAAGCGCCAATAACAATTCCCGGTACTCTGACAAGACGAGCAATCGTCATAGAGTCTAGGTTGCGGATCGATACATCCTCGGCGCTGGAGTGAAGCAGAAGCTGATGTTCCGGCAAGTCGACTTTCGTCAGTTGAGGGAAAACGATTCGGTGGGTGCATTTCTTGAGGGCAGCCTCGAACTGGTGGCATCCAAGTCAGCACAAAGTCAATAGCAGGTTTACATGGCTGAGTCGCACCAGGGGAATTATTTCTGCAGGCTCCGTCACCAGCCTATGCGCCAGCTCCTCATTATAGTTGATCAGGTCGGTAACGTCTACATCGCAGTAGTACTTCTTGAGGAGTGCATTTTCCTTGAGCTGGTTTCTAGACACAGTGTCAGAGGCCATGCGAAGGCGCAATGTGCTCGCTGCAGTCGGTCTCACCTGTAGACATAGTCGTTGTCATGTCTGAAGTGCAGCACAAAGTTCTCCAGTTGCGTCTGAATCTGAATACGAGTGTCCTCGTTCTGGCCGAAGCTCGGCTCAAAGACGTGAGCAGAGTATACGGATTGTCTGTCCATGTTGTGCGATTGCGCCCGTACTTGAGGTTGCGGTTGCGGTTGTTGACGGAGCGATGCTGAGGATTCAGACTGAAAAGGTGGATGCAAGGAGGGGCTGCTCTGTTCGCAGGGGAACGAATTAAGAACGCGCCCCTTTTCGGAAATCGCGACACGCCGCGTAAAGTGGTTGCAGCATTAGCGCGTCTGGAAATCGGCGATAAGACGGCGGCTGCTGCGTTATCTTCACGTGAAGAAGCTTACCTCATCCTGCATTCCCCAGAGTACACTAGCTGGTGTGGGTAGGCCCTTGGAGGTCTGAATGAGGAACGTGGCTCAGCATGGTGAAGCTGCGCAAAGACCAGCCGTAATCTGTCGCTTCTTCATTGCTGTTCTTGATCGGTCATGATTGCTGCAAGCCGTCTTTCCTGAAATTCCCAACCTCATGTGTCTCTCCCAGCAATGATACCCCGGTAGTGTGGCTACGTGGCCGTCAACCAACCTTGTTGTCGGCTTTCCTCGTGACTATCAGCAAACGATCGACGTTTAGACTTAACATCCAGCACCAACCTCCATACAGAGCCATTGACTCGCACCATGTACTCATCACCAGGCGCCCGGAGGTCGGTGGACACAATATCGTCGCTGTCTCCTCCGTCAACGCGCACCGAGTTTCCATTTCACAAGTCAGTTTCTCCCCTTTGCCTCCATCGGCCACGATTATGCTAACAGCAGCTAGACAAGGACAGACTCACCCGAACCATACCGCGAGACGAGGCTCGACTGCGAGTTCCATACACTCAATAGGGGGCTCTCTCGATACATCGTCCAGCAGCTGGGCGAATGCGGTGCTGGAATCTGGGCAAAACGGTACTGATTAACCCAAGAAGGCGTTACTTCCTGTGCTGACAAGTCGCCAGCCATTTCAACTTTACTGCAACCTCCCATTGTCCGGACCGGCCTGCAGCCCCATACCTCTGCGCCCGCTTCCAGTGCGCATAAACCCCCGACCGCGCGCGATATCCCTCCCGTAACCCTGACAAATATACCTCATATCGATCCGGCCGAGTTTAAACCGTACTTGTCGCAAGTTGGCGCCCTTTACGAGCAGCTTCGGCGGGTTAAAGAGCAAGAAGATGAACGGCCCAGCTCCTCGGGCCGTCGGTCAAGCAGACACGACGATTTCATAGACCCCTTTGACGAGAGTCATCTGAAACCCGCGGGTCGACTGCCCGCTAGACGGAAGTCGTCCATAGCATCGATAACATCAATATCTTCCATCGATGGCCCGGGGCCATTGCGACGCGCTAGCTCTGGATTCAGCCGAAAAGGGGGGCAAGGCCCACCCCCGCTGTCCACGATACCCAACGTCTATTTCGACGAAGATTTCCACCTGGAAAACCCAAGAATCTTTGACGTTGTTAGCGAGAGATCGGAGGTTGTACCACCTGCACCAGGAAGTGCAGACGACAAGGCCGGCAACAATGGAGATATCATAGCTCCTCGGAAGGCTCTGGCTACCAATGCTATCCTTCAAGAGAAGCTGTCGTGGTATATGGACACCATTGAGGTTCACCTGATCAACTCTATATCAACTGCGTCGACCACATTCTTCACTGCCCTCGGCTCGCTACGGGAGTTACACTCCGAGGCTGCAGAGTCGGTCGATCGTATCAAAGCACTTCGGAAAGAACTCGAGGCCCTTGACGAGGAGATTGCCACTCGGGGCCTGAACATAGTGCAGAAGCGCCGACGAAGAGAAAACGTGCAAGCCCTCAACGACGCGGTCCTGCAACTCCGGCATATTGTTGAGGGCGTCACAACATGCGAGTCGCTGGTGGACGCTGGCGAAGTTGACAAGGCTTTGAGCAGCATTGATAGTCTAGAGCTACTTATAGCTGGTGAACATGACGAGTCTGCCGAAGCAGGACCTCCTGTGCTCCCCCTATCACGTCTGAGAGACTTGAGGGGGGCAACAGCTCTGAAAGGCGTCAATGACGATCTGCAGCAGTTGCGGTCCCGTATTGGGAAAGCTTACGAGTCCAAGGTCCAGAGCTTATTACTGGCTGATCTGCGGAGACACGTTGAGACAGTACAGAGTCGCGAGGTACTACTCCGTTGGGGCAGCTCGTCGTTGCGGGCAAGGGGAGGCACCGCAAGAGAATCGACTGGGACACCAGCCTACCTCACCTCTACACAAGAGCTGCGCAAGGCCATCATGCCGAACCTCCTTGGCCTTCACCGGGCTCAACACATTTCCACGGCGATTGCAGCCTACCGGGAGGCCGTACTACGCGAGATTCGCAATCTCATTCGCAGACCGCTGCCCAGCTCCAACGACGATGATAACGAGTCCATGATGTCTGCCTCAACAATGAGCGGCGGAAGAAACCTTTCCAATCAGGAAAAGTCGTCCATCCTGGCAAGGAACCTCCGAGCGCTCGACCCCAAGGATGCTGAAGACTTGCTAAAGTCGATATACATTGGCGTTACCGAAACCCTCCGTCGGTTGACGACACAGGTAAAGGTTCTTCTCGACATCGCAAGCTGTTTGACGGAAGAAGCTACCGCTGCCGGTCTCAAGTCTCCGCCAATCCGCTCTCCCCTTGCGAGCCCAACACCTTTCGACCGGGAATTCCCCAGGTTTGACGACTCTCCCAGCTTCGAGGTCCAAGAAGAGATCCACAAAGCCATGGACATTGCCAATTTGGTTGGACAGGCTGTCGACGTTGCTCAAGACAAGATTGTCAAAGTATTGAAAGTACGGTCAGAGCAAAGCACACACTTGAGCCTGTCTTGGTTCCTTCGTTACTTCACCCTAAACCTCTTCTTCGCCAACGAGTGCGAAGCGATCTCGGGACGCAGCGGCACGGCGTTGAAGACCCTTGTCAACGGTCACATCAAGGAGTTCGTACAGCAACACGGCGACGCGGAAAAACAGAAGCTGGCCCAGGGCATGGAATCCGACCAATGGAGTGCCAAAGATTTCAATGAGAAAGACAAGGCTCTTCTGGATCGAGTGCTCGAGAGCAGCACCAAGGACGCTGCAGCGTGGTCAGAAGGGAGCAAGATTTGGGAAGAAAACCGTGAAGATGAGGACTCGAATGGAACGACAGCAAACCCACCCGAAACTAATGGCACAGGGGGAAAGGAAAAGGCGCGGACGGCCGAGATCGAGAGCGAAACATTCCTCCTGCCCAACTCTGCCATACTATGCCTGGAAGGCATCTCCCATTTCCTCCACCTCATCGGTGGCATACCGTCCATGGCCGCCGACGTCGCCACCTCGCTCATCACATACTTGCAGCTCTTCAACTCCCGCTGCACGCAGCTCATCCTTGGCGCAGGTGCTACTCGGTCTGCTGGTCTCAAGAACATCACGACGAGACATCTGGCCCTGGCGTCCCAGGCGTTGTCCTTCATCGTAACGTTGATCCCTCACATCCGGGAATTCGTGCGACGGCACGCCGGATCCGGAGCTGGGGTGTCCAGTCTGATGGGAGAGTTCGACAAGGTTAGGCGCCTATTCCAGGAACACCAGAACAGCATCTACGACAAGCTGGTCGAGATCATGAGCGGACGCGCGTTGCAGCACTCGAAATCCATGAAAACGATCGACTGGGACCATGACAATAGCCAGTCGGTACACCCATACATGGAAACGCTGGCCAAAGAAACCACCACTCTACACAGGGTGTTGACCAAGCACCTGCCGGAAACCTCGGTGCAACTGATTATGGGCCCCGTTTTCGCAAGCTACAAGGACCAGTTCGGCAAGGTCTTCCAAGCCGCCAACTCAAAGAAGGCTACTGGTCGTGACAGGTAAGTTGCGTTCCATCTGGAAAGTCATTGGGCATACAACTAACGCACTCAAAAGCATGCTCCGTGACGTGGATTTCTTCATAACCAAGCTTGGTAAGCTTGACGGGTTCCGGGATACGGGCGATTACTTGAAGAGCATCATCAACTCGAAAGAGATTGAGGCCACCCCATCGCCGCCGTTGTCCGAAAAGCAGGCGGATGGCGGCTCGGAGACAACGGGCTCGGCGAGAAACTCGACAGCCGAGCCGGGAAGCAGACAGAGCGCAGAGGGATCGGCAAAGGCAGAGTCGCCTCCAGCCGTCGAAGAGCCCAAGCAGGCATCATGATGTAGTTTAGAGCAAAGGGGAAGCGAGCCTCTCACCTGGAGTTTACTAGCATGCCGAGGGTCAGGAGAGATGCTGCTAAATGAAGTTTGTACGTCTTTTTAAGAGGACTCCGTCCCGGCCACGTGCAACATGCCAACGTCTGTTCGACCTTGTTTGCCCCGAGTCGCACACTCCCAGATGCAGGTATCCCCGGCGGTAGATAAAGGCGCAGGGCTAGAAAAGCGACAAGCCGCCACCCGGGTGGGGGAGGACGCGGGCGGGTGGTTGCAGGCGCCTTCTCGTCGGGATCGAGGACAACATGTCTAAACCGATTCCAATGGGGGCCACAGCGGAAGACCAACGAACACGTTGATGGCAATGGCATCCAGTACGCACACATGCAAACGCCCCTGCCGGAACACCCCCGCCGGGAGGATTACGAGTCTCGAGTCGTGGCTTTGGCTTGCTGACGTTGCCTTTGAAATCTGCCTTGTTTCCCTTTTTACCCCCGACCACGTTGTCTCTCTGGTCGGTTAGGTAATGTACTGTACTGGTCCCCCACCCACCCCCAACTCCAAACAAACCCGGACCAGGGTGCGACGTTGCGCCGTTGCGACGACGCCAGCGTCTTGAAACGCTCTCCAGTATGGGGGGGGCCGTCCGTCCGTCTGTTCGTCCCTTCTCTTGGGACGGGACCGAACTGAACAAGGCCGGGGAGGACGGACGTTGTATTCCCTTCCTTGCGCGCGCCAGAGAGCCTAATTAAACAAGTGGAAGTCATGAGGGGCCATACGATTTTTTTCTTTTTCTTTTTTCCTTTTCCAAACGGGAGATACCCAAGTCGGGCACGGTTTCCCGCGCACGCACGCAATCCGTTTTAATTAATTTGTTATTTTTGGGGGGCGACTGCCGTTACCAATGGAGAAACAAGCGTCGACGCAGGCGCGGCACAGACTCGCCGAACGACCATGCCACCCCCCGGCAAGGGGAAGGAGGGCCCGGCCGAGAACTGACCCCCTTCATTTCGGCTTCATAATCAGCGCACACGAGATTGGGGCCGGGGCAACGACCGAGTCAACAACAACAGCAACAGCAACAATAGCAGCAGCAGCAAGGGGCATGTTGGACAGGTTCGTGGACGTTGAAAACGTTTTGTGTCTTTTCTATTGGTATGTGAAACTTGGCCCAAGTACAAGAAATTGTTCGAACCACCAAAGCTTCCCTAAATATGTCTAAAGGAGCGACAAGAAGATTGACCTCGGCGACTTTGGGACAACGTTACCCAAGAAAGAACCAGATAACCCTCCCAAACCCGTGAAGCCAACATGAAAAACGAGACCCGGCCTCGATCAGCTCCAAAGCGTGGAACGTCTCTCGGCGTGCTGTCGAAGCAGCACAAGGGCTCTCTCGCGGGGGAAGAGAAGGAGGGGAAACGCCTAGATTGCTCCAATTGCTCCGGTCCTGCTGAATGTGTACGCCCCGATTTGGATAACAAAAAAAGGTGTTTCCAAAAAAAAAAAGTCTATATCTCGAAACAGTGGTTTCTTTCCCCGCTAGCCCACCCGCGTAGCCGCGCTCTTGGCGTGTGATGGGTATCTTTTGTGTATCAAAAAAAAGGCAAGACGATGGCTGAACTTTTTAAGGGTTCGTTCTCATCGTGAAGAAGGGGTCGTGAAGTCGTAGCGCGCAGCGCGATGGCGGCGGGGGCCGATCAAATTTCGGCCACCGCGCCAGCTTTTTTGTTTTTTCTCACTTCTCGCGAGATGGAAAACGAAAACGAAATTTTAGATCCCGACCTTAGTTGGCGTACATGCCCTGGACGAAGTCGCGCTTGTAGCTGGGCGACTCGTAGTGGTCGTCAACGTCGCGGCGAGAGACGGCGCCGTTGTTGCCGAGGGTGCAGACGAGGTCGGTCTCAGAGGTGACCTTGGTCTGGACGTCGTCGGGGAGGTAGTAGGCGTTGTTGCAAGGGAAAAAGTCGCAGCCGGAGATGGGAAGGGCACCGTTGGCGGGCCACATCTTCTTGACGCCGTTGTGGTCGTTAGGGTTGACAATGGCGGAGACGTCAAAGTACGTCAGGCCGTTCCAGCCGTTGAAGGCAACCTCGCCGAGCATGCCGGCGATGTTTTCCTCGCCCTCCGAGACGGAGTACCAGTTGCCGATCCAGGCATTGGGGATCTCGACCGTGACATTGCTGTTGCCGGGGATCTCGACGGAGTCGACGGAGGCGAGGCCGGAGTTGGGGGTGAAGTGGACGATGCGGGTGACGTCGTCCAGGGACTGGAAGGTGACGGTGTTGGTGGCAACGGCGAGAGCGGCCGAGCCGAGGAGAGAGAGGATGCTGAACTGCATTTTGATGGTGGTGGTGGTGGTGGTGGTTGTGTAAGTGCCCAAGGTTGTAAGTTGAAAGTGGGGTTTGAAGAGTCCGGCAAACGTTGTCAACAACAGTAGTGCAGGATCAAGGCAGTTTGAGAAGGAGTGGTTCTTTGAAAAGCGTCTAGCTGATCGTAGAATGAAGATTGCCCAGGGATGGGATGTTGTGGTGATGGACTCGAGCTTTGGTTGTGAGGGATGGGGTTTAAACGGGCCGGGGCCGTTTGAGTTGCTTTCAGAAAGGAGTGAGAAGCTGGATTTGAAGAGAATGAGGCTGTCTGGATAGACAAAAGTGTGAGGCTCGGCCACTGGAAGGATAGTGATGCGGGATGGAGAATCAAAACCGGGGACTGAGAGGCATCATGGGAGCCGGGTCGTACTTATACACATGTCAGAAGGGATGGGGGGTATAGACTGGAAAGGATTCTTTTTTGCTCGTGAAATGGCAGCAGTGGGGAGCGGAGCTGGAGGCGTCGAGGACGTGGGAACGTTCGTAGACCGCAGTGGGGACAATGGCCCAAGGGTGTTTCCCAGAGTTACATGGAAGCCTCCATCGGAGAGTGGGCTTGGATACTTGGGCGCCATGATTCTTGTAACTTGTACAGATACATGCCGTTGTGACTCGTCGGCCGTGATTGGATGTGCCCGCGGAATAATGGCCTCGCCAGGTTCAGAGTTTTCGGTCTGGACCAGCACATCTCGCATCCTTCTCGTCTGGCCAACACTAACCAGGTTTGGGCGGCGCGACGTCTGGCTGTGTTGGATTGGAGCGTTTGGAACTGGAACAGGGGCGACAGCCCAAATGTTTTCAGAAACATCTTTCAATGAACACTTGTTTTAGCAGGTTTATTTTTGAGAGTGCCCGCGCCTAGATACTCCTGGACAGCCCCCAAGCTGAGGCTGTGTCTGAGGTTCCTTCTTCGTTTCTCACGCCAGGCCGCCCTCCCTCAGGGCTTGGCCATGGCCCAGAGCAACGCGGCAGTGAGGACGGGTACCTGGCGCCAACCGCCAACCCTCGCGGACTGGGAAGCGGGTGTTAGTCGAAGGAGTCGGGGGCCAGAGTTGACGGACCAGGCGCAGGTATCGAGGTACCCGGCGTCAGTAAGGTGCGAGGAGGACGGACGTGCTGGCCAACAAAAAAAGGATTGCGTTCGTCAGCCCTTGGCGCCGTTTGTTGGACTTTTTTAGCTGCAGATGCAACCGCTTTCCAGACGTCTTGCTTGGCGTCATCATTGGTCGACTTGCTGCTGATTGTGCCTGGTACCTTGCACTAAGAACCAACTCCGCGTGGCGTACCCTGACAGGCCGGCGAGAAGAAGTCGTGGGACTCGATGCGCGGCAGGCCAGCGCTCCAGCACGACAACTTAGCGCCACGGCTCATGATTCGTAGCGGGGCAGGGCCATTACAGCCCATGACGGGGCCTGCCTTGGACTGACTTGGTCCTCCCCCCTCCCCCCCTCCTTGCCCTAGGCACCATGGACCTGGCCGAGCCTCGGACAGCTAGGACGATTAGGAAAGATGTGCCGGCCACTACCGAACAAACCCCTCTTGGCAGGGCCGCCGGGGATGGGCTGCCGGACGGAAGTTGGGAGGGAGCGCGCGGGAGCGCCGTGCTAGCTATGCCATTTGGGTGAACGCCGAGGCGGCAGAACGTGGCATCACTTCCCAACGCACCGGTTCGTCTGGGCTAGGAGAATGACAGAATCGGCTGATCATTGTGACAAGATGCAGGTGACGGACCAGAAAACCAGACGACAGCACTCACTCGAGTCGAAGCTGGTCAAGATGGGACGACGATGGCGTCGGGCGCTGATGCAGAGGCCGAGCCTGCTGCTCACTAGAACAGAGTGGCCAAGACTCACTTCAACAAGGAAAAAGAAAACACGTCGCCGTCACATCAGTCCGAGGGACATGGCATCAGCCTGGACAACCATCTCGGTTGGCCGTCCTTCAGACTTCCTGTGACGGAGACGATGCCACGACGGCGAAAAATCCCTCTCCTGTTCCCTGGCCGAGTCCATCCCCCGGCCAGAAGGACTTGGCAAGGTACATCCGGGGGGGGGGGGTTCGAGAGGGGGTTCGAGAGGGCAAATTAGAGGTTTGGGCTTCAGTTGACGAATCGGGGAGGAAGATTCAAGGTCCAAGGTGTCGACTTGGGCCATGGTGAGAAGTCGAAACCAGGAACAGGACACGAGCGCAAAGAGGGTGTGAAGCGGACAGGGAGAGTGGGTTGTGCCTGTCGATCACCGCCCGAGTGCGTGGCGCTCCGAGCACTGTAGAGAGCGCTGTACAGCAACTGCGCCGAGCGCCTCGGGACGATAGATGAGCAGGTGCGCAAAGCCGCTGTGCTGCTAACAAGAATGCGGGCCATATTCGTATCCAGTACCAAGCGGAGTCCCCCCGGGCACTGCCCTGACGCCTGCCCCGGCAGGGCTCTGGCCCTCCCCCTTCCCCCTCCCTCACCTCACCTGCCAGGAACAAGTTTATTCACGCAGGCCCCGCCCCGTCCATGCCGTCAGTGCCTGCATATCTTTTTCGGCCTCAATCCTCAGGGGCGAAACATTTGTGCTGCGCTTTTGCAAAAGTTTCTTCTGTTTGCTCTGCCTGAGTCATCCCAATCAACCTTGCGTCTGCAGGGCAACCTGTAGCTTACGGCGTAGGCCCAACGCCACCAGACAGACCGTCAGTTGCGATTGCGCCGGGCGAGTCAAGTATCGCCGAGTTATCCTGCGCTTTCTGGCCCACGACGACTAAACCAACGCATCCGAGAACCCGAGGGACCGCGCAGGAACCCGAGACTTGACGACCCAAAGAGCAATCATTGCAAGAAAAAGATGGACACGCTCATAAGGCTGCAAGGAAGATAGATCGTTTAAGGTACGGGTTTAAGGTGAGATGTGCTGCAAATCCCAATACCCGTCCTGGTCGGTTGCTCGTGTTCACATATCCACTGGGCATCCTTTTCCCAACTCGGTCTCGGACACACGTGCTTCCTCCTGGGATCCGGATACCTACCAGAGTGGTAAGCAGAGCACAGGCAAGCTTTGCTGCTGCCAATTGTTCCCATTGTTTGTAGTGGTTGCATGGAATGGCACATGTCCTTGGCGGCCCGTTAAGATAATCATTGGGACGGGGCCGTTCTCGACCACAGCCGGGGCCCACCGATCATCGCCCACTGTACAAACGTCACTTTCCAAGCGTACCATGGCCGCTGCGTAGGGCATACGAATTCTTGATGGAGAGAACTGGATGCTGAGAATCGGCTTGTGACTGCCAATGCCGACGCTGGAACTGCGTGGTTTGCGACGGCCGCGAACGTAGTACCTATTACGGGTAAATGGCCTTCCAAGGCACGGTACGTATCCGTATCCATACCGGTTATGTACTATTACAAACCTGTCAAGGACCAATCGAGCCTTGAACGGACGGATGGTCCGTTCGAGAACGGGTCCTTTGCGGGTCATTCTTCAGGTGAGTTTTGTCCAATGCAGGAACCGTCAAGGAGACGGAGCTCGGTGAGGAGGGCCTGGGCTTTCTACCTGCACTCGTCCCGGTTTTTCTACCCCTTCAGAGTCTTCACCTTGATGCTGCAACCGTCTTGTTCCTTTTGCGCCGGGCTTGTCATTGATTCATCAGCCCTCTCCTGATTGGCTGGCCTTGTCGACGGAATTCCCTCACACCATCACCATCGACGGCGTTTCTCCACCATATTACCGTTGTATTCTGTCAGTGGAACACAGCAATCTAGATTTCGGCTTCAGGTTGCCCCAACAGCATTCCCCATCCGTCCATCGGCCTTGGAAGTTGTGAATGGCGAGCTTGACAGAATTTCTTTACGATCCAGCGCCGGTGACTGGCTCTGACCTCACCACGCTTGTCGATTCTCCCCGCTGTCTGCCCTACGGTTCCGTCATCTCGTGCGAGTATCCCCTCTTCCCCCGCAAGGCGTGCCCACAACGGGTTCCAAATCAGTGTCAAATCAGCCGGACTTGTGATTATTTTTTGATTTTTTTTTTCTCGCAGGACGGATGAACGGGAATGAAAACCTTTCAGTCTTGACTTCTTGGTGGCAGTAGGTTCGCCTCCCGCCCACCGCGCGCGGCGAGCGCCTCCCTCTCCACCAAGGTAGGTCCGATGGCGTTCCGTCGAGCCAGAAGCCGTTGTTTGCCGGCAAAAAGAAACTGGGCTCGAAGACATTCGATTCAAACCCCTTGAACCTTGTGCATGAACTGCGCTGGGTGCCCACGGCTTCGACAGAGAGGACTCCCCGCATCCTAATACCCAGCTCTGTTGTTAAGCCTTTCCTGGTTTCTGACGACCGATCGATCGAGCTGACAAAGTTCAAGGCACATCCTGGGGACCGAAATTGAACAATTGGGATGTGTGCGTGTGTGTGCCTTGTCGATAACAGCTCGCGACGCTGGTGTGATCTGGGCTTGTGTGGTTTGTAACATCTCTATTTTCCACGGAAAATTCGACCATCTGGAAACCCCCGTTGGATGGGCAAACTAGCAGATGAAGTTGTCGACTATCTTTGCTATCGTTCAAGTCTCCGGAAGGCACCTTGGGCCCCTCGGCATGGAAAGACAACGCCATCATGCGACACGATATGTCAAGTGGCATCACTGCCGTAGTTGACTTTACAGCAAGTAGCTAGTGTTACTGGAAATCGCCGAAAAGCTGCGCAGGCTCGACTTCGGCTGCCACTCAAACACTTCTGTTTCTTATACATACTTCTTTATGTTTGCTTTCTTTTCTCGGGTATTGCTCAGGAGGCCGCTTCAACCTCGGTTGCAAGGGCGCGAAATCCGGCCTGCACAATGGACGTTAGCGCTCTGTAGCATATATCTGGTTTGCCTTCGTAGTCAGGGCTTACACCAGTAAAGTATTCGACAAAGTCCTCGTGGAGATTGGTCACGGTTGCTAATAATGTCTGCAAGTGCTGACGGCACCATCTGCCGCGCCGCTGACCGGCCACTTTGATTCTACGTCCATAAGCCGTATTGTGGCGGCGTGTTGGTCGCATCGTACCGTAAAAGGTCGCAAGGTGTCAAAAAGCGCCGAACACGAACCTCATCTGCCAAGCTCCGGCTATTCTCTTGCTTTTGGCCTCACCTTTACAGTTCGTCGAAATTGGCTGAACTGGGAAGATAGAGTCGAGTTGACTGCTGCTCCATGGCCGGGTGACATGGCTTCGCGGGCCCGTCTCCTCGCGACACGAAGCCTGGCGTTCGACGATGGCAGCCTGTCTTCTTTCTCGGAACACTGGAATTGCAGAGACTCAACGTTGTACGTCGAGAGTCAACTCGAGTCGATTTTGGACGATGCTTACCCGAACATGGAGACATTGTGGTTGACAACACGAGCCGTCACCGGTCAACCCCTGCCATCGCATAGTCACTTGCCCAAAACGAAATCAATAAAGTGACCGGCCCAATAAGAGGTTGCGTGATATACGCAAGTCGTAAACCCCCTCACTAGTATCGTGCCAGCAAAATAGATGGCACCATTCCACACCAGGCCTGGCAGGGCAAAGACCGCCTCGTATCTTCGTCGCCCACCCCATCGGGAGAGTCATACTCGTGTCTCTTGGCCCCATCTGGCACGGCGGTGCGCGCCACCTGCAAGGTGCGTACAGTCATCAATACCCCGTTGCGCATCGTTACCGAGGCCATCGACAGCCTAATCCGGCGTCGAGGGCAGCGGCACGCCTGACTCTCCCAGGGTGTGCAGGCCCGGCAAGATCGCCTCTAGGGCAGCAAACAACTTTAAGCTGGGTCAGCATTGGTTCCAAGGCCTTCTGCACGATGAGCCTCTCCGCGCATGACGGCCCCGCCTCCGCGATACATAAGGCGAGCGGGTGCCTGGCCTGGATGGTTCTTGCTCTCCTCAAAGTCATCGACAAGCAGTAGCCTCAACCTACATCTACCTCGCATCACTCAGTTGTTTTACAGCGTGCCTTTGGCAAACCACTCTCGCTTACACCAGGGACACTCACTTTCACTCCACTATGAAGGCTTCGCAGTTATTGTCCGCAGCCGGACTCGTGGCATTTGCCCAGGCTTGGGAGACCGATGTCAGCACCGTCTACACGACGGTCGTAACCACCGCTTACGAGACGTACTGCCCTGTGAGTCTTGAGATGGTAAACCAAGCGTGTGCCCTATGAGACTAACACTGTCCCAGTCGCCCACTACTTTCATCCACCAGAATGTCACTTACACGGCGACCACGGCAACCACCCTCACCATCACAAGTGAGATGCTCCCATCTACACATTTACACCGACAAGACTAACACAGGACAGACTGCCCCTGCACCATCACCACTCACAAGCCGCCCCCGTACACCACGACCAAGACCATCTACCCTCCGCCGGCGGGGAACACCACAGTGGTCCCCCCGCCAGTCTTCAGCACAACCACCAAGACGCCCAAGCCGTCCAAGCCGACGTACCACAACACCACCGTGGTCGAGCATACCCCCAAGCCGCCCAAGACTACGGAGCACCCACCTCATCCCAACGGGACCGTCACTCTCAAGCCGCCCAAGCCCAGCCACCACTCCAACCTCACCTCGACCGTCGTGGTCATCGTCACGCCGCCCGCCGAGACGACCATCGGCCACATCACCCCCGTCACGCCCACCACTCCCGTCACTGATCTCCCGACCAAGACGCCCGTCGGACCGTCAACCACTCGACCCATCACCATCCCAGGCAGCGGTGCTGGCGCCCTCACCGCGAGTGCCGGCGCCGCCGTCCTGGCCGGAATTTTCGCACTACTCATTTAATCTAATTTCTAATCTGGAGTTCAAGAGAGCCTTGCTGTGGGGCTTGGCGGGGGTTTACTATCAAGAGACGTGATGTTTTTTGGCGGACTCCTTTTTTAAAATTCTGAACCTTCCTTTATGGCCGGCAAAAGTGGGAGGGAAACCCCGGATGAGCATTGTTTGATACCATATGGCACTTTGGAACATTTTGGGAGGCTTGAAGATCATTTACTGGAGCATGGGGGGAGAGACAACGGAGTTGGAGTTCTGCCATACGGGAAGATGCCACATGCTCACACACATACACACAGACAGTCCTTACGAATAATGATAATACAAACGGGATGTTCGCGGGGGGGAAGCGAGCTTCGCCAACACGATCCTTTGACAAAACCCCCCTTTGAAAAGAGATCAGGTTGCCGTTACCTCTCGACGCCGTGGCAGTGGCCGCGGGCGAATAGACCGCTCCATGGCTCGCCATGCAACGTTTATCTACCAAACGTGGCCGCCAAGGGCCAAATATTGTTCTCTTGCAGCTGACCGCATGACCGAGAGCCGCCGACCCCTCTGCCCGAACCATCCCGACGAACCCTTCCCGACGAACCACGCGAAGCTTCGAGTGATCTGCCCGCCCTCGTGGCCGGGCTGGATGTCCGCTGCGCGCAGGCAACCCTTCCCCCTCCCTCCCTTCGAAAAAAAAAAATGCTTAAAAGGCTATTCGTCGTCCGACGAACCGAGAAAATGAGCCCGAGTCGACGGATAAAGGGGGTCCCTCATGCACCTCTTCGTATTCCAGCCCGCTAACCTGCTAAACCAGAGAGTCGACCCCTGTCCAATACACACCATCTTAGTTTCCCTCTGCGAGAATCGCCTAGTTTGCAGTCCCTTTCCGGCACTCGTCCCTCTCACCTGGCTTGCCTTGCTCGTCGCTGACGACCCGCGAACTACCGTACCCAGGTTCCAAGCCGGCCGGAGGCGTTGCCCTTGGCCTCCCTGGGTTGGGTATTGGCGGTGGTGCCTGGGCTAGAGACGAGGTTGGACGGCGCTCTCGACCCCGGTCACGAGCCAAGCGTGTGGTTCGCGGACCGGTACGAAGGCCCCCTCCATTGGGCGAACATCATTGGCCCGCATGATGAGCGAGCAAACAGAACAGTTCGAGAAAAGAAGGGCGGTGCAAGAACCTCGTATTGGGCGGTCCCCCGTCTGCGTCATTTGATCCCTCCCACCGTAACCGGCTTAGCCCAGTCCCGATCCGTCTCCCCGCGTGCCAGGTCCGCAACGGGGAGGGGAGGGGGGAGGAGCGTTCGCAGAAACGTTGCATCCCCAGCGTCGTTCGGGATGGCGAACCGATCGTGAGGTTATCGGGGAGTCAAGTGGTACGAGCTTGGAAAAGGCGGAGGCGGGGGTGGTGAAGAGCCGCCCGGGGGAGTGGTGGATCGTGACACTGCGCCGGGCCTGCCGGATCTGGTCCCTGCGAAGATGGACGTGCGCACGCTCTGCCCTGCTTGTCGAGACTCAGCCGTTCCGTGTAAGTCAGCGACGGTCCAACTGATGAGATGTGGCCGTCAGACGTCCCTCCGTGCACGAGTACATATGGGGAGAGCGTGTCATATTGTGGTATCTCATTACTTTATGCCTGGGTGCTCGAAGCCTCATCACAGCCCGCACTTGTGCTACCCTTTTCTCCTCGGACGCCCAACATAACCCGACACGAGGGCCATTTAATCCCACCGAGCTCTGGTAGCATGGCTTATTTCTCAACAACGCCCAAGCAGTTCGCCATCCGGGAAAATGCGCCATACGAAAGTGCAGCTTCGTTGGGTATAGGAGCACCTCGGAAGACATGCGGTCTAGCCGTGGTATCGTCCCATATCGAACCGATGCGAAAACTTCCTTTCGCCTGGGTAATATGAAGCTCCGCTGACATACCCCTGCGCCGTGAACCCCAGGCCAACCTCGGCCCTTTCCGCTTGCAAGGTCCCTGCCGGCAACTCGAACAAAAATGACACCGCAAGGACGCCATGGTGAGCTCGTGTTGACCATGACGCCAAAAGCCTCTGCACCTCATCGCTTGGCCGTCGATGCCTAATCAAGGAGTGAGGCCTATTTCCGCATTCCTGATGCGCACCCTGGCTTCCCTCACCAGAGCCTTGGCCTCTTCCACCTCGAAGCCGTCCTGCGTCAGCTCTGTGCCCAATCGGTTGGCTGTCGTGTAGTCCGCTGTCCGCATAGCATGCTTTGCGAGCCACATACGGGCCTTGCTTGTCGATGCGGTTACTCCGGTGCCTTCATTGGCACCCTCCTTACGGCCGTCTCCGTTACCTTCGTCATCGGATGCGCCTGGAGAATCGTTGTGTATCGCGATCGATTCGTTCAGCGCGTTGTCGGTGGCCTCGCCGCCTTCCTGCGCGAGGCAAAGCTCCATGTACGCCTTTGCCTCGTCCTCCTCACCGAGATGGTCGTACATACTGGCAATTTGGAAAAGCAGCTCCGGGTCCAGGTGGCCTGTTGCACTCCGACCATTGAGGAAGTCTCCTCCACTTCCGAAGCTGCTCCCAGTATCGTAGTATGCGTCTGCCAAGAGGGCCCGCTTCAGTGCTTTGATGCCGTCCTGGTCGCGACCCATCTTTTGCAAGCACGAACCGACAGCAAGCCACATCTTGCCGTCCCAGGGCCTCAAGCCGGCTGCCTTCTTGTAGTACCAGAGGCTGTAGGTGTGCATCTCCAACATCTCATACGTCTGACCAAGACCGTACCAGGCCCGATAATCCCGACGGTTGACGTCAACCGCGCGACGGTACGATTCGATTGCCGCATGGGTGTTCTTCAATTCCACGTACTCGTGGCCCATGAGTGTCCACGCCGAGAGGCAAGTTCGGTCGAGGGTCAGTGCTCGGCGGAAGTACTGCACTGCCTTCTCGTGCATGGAGAGAAGGGAGTAGTAGTTTCCCACCACAACACAAGACTCCGGTCGGAACTTGTCAATGCTCGAGCATAAATGCGCGAGGAACGCAAGCTTCGGCCTCAGGTTCATGACGTACAGGATGTTGGAGTAGTGGTCCAGCGAGTCAAGCCTGTGAGGATGTAGTGATAGCAAGCGACTAAAGTTTTGCTCGGCAGCGACAAGGTCTTTCGAGTGGTACGATAGCATGGCGTTGCATGTGAGGAGAAACGATGAGTTGGGGAATATGCCCATCAACGAGTCCAATGAGTTGGCGAGTTCCGGGGTCGCCTGGTAGAGTTCGAGTGATGTGTAGAGATGCCAGATAAAGGAGACGATGTTTTGAGGGAGGTGCTCTGCTATGCGGCTCAGCTGGAGGGTGTTAGCTTTCTGCTGCTCTTGGTCAGGCCTGGCCGGCTGAGGACTTACATCATCCACCCGAGAAATGAGCTGGGTCATTTCCAGCCAGCAGCCCCAGTTCATCGGATACAAGTGGACGCTTCGCACAAAGTAGTCCATTGCCTTGTCCTCGTTCTTTTCCTTTGCGAGAACCATGCCGTACCTAGGTCTTCATCAGTAGCTGTGGGCGCATACACAGTCGGGTGTCTTCTCACAGGTACTCCAGCCAGCCCTGGCTGCCGAGGACCTCGCCGTCGTCTGTCGTGCGCTCGTCGAACCAGTTGCTGAGGAACCGGCTGACGGCATTCAGCTGCTTGTTGACAATGTTCCCGAGGTCTTGGGGACCCATGACCATCTCTGAATCTTCGTCTTTGCGCTTTTCCCCGGACATGAATTTCGCGTACAGGGCCAGGAACAAGCTCTTCTGGCTGAGCCGGGGCAGCTCGGTGCTGCTGCCCGCGGCTCTCGTCGTCTCGGCCTCGGCTCTTGTCTTCCCTTTCCCCTTAGACGTCCCTGATGTACTCTCCGCGTTGGAGCTCAGGATACCGGACAGAACGGACTCGGGCAGGAAGACGGCGGCGCAGCGGTCGAACTCCCTTGAGTCGAAGAGGGCTTTCGCCAGCAGGTACTTGTTGATTTCCTTGGCTTCAAGGAGAGCCTCTTCAGGGTCGGCGTTCGCTGTGAAGACGGTCGGGACGTATTGGGCATCTGCATCGGCTATGGCGGCATCGACCGAGGGTTCGGGGATCGCGTTAAGGAGCTCTGCTGCCCTGGGATCAGGTCAGCCATCATGTGCAATGGTCTTCGCGATGGGATGTGGAGCTTGCCATTTTGCTGACGAGTATAGACACCGCTCGGAACACTTCACAACTGCATCCTGGAGGGACTCGCGGAGCTGCGACAGCTCGTTCTCATTGAGCGACATCGCTGCGCATCCTTGGCCGATATGCCAAACAAGTCGATTGGTCGTCTGTTTCCTGTCGTGCGCGTTTGTAGACGGTCCGAGTTCGAGAATACCAGTTGATTCTTACCGCACTTGCCTGGGACGCAAATGGGAGGAAGAACCGGGAGAGCAGAGGCAGAGAAACAGGGTTGCTGAGGTTGGCGATGTAAGTGTTGTGTTTCTTTTACCTGACGTAGTAAGGCTCGACGGCAGAAAGCGATCCACTAGAAACCTCCCACCACGCGCTCGGCGCGACGACGCTAAAGTGACACTGGACGGTGTGCCTGACCGCCTGCCGTGCCCCACGACCCCCGGTGAGCGGCCACTGAAAGTCGGCCAACGGGAGAAGTCAATTGAGTGGCACTGTCACCGTCTAGGGCGCCTGGGCGTCTGCCATCCCGAGTCTCCACTTGTTTCGGCTGGGGACGTTAGAAAGCGGTTTTGAGCCATTGAGAAAAGGCCCCGCCACCGCCTGCCCATAACGGTGCCTGAAGATCGGATGAGGGGTACACACGTACTCCTCTACCCGCACTTTCGGTGTAAACCCAATTTCGCAGCGGCGCATTTTAATTTCTGTTGCGATAACAAACCGCGTGAACTGTCCAACGATCGTCGTCCCCCCCTCTCCAAGGTTCGTCGCGCTTGCCTCGTTGTTTTTCCGCCAAAGTAACGCTCGTATTGCCTTCTTATAAAAGTTTGCGTCTTCTTGCGTGGTCTTGCGCGTGTCCATCTTGCTAACCTTTTACTCCTGAAAGCCTCCTCGATAATTATACCCCGCCGAGCCGGCAATCACACCTAGACCGCATCAGACAAGATGGCCAAGAAAACGACCCTCGCCGAGTTCGAGTCCGTCTTCCCCAAGCTCCAGGAGGTCCTCATCGAGCACGCGCAAAAGTACAAGCTTCCCAAGGAGGAGTTGGCATGGTACAAGAAGGCAAGCATACATCCGCACCAACCCGACAAGCCCCACCACGTCTACCGCCCACCGTCACGACGACCTCGTTTGGCCGTCGTGCGGGGTGCCTGTGTGGTGATGGGCAAGAACACAAGGACGAAGAACAATGAAGGTTGACTGTTTCCGTCTGGTTGCACCTCAACAGAGTCTCGAGATCAACACCCTCGGCGGAAAATGCAACCGCGGCATGTCGGTCCCCGACTCCGTCTCCCTGCTGCTCGGCAAGCCCCTTAACGAGGAGGAATACTTCCAGGCGGCGACGCTCGGCTGGATGACGGAGCTCCTGCAGGCCTTCTTCCTCGTGTCGGACGACATCATGGACGGCAGCATCACGCGCCGCGGCAAGCCCTGCTGGTACCGCCACGAGGGTGTCGGCATGGTCGCCATCAACGACGCCTTCATGCTCGAGGCCGCCATCTACACGCTGCTGCGCAAGTTCTTCCGCGAGCACGCCAGCTACGTCGACCTGCTCGAGCTCTTCCACGAGGTCACCTTCCAGACCGAGCTCGGCCAGCTCTGCGACCTCCTGACCGCCCCCGAGGAGACGGTCAACCTCGACAACTTCAGCATGGAGAAGTACAGCTTCATCGTCGTCTACAAGACTGCCTACTACTCCTTCTACCTGCCCGTCGCCCTCGCCCTCCACTGCCTTAACATCGCCACCCCCAAGAACCTCAAGCAGGCCGAGGACATCCTCATCCCCCTCGGCGAGTACTTCCAGATCCAGGACGACTACCTCGACAACTTTGGCCTGCCCGAGCACATTGGCAAGATCGGCACCGATATCATGGACAACAAGTGCAGCTGGCTCGTCAACCAGGCCCTGCAGATCGCCACCCCCGAGCAGCGCAAGATCCTCGAGGAGAACTACGGCCAGAAGGACAAGGCCAAGGAGGCCGTCATCAAGAAGCTCTTTGACGACATGAAGCTCAAGGAGCGCTACGAGCAGTTTGAGGAGAAGCGCGCCAACGAGATCAAGACCATGATTGACAACATTGACGAGAGCGAGGGCCTCAAGAAGGGCATCTTCGAGGCCTTCCTCGCCAAGATCTACAAGCGCACAAAGTAGACGTGACCCCTTTTTGAAAACTACCACCTAATGCGGTCTTTTCTGTGTGGCAGGGAGGATTAGAGAAGATACCTGAGTGCAATTGATTGATGATGATGACAACGACAATAGACCGTTAGAATCATGCATATCCATTATTAAAGTAAAACAAAAGAAAATCCTCCGACTAGATTCCTAGGTTTTTTTCCCGGTCTCCACCGCTGCTGGTTCCTCAAAGTTGATTTTGTGACTGACATAATTGTCGACACCCTGGGTATCTCACATGTTAAATGATCACATTACGCCTAGTCCGCGAGCACCGTCTCTGCGCGTCACTTTTTTTCTTTTCTTTTTCTTCTTCTTTCTTATCGCAAGTACGCGGTCTTGTTTCCTCGCAGATTTTTTTCGGACCCAACACTCAATGTTTCTCAAATGTCTGCAACGACGCCGAGACGTACTGGCAGACAAAAAGGCAAGACTTAGTGCCTGACGGTGCCACTCCGGCCAAGACCTTGTGGCGCGCGGGGCTTCGAATCACGCCCTCTGTCGCGCTCCACAAAGTTGATGAGTGGTAGGTCCTCGTCGTCCCGTCTCGAAGACTGTCTCGGCATCGACGGGATGGGAGGCTGCTCGTTTGAGACAACGCGACGAATGGCGCCGCCGCCTGCCGTCGAGCGACTTCTTGGTCTTGACGCGGCGGACTGAGATGCCATGCGCTGGGGAGGATAGGCCTTCGCGGTGCCCATACGTGTGACGGTTTGCAGCTGGGGTCCCAGGACTGCATCCGGCTGGTCCCAGCCCGTAGCCATCTCGATCAGAGGCTTGCCGTTGGGGGCCCTGACGCCGCGGCCCTGAGCGTCTCGCCAGGCCGAGGGCAGTTGGGGTATCTTAGGCGTCAGGTCGACAAGAGGTTGCGGCATCTCTCGCTTCCCTGAAGACGACCCCCGTCCGACGTCTTCGGACGTGATGAGACGGGCAGACGTGCTGGGGGCGGCCGCGATCGGCTCCGCGGTGGTGTCGGGTCCACTGCCGCGGATCGAGAGGACCGCACTGTGCCTCTTCTCTCCGGCAGCTGCCTGTCGGGCTCCGGGACCTGGTTCAAAAGCGAAGGGCCCCCTGTGAAGGGGCTGTCGGATGTGTGCTGCTGTTCTTCGGCGACCTTCTCTGCCTGCTGTTTGCGTCCGTCGTAGCCGCGGCCCAGCAGGCCACCAGACCTGAACTCCTGGTCTTTGGCGAAGGGGTCGATGAGCTTCTTCGCGCCGGGCGGGGACACGTTGTGTGTAGTCCTGGATCGCGAAACAAGCTTATTGGTGTGCCTGGGTGTGGACAGATGCTCTGCCGGTCGCGCTGTGGGCCTGTCCGAGTCCTTGCCGTAATCATCGATCGGCTTGTCGAACTTGTCCATATCGAGTAGCGGGGAAAATGTTCCGATCGTGTAGGGTGTCTCATCGATAGACGCCCTGGCCCGGTGCACGGTCCCGCTTCTAGCAAGGCCACCAGTTTTCGGTGCGGCCTTCTCAGCGCTGCCGTGGTGAGATTTTGTCTTCTTGGTCAGGTCAACCTTCTTGTTGACCAAATACCAACTGCGCCACCCGTGAATGATTCTCCGGAAGTCTTCAGCGAGCCTGGAATCATCCGTGGCGAAGAAGTGGATGAAGTTTTCGGTGTTCTGGAAAACGCTGTTTTTCTGCTGGCTCTTGATTGCAGTGCAGTTCTTTTTTGGTGGCCTAATGTTTTTCAACATGTCCTTCTCAGTAACTGCGTAGATGTCAAAGTCGGAGAGATGGCAAAGCGAGACGGTGTCCTTATCCGACAACTTGGCATCCTTCTTTTTGGACGAGAAGACCTGTCCGCTCTCGACGAGAGTGATGTAGCGTTTGTTCCATTTGCCAGGCCGATTACAGTGGTAGAGGGTGAAATTGACGAGACCAGAGGGCGGATCAATGGTGCGGGGCACACCTTCGAGGTTCAGGTCGGAGTCTTTGTCTGTAGAGCTGCCTGGGACGATGAGGAGGCAGTGCTGCGTGTCGCGATCCCAGGAGTTCATGACATCTCTCACACGCTCGTAGCGTCTCAGCCGACGCTCCAGACCGTAGGAAAAGTAGCACTCTAGCACGACACTGGTTTTCGGGTTGATATTGTGGGTCATAAGATTGGCGGCCGAGTACAAGAGCTCGTTGGGAGTGGTGTCAGGCGTCACTGGCAAGCTGATTGACGACTGCAGGCAGCGTATCGTCACCCGCTGGGGACCTAGTTAGCAACGGCTCGCCTAAGACGGTTTGATGGGCCAGCCAAGGGCGACTTACGCGTTCTCCAGCGTTGCTGGCCGATGCCGGGGCGTCGGTCTGGGGGACGATGCCGCCGCCGCCAGCTTGGATGAAGCGTGAAGGGTCCATGTCGCTCACTGGCCTGCAATCGAGCGTGAGAGGTTGAAAGTAAGCCGAAGGGGCCTTGGTGAGAGTGGCAGGGTCGGACCTGCGACCTTTTCTAAGAAAGGAAGCGAACTTGTCGACTATGGGGCTTCGAACTCGGGGCGGGGCGTCGGGTATGGCATCCAATTGAGCCTGAAGTCGAGCGAGATCCTTTGCCTTTTGGTCTGCCAAGATGCGATCGGTCTCTTCTTCGAGACGGGTAACCTCTTGGGCCCAACGGGCGGCGTCTTCCTCTTCCCGCTCCCTGCGACGGCGATCCTCTTCCTCCTCCTCGGCTTGTTGGCGCTGCTGCTGGCGCCGGCCCTGGCGTTGTTCGTCCTCTCGGGCAAGGTGATGGTCCCACTGGGCGGTGCGGATGTGTTCCTCGTCAGGGACGGGTTGAAGGGCGAGCTTGGTAATGATCTGGGAACGAGCGTGGTCGGCTCTGGCAGAGAGCTTAAGGTCGGCGCATGACGAGTGGGAAAAGAGCGAGGTAGGATTGTGCGAACGAGGCCGCAAATGAGGGCTGGGGAGCGGGAGGAGGAGTTGGTCTCGTGCCTGGGTCGGAACGGGTGGTGGTAACCCAAGAGGGAGTGGTGGGATTGGCGGTGGTGGCTCAAGTGGTGGTGGTGGTGGTGGTGGTGCAAGTGCATCTGATGCACCCAGAGTCGTTTCCGTTGCCGCATCAGCAGCTGACGTTCCAACGGCTTGTTGTAATAACGCTGATCCTGCAGATGGAACAGACGGACAGGGGCCAAGAGCATACAAAGGGGTCTGAGTGGAGGAAACCCCTGGGGCTGGGGACCTAGATCCGGAAGAGGACCGCGCTAGGGAGAAAGGAGAACCTGGCTCGCTGGGGGGTCTGGGGCTGGGACCACCTGCTGCAAGACCATCTGCTGCTGTGTTCGCATTGGCGTGTGCATTCGCATAGACACCCGCGCGAGACGGCGATGCAAAAGAAGACGGCGACGAAGGAAAATAAGGAGGCGAAAAGGAAGGTGAAAAGGACGCTCCATGCAAGGGACTGTCAGCCGCGTTGGGGGCCGTCCTCGGTCGTCTTCGGTTGGGGTAGCTGAAGCGCACAGGGGAATCGGGGCGTGCTAGGACACCTTTCCCAGCACCACTAACACCACCGTAGCCGGCGCCGGCGCCATTCCCTCGGTTGATGGGAGATCCTCCGTCCAAGGCAAACTTGCCATTGTTACCATTGTCGTTGTTATTCTCGTCTCTGCCGGGCGTCGCGGCCAACAGATCGTGCCATTGCCATTGCAGCGTCAGTTGTGGTGCTCCCGTCGGTGTTTGCGGTGTCGATGCAAATGATGACAGCAACGGCGCAGTGCGTCTTCTCGCCGCCGATGCTGGTCCTTGCTGTTGCTGCTGCTGCTGCGGCGGCGTCGTCGATACTGACGTTTCGGTAGGCTGCGCTTCGTCGAGGATCGCCTCCTCCTCGTCGACGGCGATGCCGATACAAATGCCAATGCTTGTCGCCGTTCCCGTATCCGTCGTGGCATTCGACGCCGTCTCGTCGTCCTGGAAAATATCCACATCCCAGTCCCGCCAATCTCGGCCAAAATCCAACACGCTCTTGTGCTCCCGTACACTTCGGACGCTCCTGTACCGCGGCATTCTCCCGGCAGTGACGCTGTGGCCCCGTCGAGGTGGATGCGGCGCAGGAGATTTCGGCGGCCCAGGGCCCGCCGACATGGTTCGACTCATACGCGGAAACCCTTCCATTGCGCGATATTATTTCGCTCTCCTTCTCGGCGTGTGTGCAAGTGCGCGTGCTACCCGACCTTTCCGTTTGGACAACGAAGCGAATGCTGCTGTGCAACCGACAGGGCAAACCGTTTGGTACCGATTCTTCAACGCTACGCCGTACCCAGTCGTCATCGACTGGTGGGATATTAATGAGACGGGGCAGTTCCCCCGGATCCTCGTCCGATGGCGTCGATAGTAGTGGCGACGCAGGCGGCGGCAGCGGCCCAGTCCGCTGGAACCCTCGAGCTGATCCCCCAGCCCAGCAGGGAACACTTGAACGTTAATTTTGCGTCGCTCTGCAGCTTTTGGCTCGGGACCCTGCAGATCATGCAAGTGATAGATAACGACGATGAGATAGGGCGTCCGACCAACACTGTGTCTTTCGGTCTCCCCGGCTAGAAATCCTCAACGAGGGGAAACAAGAAACCACTGATTAGATTAGATGGCCATAACCGTTGCATTAACAATAAGCAAAAAGATGATTAGAAGGGCTACCTTGTCGCACGAAAGTCGATTTTGATGCAACCTACGGATGCCGTAGGGAAAGGGGGGAAAAGAAGGAACAAGTGGCGAGACCTCTTCCCATAGTCGGGGTCCGCCAGGACGGACGATAAGGGAGGCCTTTTACATCTCTCCGACTCCTATCCCATTCTCTGCTCCGAGAAGGGCCACCTATCCAGAACGCGTCAGTTCAGGCCCACGAGCCCGTCGAGGTATGCGACACAATGCAATGAGGCGCGAGCCTACGTCGTGTGCCGAATGCCAGTCTATAGTGTTTAATTTGCACCCGCTGATTGTATCATCGCGCACCCCTCGCCGCCGCATTCCAACCCGGCGCCGTACTCCATCTTGGGCCCATCGTGTTTACACTCTTCCAGAACGAGCAACGCGACGCCGGTCGGCACATGGAGTCCCCTGGACATGTAACGGGTTGCATTGCATTTCAGTGCCAGAGATGATTTCGTAATTTGGAATTGGTACCGTTCTCGACCCTTCAATGCTGCCTATCCCTAGTCCCCAGCCAGCCCCCGGTCATTTGTAGTACAATGGAAGAGAATGCTCTACCAGGATCGATATTTGCAACTTGACATGGGAGAGTCCGTCGCCATCGCAAAATGCCAGCAGTTTCCGAACATGCATCTTGCCGCTAAGGACAAAGACTGAGAGCACATCATACCTGCAAATAGAATAGCCTCCTCTCAACTCTCGACGAAGCCTTTGCTTTCCATGGAGCGTTTCAGCGTTTCAGCCTTCCCCAGACCGCAAAGCCGTCGATGCGAACGGGTGCCCTAACACTGATCCAGGCTAATGCCGGAAAGCGTGCACCTCGCGTCTCCACCAGCCGATGAAGTCACTTGTCGACACGTCGATGCCCAATTCCTTGAGCGCACGCGTGCTGAGATGGCAGTCAAATGGCCGCTGAACGCTCGCGTTGGGGTCGTTGCCTTCGATGTTGGCAATGATGCCGTCCATGGACAGGTCCATGATCTCTGCAAACTTCTGGCAAATCTCGTACTTGGTCATTTTGTCCTCGCTGGAGAATTGGAGGACCTTGGGCATCGAGCTGCGGTCGCTGGCCTCGAGGTACTTGCCGGCGATATCTGGTTTTGGTCAGTCGCCATATCCGAAAGTTGGGAGGAGCACACATACCATGACACACACGCCCAACATCTTCGGTATTCGTGGGGTATCGAATAGCCCAATGGTCCATCTTCACCTTGGACTGACCATCCTGGGTCTTCCACAAGGTGTCCATGAGGATGTTGGTGGCACTCTCGGCCGGTGTGTGTGCCTTTCCGTAGAGGACGGGGACTCGAAGGACAAGGCCAAGGCCTTCACGGCCGGCTGCCTTGTACTCCTCCAGGACGGCGAGCTCTCCATCGAGTTTCGTCTGGCCATAGAGGTTGGTTGGTCCAGTTGGTGCATCTGCCTCGTATGGGGCTTCTCCAGGCTTGCCGGAGAAGACATAGTCGGTCGAGATGTAAATAAGCAGAGTGGAGCGAGCAGCACAAAGGTTGGCGAGCGACTTGGTGGCTGCGACGTTAAGAGCTCTGGCAGCATCCGGGTCGCTGTCCACCTTGTCTGGAAACCTCTGAGCGGCGCCTGTCGATCATCACCAATAAGTCAATGGTTCCTGAAAGAAATATAAAGAGGCAAACGGTTGAGACACACAGTGGACGACTACTTGAGGCCTGAGATGGTCTATTAATCATGGTTGCTCTTGGACGTCGGGGTCAAGAAGTCAACTTACTTGGACTCGTCGAGAAACTTCTCAACCTCTGGAGTATTGCCCAGATCGACCTTGAAGACAGAAACCCCGTCGGCGCGTGAGTATCCGGTACCCTTGACGTTCCAACTCCGGAGGTCGAAAGCTCTAGCTACCTGCCTTCCGAGGAGACCGGTGGCACCGGTGACGACAACGTCCTTGCCCGTCATGTCTGGAGATTTGGAGGTATCCTTTAGTATCTTCTGTTGTACAAGATGCAGCAGAAGCCGAGGTAGAGTTCGGTCTTAATTTGCAAATGCAATTCTGTCTGACAGTCACAGATGAAGCTCATTCGGTGACAATCGACGGAAAGCTCTAGTCACTCAGCTACCCCGCGGTGGGGTCCCCTCCAGTTGAGGGAACTCAATTGGGCCAACTCTCGGCTAGTTACATCATCCTCACCTAATGCATAACTGCTTGGGTAGGAGCCGGTACTTCTCGCCTTCATATCACAGTTGAACCGCAATATCGCAGGGCATCGTCGCCTTACTTCCTCTCCACCGGATGAACGCTTTCCAGACATGCAGCGTTACGGCAAATTCCGGCAGGTTTCTAATGAGCCACGACATCCCCAGCTGGCCATGCCACGGCCTAGGTGCTCCAGGCCAAGCGCCGCGTTCCAACGACAAGTCACACCAGCGGGCAATTCAACTTCAGGAATTGTCCCAATTTGAAAAGTTGTCGCCAAAAATGCGGATGCGTGACACCTCGTGCCGAACACATAACGGTAGGGGATACAATGCGGTTCTGAGCGGCAATTTGAACTTCAGCATTGGACCTTCGACTCGCTGTTTCGCCCATGCCCGTGGATCCCTGGACTGGGGCTAAGAATGCCGCAAATCTTCAGGATCGAGTCATGACTTTCTCGACCCCAAGGCCTACTACGGCTGGGCCTTCTGCAATATCATAAGCGAGCAGATGAAGGCGCATTATTTTCCGTCCACTCTCCGACTGGAAACCCCCCGGTCGCATGTACCGGAGGACCTCGGGCAGCGTGGGCGATATATCCTCTCCATAATTTCGTTTCGGATGGTGCGAGCTACCGAGTTTGTAGGAGGCGGACTCTTCAGGACTGATATCTCCTTTATCAGACCGACCACATATGTGCCTGTCATCAATCGACCAACCGCTGCTGGACCCTCAGCGGTGCCTCTGTCGGATTTCCTAGCGACTTGCTCCAGAGGGAAGCATGCACAGGGAGACCCTCGCCAAGGCCATCTTCTCTTTAAGCAAGGCTTACAGTGGACCCCTCGACGAACGAGGCCTAAGAAAGCCTTTTGTTGGAAGGGAGGAAGTTCGGAGCTAGGCGAAGCTAGGCGAAGCTGGCAGAGTGTCCTCCCTTGCCGATACGAGGAGCCGAACCGCCGCCAGCGCCGCGTGTTAAGATTTCCAAATTTTCACCCAACAGCATCTCAGCATCGGTCTGTTGGGTGGAATTGCGTCAAGAGGGCAGAAAGGGTAAGGGTTTTCAAACAGCAAGCATCCTGACACCGGAGAAAAATAGCGCACATCCGCGAATTAGCCTGCATGCGCACTATTGCTGGATGCATGTCGAGGTCTTCAGGCTGAATGCCGCTCTATCGGCCCGCGGAGCTCTCCGCCAATTTGTCGTCCTCAGCCCCCAGATTGCGAATCGGCTAGGTGGATTGCCCTTGTCTAGTCAATTTAGAGTAGCAGGAAAACCGTTGTTTGTCTCCTGCCGCCTGGCCGCGAGACGTTGCCAAGTTTGTAAGTTTGTGCCAAGACGCCAACCTGCTGCTCCCTTTACCCCTTTTCAGCTTTTCCTCGCCGTGAAAGTCTACAGAGGCTCAGCTGCCTGTCCCTTTTTGGGATGCTAGGTACGCCATCGAGCCCTATAATGCTCGATAGGAGCTGGAATGGGGATATAGGCATACTAATCTAAAAGGAACCTGCAGCCGTTGGTTGATGTGGCGTGGAAAATTGAGCGGTCTAAGTGACATGTGTGTTGCCTTTCTCCATGGGGGGTATTGTGAGTTTTCGGCTTCTATCTACTCCTTGTCTTAGCGACATCAATTGCTACGTACATTACGGCGTCAAACGCATGCGATCCCAGCGAAGGGTCTCTGATCTAGTTTATCGCCCGTAGCCTCCGCATTTGGCACAACATGGACAAGCTGCTCCGCTATATTCGTGTGTGTATTTGTACAGGCATATCGAACCATCGTCAAAAAGTGATGTGCATGAAGAACCAAAGAAGTGCCAGCCCTCTTGTTGTGTTTTTCATTGCATATTGTTTTACAAACTCCCCGAGCTAGTAGTCGAGTAGAGTTTCGTGTCGTAATGGCTGCGGCTCGAAGCCTCGTTCCTATCCACGGGCTCCCTTGCGCCGTGAGGCGTCGAATCGCGCCGGTCGTCGTAAATGATATTGACCTCGGTCGTGCGCATGATGCCGTCGTATGTCATAATCTCCTCCTCGCTCGTCGTTGGCGAGTGCGAACGTATCTCGGACCGACCCTTCATGTTCTTGAGTTGGAACGCGTCGGCGTGGTGCGACACCGCGCGGCCCCGCGACGCCGTAGCCGTCGCCGTCGCCATCGTGCGAGACTTTTTGTTCGGATCCCCGCTGTGTCCGTAGCCGTAGCGGCCGTTGGATGAGCTCTTGAGCGAGGCGAAGAAATTGGGGAACCAGCGGAGGAAGAGGCCGCGCAGCGCCGGCGCCGAGGCCGTGATGATGGCGAGGTTCGTTTCGACGGCCGAGTAGGTGAAGCGGATGTCGTAGGTAGGGTCTTGTTCGTTGATGTGGTACGAGACCTCGATCAGCCATGCGAGCCGGAGGACGCTGATGGCGGTGACACTGAAAGCCATGAGAAGGATGTCCAAAGTTGAGGTTTGTGCTCCTGACTTACACAGCTCCAAGGGCAAAGACGCCGAGCAGCGCTACCTTTACCCGGACAGGCATCTTCAACCCGAGGAAGATCCAAAAAGGCAGGGCGAGAGACAAAACGTCAGTGAAGATTGTCAGAGAGGCGGTGCTGACATAGAAGGCGGGCATGTCGATGCACTTGCCCTCCGTCGGGGGGTTGCGACCCGCCTTCTCCCAGAAGTAGCTGATTGGCTGACACTGGAAGACGACGGTGGTGAAGATTGCAATCATGAGCGCAATGTTGAAGACATTGAGCCCGATAATCGTGTATCGAATCGACCGCTTCTGACCGCTCAACCGCAGCAGAAACATCAACACCGACGTTTTGACGAGCGCCAAGATCGGGTTGTATAAAAGCTGGATGATGTAGTTCCATAGACTGCCCAGCCGGTTGTCAGCCTCCAAGGGAATATCCTTAACGTGAACGCCAAGGAAGGCATATCGCATAGCAAAGTAAGATGCTACCGTCTCAGCGATGGACTCGACCTGAATGTATCATGGTGAGCAATCCTCTCGAGAGGTGAAATGTTCGCAGAATCAACTTACCATAGCAAAACATATCAATCCATCGTCTATCGGGACACCTTGTTAGCCATTGCCATTTACATCAACCTGGAAAGGGATCGGCCTGCGCCCAGATCTGCCTTTGACAAGTCGGATTTTGCGGATCACTTACCCCAGCCAAACTGCTTCGTGCTGACTCGGCTATACACCCGCAGGGCCACCACGATGAGGGCGAGTGCGGGGAAGAAGAAGAGCACAAAGAAACCGACATGTTGGAGAGACGAGTACGGGTACGGGTAGTCGTTCGATATAGGAGGCAGTGCGGAAGTCGTGCCAGAGGAATCAGTGTCCCTCTCTTGGGTCAACTGCGCCGCGTGAACCAGAGCCGCGATTGCCTGTGACATGTTGTTTCTTATCCCTTTGAACGTTGGCGTTTTCTTCGGGCAATGTTGGTAAAGCTTTCCAAGCTCAAGTGAGCCTTGGCTGGCAGGTTGGGGGGCCAGCTGTTTGAGACGATGGCGCGGAAAACAGTTCAAGAAGATAGATTTGGGGACAGGAGCAGGTTCTATATGCCATCTCCCCCTTGGGATGAAGTTGCAGGCTACTAGGAAGAGAATGCCCTTTTCCCGCCTTGCCTTGGACCGAAAACGTACTACTAGCCGGCGCAGAGACAGAGCGAGGCAGAGAGAGATTGGCAGAAGACCCAATGGGAAAGGCCAGCCTCTTTTCCCGCTCGTGCAGCGGACAGGGCCTGCCAGAAAGAGGGACGGAATAGCGGAAGTCGTGGCCTCTCAGTGACCTTTGCCTCTGATCAGTTCCTTGTGGCGCCTGATTTTCCAAAACAGATCCTGTTACCAGTGATGTGGGTGCGGCCATGGAAGAACTGGAGCTCGGATGGACTATGTGTAAACCCTACACGCCATGAACTTTCACCCCCCTTGTTGCCTGCTGCTTTTCATACATACGGCAAGGATTTCTTGACTTGGGAGAGTTGAGGTCCTCGGTCGAAGAGATGAATGGAAGGGCGCCAGTTCCAGCCCTCATGGGCAGGGAAAGTGCCCGGGCGGGTTAGTCTTCCTACCGCACCTTACAACACGCCGTCGACTTATCTGGGCTCATCAAGGTACATCATGGTAAATCATGGCACACTATGGCTTGAAGAGACTCTCAACGATAACTTTTGCACTTGCACTTGCAAACGATGACACTACTGAGCGTTAGTGGCGCGAGAAGGGAGCAACCGTCCCATCCATCCCGCTTCCTTCTCCTTCTCTCACAGCATCTGACGCGGGTGGGAATGGGCTTGTGTCTGTGAGCTCCCACCAACAAGCTTACTTGAGAAAGATGGAGGTGAAAGGAGGAGGAGGAGTAAATATCGGCAGGGAGCGAGAAGAGGGGGTGAATGTAACCATCGCGACGCCTAAGAAGGAAAAGAAGCCGAATCTGCTCGCATCTGGCCCCTCCCGCCACTTCGCCCCGAAGGTGATCAATAGATTAAAGGTGACTCTCGCTGTAGGCGGCCTGTAGGGCAAGGGCCCGAGGGTTGCGAAGAAGTGATGTGCGAGATCGTAGGTGCCATTTCGGTGGCTGTGGAGTCCCTCTGGAGCCGGTCTCTGGGAGACTTGGAATATCGAACGATGGCTGACGTCGAATTGGCTCGTGGGGCGGGACTAGGGAGTTACTTCGATTGGATACATCGACCCTCGTATAAGTCTGTGGTCGATAATCCATGTTTCCAGGCCGAATCCCGGGACGTATGTACACTGGGACTCCGTAGGAGGTTCGGACCAGGTGAAACCACTTCCACACTGGGTACTTTTACTAGCGCAGCTGTGGCTAGCATGGGATGCGTGGGCGAGTTGCTGAGTTGGGCAGGGCACCGCTGGCGGCTGCATGATAATAGGGGTTTCCATCACCCTTGTCGATCTGGCCGAAGTCGATGGGCGAACGAGGGTTGATCAGTGAACCCTGGGAGTTGGTGGAGATGAACAATTCTGTAGACAAGAGAAGCGACTGGCTAGACTCTCAGATACGACCGAGCAGCTCGGGGGCTGTCATAAGCCTGTTTCTGGCAAATTTCCTTGGGGGTTCCATGCATGTCAAAGGCCGCGCGCAGTCGATTTGTGAACAAAAGCCGAGAAGAAAAGAAACCATGTCTCCCACGTTGACGCGAAGAAGCAACCAATGCAGGTCCCTCTCATCTGGCGATCGGAAATTTAACGATTGCCGTGCTGTCACACTCAACCGTTTTTCTTTGCCTTGCCGCAACATTGCCGCTGTGGCGTATTCGGTGTTGTAAGTGGGTTGGTCGTCTGTTCAACGCCATGTTTTTGTGAAGTGGGATTCGATGCAGCCATCGACGGTACCGGATACCCCAGAGAGGGGTTTTGAACCCATAACGCGCGTTGGGCCGCTCCCGATAACCAACCCGCACTCGAGACCAAAGGTGGTCTTTGCATTGGAGAACCAGCTCGCAGGAACCAGGGCGCGGCCTGCACCCCGATGGATACTCTGTACTCCGTCAGGATTTGCAAGCCCACCGGGCCCGAAATTAATTCGCCCTCAATCTAGTGTATTTGCGCGGGACAGGGGTGGGCACCCCGCGGACCACTCTTCTTCATGCTGACTAGCCTGCATGCATAAGAGTACGACGACTGTTCGTTTAGCGTCTGAAAGGTTGTGTGTCGGTCTGAACGGGTGGCAAGTATTGCCATTTGGATCCTTCTACCTGTCTTCCTTGAAGAATTGGTACGGATACTTAGGCAGCCATCCGGCTTATGGCATTCCATATCCCAGAGTATGGGTGCAGACACAGCTCCTCATTGTCGTCGTGACAGGCTTAAGCTTTCATCTCAAGGAGGAAAGGGATGACGGGTTCTTCATAAATTTAGATATCGTGAGCAAACGAAACAGCCGGTTCGTGCACTCCGCAAGGAGAATCCCGCTTACTACCCTGACTCCGCCTCTCCTCGGTGCATAACTGAATCGCTGGTGAGGTGCGGACCACCCCCTGCTCGTTAGCCTCTCAGGAGTGACTGTGCCTTGATCACAAGGTGCCTCCTTATGGTTATCTCCCGGCGCTACACAGGTTGTGTTGTGCGGGAAGGATTTGGGGGGATCTTGGATGAGACCGGTGGGATATTGCCCGTGATTCCCAGATACCGCTTAGGCCAAACTTCGGGATACCGTAGAGGGTTGACATCCATCCTTGCAATAAAGAATCTTGCTTATGCAAATCTCCCATGCGCTAGTTGCTGAGATGCTGGCCGGTTGGTGTTGACTGTGTGGACCGAGAGGCGGGGGCAAACTACCCAAGTGGACCTCGTAGAGTAAGAGAGGGAATAAGAAAGAGAAAAAAGTTGTGAGTGTTGCAGATGTCTGTTGGACTAGGTAGAGACTAGGCTGCTCCATTGGAACCTGGGAGGACTTGACTCGCTCAACGGAGACCGGGTGTTCTCGGTTCCAGGATATCAAAGAGTTTATCCAGAATTTCAAACAAGACACGAAGTGAGATGTCTTGCCCATCACAGCCTGGGCCGAGCGAGAGAACCCGCGGGTGAGCAGGCGTTCCCAAGGTCGATCCGTCAACCGCTGTGCGCACTGACGCCACGGTCGGCGAGCAGGCCGAGTAACCGACCGACCGGACATCTTGCATCGGCCAGAATCCTCTCCACCTCGCAGAGAAGTCTACACCGTGGGGCCGAGATGACTACGACATGCAAGGGTCGAGTCCACAATCCTTGGGGCTACCACGGTGTCACCACCTTGACCAAGATGCCAAGCCCCAGGATGCGATTTCCAACGTCCAGCTACCCAAGGGACGACAATCTGTGCTGGATCCTTGCTGAGGCCGACTCCAAGTGGGGATGAAGCTGCACGTTTTCGGTGGAAGGGGGGGAGAGCGAGGGCCTCCAGGTCGTCTTCTCCTCTCTTGTGAGTAACTTCGATCGAGCCTGTGAGACCTTTCTTGCCGTCTCTCTAAGAACGGTACCGAGCGCGGCGAACATGGCATCCCCGACTTTCCCCTATGCTTCCCAGCCCCCAATACATCGTCTCCCACAGGGCAAGCATTGTTCATCTCCCTCAGACAGGTCTCTGCGGATATCTGTCAATGCCTGCTAGGTACTAAGAAGTACTTGGATCACTCCGTGACCCTGGCGAGAGGATGCCTGCTGCTATCAGTTGCTTTTGGGAGTCTCGTCCGTCGATAGTCGTCTCTTCCCGCCCTTCGCCCCTTCATCTGGTTGCTGAGAAAGGCATGGTTCTAGAAGAGGCCTGCAAAATTGCTTCTCGACGGTGGGTGTTTTGCCCTACATCAATCCGGAATAAGGTAACACCTCCCGGCCGCACGGCGACACTATTGCCATCCAGATCCCCACTGGTCGCCACCATCCTCGCCGTCTATCGTTCGATTCCGCAGGTGGCATAGCGAGGCCATCTCCGTGTTGGTTCTGTCGTGCCAAAGGTGCCCACTGCCTCTCGGCCTGTCTGCCGCTTTGTCCAGCCGTCCAACCGTCCAGCGTTCCATTGCTCATCTCGGTCTCCACGCGTTCACCCCGCCAGCGTCGTAGGCAACTACCAAAAGCAACTTGCGAGACTTTATATATTTGAAGCAACCACGTCCCGTCTTTGTGATCTTCGCTTCCTCCCCATCCGTCCTCCAGCAGCACTCGCGTCTGACTTCCACGTGGCAACCATGTCTTCGACGCGCTCTTTTCTGACGGCGGCTCTGCTGTCTGTCGGCCGCTTGGCTGCGGCTCAGACCATTGAAGTTGATGGCCAACAGCTTGGTGAGTAGCATACCCGGAGATTGATACATTTGGCCAACCTTGACTGACTTACCGACTCTTCAGCTGCCAACGTCTCCACCGTTGCTCCCGCTGCCGAGGTCGCTGATGCTTCCGTCGCCAGCACCTCTGCTGGCCTCTTCACCCAGGAGAAGGTTCAGTTGACCGATGCTGTCCTTGCCAACCTCACGGCCCTCCAGCTGTCCAACATCTCCCTGTTCGCTTTCGAGGATGAGTCTTCGGTCGAGAAGAGATCTGTTTTCGGCAAATGCAAGACGTACCCCGGAGACTTCCTGTACCCCATCAGCCTAGTCTGGAACGTCTTTGACCTCCTTTTGGGCGGTGCTCTTGTCAAGACCATTCCCGAAGCCTCGGTCTGCTACGATGACTTCGGCAACTATGATCAGGCCAAGTGTGATTTCTTGACTGCCAACTGGGTCAATGGCTCGCACATCCACACTGAACACCCCACGGCCATCAATGCAGTCCTTTTTGAGGGTCTGAACTGTATGCCTCCTACGATCAACGTCGGCGAGACCACTTGCAAGGTTGGCGGCCTTCCCTCGTATGTTGTTGAGGCTACCACCGTCGCTCACGTCCAGCTGGCCGTCAACTTCGCCCGCAATCTCAACCTTCGCCTGGTCGTCAAGAACACTGGCCACGACTTCGGCGCCAAGTCCACTGGTGCTGGCTCGCTGTCCATCTGGACCCACCAATTCAATAACATCCAGTACTTCCAGAGCTACCAGCAGGGCTCGTACAATGGTCCCGCTTTCAAGCTCGGTGCTGGTGTTCGGGCGTTTGAGGTGTACGAGGCCGCTGACAAGTACGGCGTCACTGCCGTCGGCGGCGAGGGTCAGACTGTCGGTGTTATGGGCGGCTACGTCCAGGGCGGTGGTCACAGCCCCATGTCTGGTTTGTGGGGCATGTCTGCCGACAATGTGCTTTCTTTCGAAGTCGTCACTGCTGATGGCCGCTTCGTGACTGCTAGCGAGTCTAAGAACCCTGATCTCTTCTGGGCCCTTCGCGGTGGCGGTGGGTCGACCTACGGCGTCGTCACCTCCGCTGTGGTCAAGGTGCACCCCAAGATCAACATCACCACCATGACTTTTGCCTTCTCCAGTGGTGCGAACATCACCAACGACCAGTTCTGGGCGGCCCTCCGTGCCTACTTCGACGGTTTCGTCGAGTACGCCGTCGGCAACGCCAACTACGGATACTTCCGTATCCAGAACCTGGGTACTTCTTATGCTTTCGACATGGGTCCTTGGTGGGCTCCCAACATGACTGAGGCCCAGCTGCGTGAGCTCACGGCGCCTCTCTTCGCCAAATGGGCCGAAATTGGCCTTGACATCGAGCCCGTCTACACCGAGTACGACAACTTCTATGATGCCTGGAGTGCCTCGTTCCCCTTGGAGCCCTGGGGATCCAATGCCATTCGTCAGGCCAGTCGTCTCTTCCCCAAGGCCAACTGGGAGGACGAGACCAAGCTCAACGCGACCTTCGAGGCCATCAAGTCCGTTGTCGAAGATGGTGCATACATCGTTGCCTTCAACATGATGGCTGCGCCCAAGACCGGCTACCCTGACAACGCCGTCAACCCTGCCTGGCGCGAGGCCGTCATGCACTGCATCGCTGCCGCCATGTGGGATCCCACTGCCGAGGAGTCAGTCATCAAAGCTGCTAGCGACAAGCTCACCTTCGACTGGCTCCAGCGCTGGCGTGATGTTTCTCCCGGTGCCGGTGCGTACATGTCCGAGTCGGATTACATTGAGCCCAACTTCACCCAGGCTTTCTGGGGCACAAAGTACGAGAAGGCCCTTACGCTGAAGAAGAAATACGACCCCAACGATGTCTTCTACGCCCAGAACGCTGTCGGGTCGGAATACTGGCAGATGTCGGAAATGATTCTGGGTAACCTGCCATCCCAGAACAGCAAGCTGTGCCGCAAGCAGTAAAGAGTTATTGTATACCTGGGCGGTGCATTTTTCAGGATACGGTCTGTCTTTTGGATTCTCTGTAAATATTGCCGCTGTAAATAAGAGTGGCCGGCGTCATATGCCACTTATATCCTAGACCAGAGATTATTAGTAGACGATCTCACGACACATTAGAATAGCGATTTTTATATCCTGACACACCACAAGACCTTTGATTCCATTGAATTCAACATCCCATCCTACTTCAATTAAGCATATTTCAGATCTGGTGTGATCATGTAGTTGTCGCTTATCCCGAGTGGTAGAAAGTTGCAGCACGGGATGTCGTGCTACTAGTGGCCAAGATAATGAGCATTCAGGCTCATGGACTGAGCAAGCGGATTTTTGTTGAAGTTTTCATAGAGAATTAGATAAAAGTGTCGGGAAGAGATAAACGGAATAAAAATAGACCGCGAGGTGTAGTTGCGCTGTCTGTTTGCCTAGTCTCTTTCAGGTGTTGACGGTGAAAGCTGGCCTTGAATCCGTAGCAGTCGTGATTGCGGCGTGGAGGTACGTACTGGTGTTTTACCGGACCCGCTTAAGTTATGCGCTAATCCCAAACGGACCAGGCGCATAACCTGCCTTGCGAATTTCAAGGTGACATCTCTCCAAATTCTATTCAGACACAGCTCATCAAGCAGCCATCCATCATGGCCTCGATCGCGGCATCTTTGGCGTCGGCCCTTCCGAAACCCAAGTACACCGGCGAAGATGAAGAGACTCCTTCACACGCTCAACAACGCGGCCCGCGTATCGTCGGGGCCGGTCAGCTGGACGAGACGCAGATCGTACTGAAGCGATCCGGCCCTCCTCCTTACCAGCAGCGAGCAGGATGGCGACCGCGAGGACCCGAAGACTTTGGCGATGGCGGCGCGTTCCCCGAGATCCCGATCGCCCAATACCCGCTCGACATGGGAAAGAAGGGCGCGACGACCAGCAACGCGCTCGCCATTCAGGTCGACGGCGAGGGCAAGCTCGACTACGGGGCCATTGCGCGTCAAGGCCACAGCGAAAGCCGGATTGTTCATACCTCGTTTAAGGACCTCATCCCTCTTCGCCAACGCGCCGATGCAGGCGAGATTGACCTGAGCCGACCGAGTCAAGAGGAGGTGGCAGCGACGGCGGAAAAAACAAAGAACGCTCTGGCAGCGCTGGTTAGCGGCGCCGTGGCCTCGCAGAAGCCGAAGACACTGAGCGTTGGAAAGCGAAATGATCCTACATTCGTGCGATACACGCCGGCGGACCAGATGGGAGACCACTCCAAGAAGCAAGACCGTATCATGAAGATCGTGGAGCGACAGAGAGATCCGATGGAGCCTCCCAAGTTTAAGCACAAGAAGATCCCTCGCGGACCCCCCAGCCCGCCCCCTCCGGTCTTGCGATCGCCGCCACGGAAGCTGACGGCCAAGGACCAGGAGGACTGGCGCATCCCCCCGCCGGTCTCCAACTGGAAGAACCCCAAGGGTTTTACGGTTCCCTTGGACAAGAGATTGGCTGCCGATGGCCGTGGACTGCAGGACGTGGCGATCAACGACAAGTTTGCTCAGTTCTCCGAAGCCCTCTACGTGGCAGACAGGCACGCCCGTGAGGAGGTCAGGCAGCGCGCAGCCATGCAACAGCGCCTGGCAGAGAAGGAAAAGGCACAAAAGGAAGAGAACCTCCGGATGCTGGCCCAGAAAGCTCGCGAAGAGCGTGCCGGCGCCGGCAAGCGGGACTCGCGGTCGCGATCGCGGTCACGCAGCTACAGCGGCTCCGACTCGGAAGACTCAGAAGGCTCTGAGGACTCCGAGATCCGGGAAAGAGAGAGGGCAAGAAAGGAGAAGATGCGCGACGAGGAGAGGAAGCTTCGGCAATCACGAATGGGAGCCGAGAGGAGAGTCCAAGTCATGGCCAGAGAGCAAAACCGAGACATTTCAGAGAAGATCGCCCTCGGTCTCGCCAAACCCACGCAGTCCAAAGAAACCATGTACGACTCGAGACTGTTCAACCAGTCCAGCGGCTTCGACAGCGGGTTCAACGAGGACAACCACTACGACAAGCCACTTTTTGCTGCACAAGATGTTATTAACAGCATTTACCGGCCGCAGGCCAACATGGATGACGAGGAGGACGAGGCTGCAGGTGACAAGGAGATGGCCAAGATTCAGAAGTCTAGCCGCTTCGGCGAGGCTCTGGGCAGAGGCACTTTCAAGGGCACAGAAGACGTTGAGGTAAGTGCATCATTCTGGATGACAGCCAAGAGCAGTGCTAACAGATGGCTTTCCCCACACAGGCAAGAGAAGGTCCCGTGCAGTTTGAGAAGGACGCGGGGGATCCTTTCAACGTAGACAAGTTTCTGTCCGAGGTGGAGCAAAATTCATCGTCGAAGAGGGGATACGGGCTTCAGGACGATGATTCCCGGCAGCCGAAGCGGGCGCGAGTAGAAGAGGACGACGACTAGAGAACTGGAACCAACACAAGGCACCCGAAGCTTAGGTCCGTTGCGAGACGGGGCGGGACACTGTGGCTGGCATTGAGATGGCGGCTCATCCATAGCATCGGATACGGCTGTAAACCGCAACATGGCAGGCGCTCCAGTGCAGAGCATAATGCAGGAAAAAAAAGTAATTCGACGAGTTATGTGCAGAAGTCGGCGCGAGGCTTGGTGAAGGAAAAGAGTGGATGCTTGCGTAGACCCGGCCGTGTTTTTCAGGGCGAGCTGTCAAGGGCTGAGAGCCGACTGGTGAGTTTGTAGCGACGTTCATTGTTTCAAAGATGACAAATTCATGCGGACCTGGTTCAGTTGTTTGGCCACTGTGCTCCGCTCTACAAGACGAAGCCGAGCACTGGACGACTCGGTCCATTTTGGCACATGGGCGACGACGGCTGGTTTGACGGGCCTGGGTTCGGTAAATCTTGTCAGAGAGTTTTCGGTGAAGTGCCAGTCGAGGCCGGCGAGGGAGCTGCCGCGGGCTGTCATTGGTCCTGTTGCATGGATGTTCAAAAAGCAATATCAGGCGAGCCAGGGTAGGTTGGTAGGGGAGAGGGATTGAGACGGAGATCAGGCAGGGGAGGAAACGTGGGAGGGAGCTGGAGCATTGGACGTTCCGGCCTATATTTATGTTGGTAACCTAGCTCGATTGACAGGTTGTTGAAACAGACGCAGCCGTCTTTCTTGGTTAAGCTCTGGGCCGGAGACTTGCCGTGTCACGGCCCAATGGCCGTCCAACGCCGAGGGTGTGATGGTGGATGTTTCCGAAGGCCAGAGTCTAAAACATCCCGAGGGTGGGACTCGTTGCCGTGACGTGAGGAGAGTTGCTGTCTGAAGCCTCGTGAGACTTGGAGAAGAAGGTTGTTTGCTTCAGCGGCTCGCCAGCATGGAAAGACTGACGCGGTTTGTAGTGTAATTTAGAGTCATGCTTTGCATGTTGGCTTTCGGCATGTCCTCAAGCAGTTCCGATATATTTCAGCCTCGGTTCCTGCGGGCCGGGTTGGAGAATTTGATCACAGTTCCCTTAATCTTATTACTGTGTTGGTGTTTGCACGAACAGCACGCCCGAACATGATCCGAATTGGGAGGTTCCACGCGCCGATCAGCACGGGAGGGCTGTGATCCCTCAATGCGGCTCGCTATTATTACGAACGTCCTCTAATGTAAGAGAGAATCATGACGATTACTAGACCTGATATGACCACTACCGTGTTTCTGTTGAGCCGGCTCTGTTCTCTGTGCTTCCTCGTCTCATCTTTGATGTACTGGGAACATTCCTTGGAACGAGGAGAAACCTGCGGCGTGTTTCTCAGCTTTTCAGCGACATAAACCCTTGCCGAAGTATATCGCCTCTTGATTGGATCGGCATTCTTCAAGAAACCCCTCTACAGACCAAGTCGATCCCGGCGGCTCTACACGCCAAAAAATAAAAATTAAAAAAATTAAAACAAGAATTGAGGAAAAAAGGTAATGATTACGACGGGCCTGGAAACGGCATCGCTCGCAATGTCTCGTCTGGGGTTTCTGATTGACTTTGGAGCTCCAGGGCGTCCAAACTCGGCTGCCGCTGCCAAGCCCTTTGGTGCGGGTGCGTTGTTCGGTCGCGAAGCCGAGCCCCTGACGCGCGAGGCCAAGTGCCACCCCCAAGACCAAAAAACCCAATGCATGCCACCTTGGACAGAGCCTTCGCCAGTCGTCAGCCGCCGCTATGAGGCGCTATGAAGTGTCGATCCTGCCGGCTGCATCATCCGATGTCAACCTCACCCTTTCTTCATCCTGTGCGACATCGGATTTCTTTTTCTTGCGTTGACGCCGACCGACACCTATCAACCTTGGCATAAAAAAGCAAACGCAGCAACTTAGTCCGGCAGTCGAGGCGACTGTCTTGGACGCGCCCGCGCTCGTTCGGGTTCCCTCTTTTCTTCTCATCTCGAGCGTCAACCAGTCTTGACATGCGGTCCTTTTCATTTCGGGCTGAGCCCTGCATCGAACTTTTGACTCTGATCTCTGAATCTCTGATCTCGAGACACAGGCCCAGGAACCCCGGCCCCTGCCCATCCACCAAATCCACACATCCATCCCATCAATGTTTCTCGTCTTCCTCGACCCTGCACCGACACGCTCCTACACGCCCACTTCAGATGTCCCGTCGATGTCCCCTTTCGCCAGATTCTTCATGCCCGAGAGGTGTCTCTGCCTCCAAAGCATGAACATGAAAGCTCCGTCCCAGACACGACACCCCGGACGCACTGGCCAGTCATCAGGCACAGCATGACTATGACAGGAGTTGACTTTTATCTCCTGCAATGCAACTCATTTCTGGCCCAGCCCCTTCCGGCCGGTCAGGGTGCTGCCCTTGCCTCGCAGAAGCCTGTGAGGCGGCCTGCCTAGTTCAGATTGGCTCTTGCAGCCTCTCCGGTGCCTTTCTCCAGATCACATCTGTGCCCCTATTCGGCGGCCGGGGCGGAGGTGCCAGTTGTTGTCTCGTTTCTTTATGCTTTCAACCCCTGAATTATGTGGTCTCCAGGGTATCGCCCATAGCTCGGACGCACAGTCGAAGCTCAAATGCCAAGTTGGCAGTTGGCTGTCAGGGTGCTTGTATCATGTCCTGCCCACGCGGCGTTGTCGTCGTTCTTGTCGTTGTCTTGGCCTCGAGTTGTCCGTGAGGAATGACCACGATCGATGCTTATTTCTCCAGGTTTCCCACCTCCCACTACCTCTCGGTAGCTCTCTTTTTCCCTTCATCTCTCGACCTCCCACATTGTGTGTTCGCTACCTGCCCATGGCGTTAATTACTACCTTCCTTTTAATACTTGCCCATAATTTCCCTTCACGCCTCTGAGAGGACTGCGCCGCCGCTTTGCAGATACATCACCAATATCACCACTATCACCAAAAGTCCCATTCCCGATTACGTGAGTCATCTGTCTACTTTGGGCAAAACCACGCCATAGTAGGACCGAAGCTGGGACAGGAACACGAGCATTCTGCGCCCGACTTTCGCATTCGCGCACCCCGGTACAAAAGACGCATCGGCGTACCCTGCAGACGAAGTCGGCCTGCCTCTGCTCCGCCAGGCACCTAGCCACCCATTGGGCCAGATTTGTGGTCCACCCACGTACGCGTACATACTACGTATGATAGGCGTAATCGTCACTCTGTTAAATCGGGGAGGCGTATCAGCTTGAAGAAGATGGTTCCAACTCTGGGGCCAAAGGCTTCCCTCGGTTACACTCCGTTTGAGTACTGGAAGGGTCCGAAACCCGTTCTTCCTAGAACAAGGCGCAAATCACTGGCAGTCGCTGTCGATCTAAACCCGCTGCTGCCCACCCCCACACCGGCTAGAGAGTCCAGGGCAGCCGCAGCATGGCCTGGCCAGCACCTTCCTGCAAGCGTCTTCGTGGCGCAGCCAGGCACATATACCGTATTCTCCGATAACGTCAAGATGCCCTTTGGGGAGATTCTTGTCGTGCCGCCCAAGGTGCTGGTCCACCCACTTTTCCGCGATGAGATAAAGACCCCAGAGTGGCCCAGGGGATTCTCCCCGTACCCGGACTCTATGAAAGACTCTGAATACAACGGCACCATGGGCGAATACGGATTCTCTAACGAGCGCCTCGGCCAGAAGACGGCGTGGTGGAACCCGAAAGGGTGGACGAAGCGGATCTGGGCGGGCGTCGGCGCCGCCATCGCCGTCATCGTCATCATCGCCGTCGCCGTCACCGTCACACAGAACAACAAGAACCGGTATCCTGATTACTCAAAGCTGTCGTACACGCTGAGTGACACATGTACGGAACCATGCTCAGGGTCGTCACCCGTTATACGAGCCTCTGGCTGATGATGACAGACTCTGGAGAGGACTTCTTTGACAAGTTCGACTACTTCAACACATACGATCCAAGTGTGTCTCATCCAGAATAAAAACTGCCTGGACGCAGTAAAGCTGACTCGGTGGGAAACAGCCGCAGGAATGGTTCACTACGTCGCCGCCGAGGAGGCTGCAAGCAGGGTACATATTCCCCGTCGCTCACTATCCAGGACTATCAGCTGAGCACAGTTTGTCATGATTAAAGAACCTCACCTACGCCACTTCGGACACGGCCGTCCTGAGAGTGGACCACACCACCGGCAACACGTCAAGCCCGGACGCGTCGACCGGCCGGTTCTCGGTCCGCGTCGAGTCCAAGACGCAGTACGACAAGGGCCTCTTCATCTTCGACGTGAAGCACACGCCTTACGGCTGCGCGAGCTGGCCGGCGCTGTGGTTCTCGGACCCCAACAACTGGCCCGACGCCGGCGAGATCGACGTCATGGAGGCCATCAATCAGGGCACCGACGGCAACCAGATGACGCTGCACACGACGTCGGGCTGCGACATGGACGTCAAGCGCAAGCAGACGGGTACGACGCTGCAGTCGGACTGCAAAAACACGACCAACGGCAACGCCGGGTGCGGCGTCGAGGGCTCCACGTCGACGTACGGCACCGGCTTCAACGAGGGCGGCGGCGGGTACATGGCCATGGAGTGGCGCGACGAGGGCATCCGTGTGTGGCAGTTTGCGCGCAGCTCCGTGCCGTCCGACATCACCAACAAGTCTCCCGACCCAAGCGGCTGGGGCGAAGCCCTGGCCGACTTCCCAAACACATCGTGCGACATGAGCTCCCACTTCAAGAACCAGTCACTCATCATCAACATTGACGTGTGCGGCTCGCTCGTCGAGGCAAAGTACGCCGACTCGGGCTGCGGCGGCACCAGCTGCTCCGACTTCCAGGCCAACAACCCGGACGCCTTCAAGACGGCGTACTGGGAGTTTGGCGCATTTAACTTTTACACGGCGTCGTAGGAAAGACGCCGTCGTAGAGGGTGGCTGACGGGAGATGCCGAAGCATAGACTAGAAAGAGAGAGAGAGAGAGAGAAAGAGAGAAGATTATGAGATGAGATGAACCATGGTTTGCCACCAAGGCGGGCACTGGGTGGCTAGGATCGTGACGGGATCGGTCCATGATTTTTTTTATTACCTTCTTGAGCTAGCGGGCGTTACGTTTTGCTTCTCTTCTATTTCTCTACTCCGCCTACGAGCAAAGGGGGAATCGGGGATTTTATTTGGATGATCAAAATGGACGGACAGGAGGACATTTGGGACGGGTCAATCAAAGACTGGGAGCGACCGACTCCATTTTTTATACATAATGTCTAGGACGGTCCGTCTATATTACAAGTCTAATCTTGGCCAACGCTCTCGCTCAGCGGCCGAAACCAAACGTGATCTCGTCAGCGCCGTCGACCGTCCGTCGTGAGGAGTTTACGTGTGCAGCCGTCGCGTGCGAGCAGGAGCTTCCTCCGTCACATGCACACGCACACAGCACACCTGAAAACAAAGTGGAGAGAGTTTTTGGTCTACGTCCTCCTCCCCCCTCCCCCCCAAGAGGCCGCTTCTTCCCCTAAAACAAAAAGCGCAGCAATTGGGGCCTTTCCATAACGCCGTGCAATGCAAACATATCCCGTCTCCTTTTTATACATGTACAGGCGTGACTCTCCGTGAGCGAAGGCGCCCGCGGATGACCGCCGTGACTATAAGAGCCGCAACAGCCTCCTCTTCCCCTATTCAGACAACCAGCAGCCCTCGGCTTCGCCGCAGCGGCCGCGCCGTCTACTCGTCCTTGGGCTGCCGCATGTAGGCGTCAATGGCCGCGCTGAAGGCGGCGAACGCGACGCAGCCGCCGAGCGCTGCCTGGGGCCCCGCGTTCTTGGCCAGGATGCCGCCCGTCAGGCACCCCGCCGCGACGCCGTTGCCGAGGTCGTTCTTGGCCCGCAGGCCCTCGATGCCGCACTCGATGCCGGCGAACAGCGCGCCGACCTTGCCAAAGTTCTTGGCCATGCTGTACGACCGCGTGCCCATGTCCTTGAAGCCGACCTTGAGCTGCTGGCGCAGCGGCAGGTCCGCGATCGGCGTCACCGTCGTCTGGCCCGCCGTCGTCGCCGTGTGGAAGGGGGTGTCGTAGGACATCTGTCGACGGCCGCAAGTCAGTCACCCGGGGTTTGGTTCTCGGGGGTTCGGGGAAAGAGGTGGGAAGCAAACGTACAGATGCCATGAACATGCCAAACAGTCCACCCATACCGAAACCCATGACGCCGGACATGATGCTTTTGGTGAAGCAGTTCTCCATGAAGTTGGTCATCTACAACAGATTTCCGGTCAGCAACCTGTTCTTTCGCGAAAGACCCTACGCATGTATCGTCGCAGAGGCCGCAGAGGAGCACTAGATCGATTGACTTACCGCCTTCATCTCAGGGTCCGGGGGTCCCAGGCCGGCCGCTGCGGCGCCGGGGATTTCGCCTTGCGGCATTTGCGAAGGCATCTGGCCGCCACTGGGGAAAGCCATTGTGCAGAAAATATTAGGATGGGTGTCGTCGAGTGATTGACTCGGTTAGAATACGCCGAATAATGCGATCGCGACGCGCAGGCTAGGAGTGGGCAGGAGCTGTCCGGTCGTAAATATTTCTGCCAGCAAAGACCGCCCGTTGAACGTTCCCTGGGTGGATGCGCCAAAGAGGCAAAATTTCAATTCTTATCTTATCAGCCAGTGGGGCACGTGCTGCGCGCCCAGGCCGACCGACCTCCGGGCGGGCCATCCCGGCCTCTAGTGGGGCGAATGCCGCGTCTTCTCCGGATTTACACTTTCGGAGGCACGGGCAAGAACATCTTGGATCCATGTACTTGACAATGCGTTGGGCCGAGTTCGCTTCGGACCACGATACTGACATCCCCAATGCTATCCAAATGTTAAATGTTTCTCTTTGAAGTGAGCTACATGAATTCTGTTCTCTATCGTGAGAGCACGAGGATAAAGGCCCGCGGTGATCCTTGCTTGGCCTAGCATGAGAATGCCTTTTGATGTGGAAAAGCACGAGTCGAGACTAAACGTGACTGCTACAGACTCCAGAACCATATAACTGCGTGCGTATCCCTGGTATCACCGCCGTCCACGACAGCGGTCGTGGATGCATTGTCGGTCAAAACTCTAACCCCTATCAACTCGTTTCTCCGGCATCCAACGTCGCACAACGGCCGTCTTGAATTACCGCAAAAACAGGTCGCCAACGCCGTTCCTCAATGTTCTCGTCCGGTCGACATGGTCGAGGCCGAGATAGTCATCATCGTTCGTCGCCACGTTCCACAGCTCGTCGTCTGAACAAACATTAGCAATGCAGGGCATCGGTGGCTTCAGGAAGCCTTACCATCGTTCAGGTACTGTGGCTTTGAGAAGTGGGATCTCTTGACCACGGCAAACTTGATCTTCTCGAAGCTTTTGCCCTTCAAGCCCGTCCGCTTCTCCAAACGCTTCTTGGTGTCTGCGAATTTTTCGCCCTGCCCACTGTTAGTATCTCGCGTCGTACTGCTCAACATTCCCTGTACGTACCTCGATGAGCATAAATTTGAAAGGAACGCCGTGAACCCTGCTTGGCTCGTTCTGGAAATGGAACACCTGAATGAAGTTGTTTGCCTCCTCCTCATTAAGCTCTTCCTCGGGAACCCGCTCTGCGAAGACGTTGGTGTAATCGTTCATGCTGATGACGGGGTATTCGCGTGGGAGTTCGCGGTAGAACTTGTGACTGCTGGTCTCGTACACGCGAATCCGTCCGCCCTCGGCCTCGTCAGGAATGCCAGCCTTCTTGACCAAGACCTGGATGAGGTCCTCAATGTTGCCATTCTTGGCAACGAGAAGGTCGAAATGTTCCTGTACGTGGTCAGTATAGCCCAGTGTCTGACGTCCGCATTGCCTCGTACCTCTTTCGTGATGCCTTCACTAAGCCAAGTGATCTTAACAGTCTTCTTAGTATCCAGCTCGGCCAAACTCATGTCCAAAACCTCAAAGTAGAACGCGTCCGTCCGTTGACTTGAGCTAAGCTGGTTGTATCCAGAGGGGTTCAGAATGAGCTGCAAACTTTGGTTGACTCCGCGCTTCACTGTTGTCTTTGGGTTTCCGGTGGCCGAGTTGACGGTCCAGAAGCGGATGTGGGTAGGGTCGACGCCGAGCCTGTCACCAACGCGCTCTGCAAGCACGTCGTAGCTGATCTTGGAATTGAGAACGAGCTCGAAGGGAGGGAATTTTTCAGGGTTGCAGCGAGTCGGATGCGCGTGGAATTTGACGGTCTTCTTGTTGTGAAGGAAGTCATAGTACTCTCTCGCGTCGTCGAAACGGTCGACCTTCTTTGCTGGCTCGTCTGCCGCTTGCTTGTCGCCCAGTCCCAGACGCTTCTCGAGGATGTTCCTGTCGCCCTTGCGCTCCGTCGTCTTCTGGAAGCAGATAATGTCACCGTCCTGCAATTCTGCGGCCTTGAGAGACTGCTTAGCCTTCAAGGCCTCGATCATGGTCGGCTTGATCTCCTACGCAAGAGTTAGCAACGTCTAGAGATGGCAGATTCATTTCATCAACGCACCTCCCAGAGAGAAATCTTTTCGTCCGACGGCAGCTTGTCGCCCCAGCCCATCTTCTTCATGATGATGGGGACCAGCTCCTCGACCTTCTTTTCTTTGCTGATGTAGACGTGGCCAATACCATGGAGAGACTGCGCCTCGACGTCAAAGTGCTTAAGGAAGATCAAGATGAGATCGTTTTTAACAACCACTCCGTTCAACTGTCCTTGGTAGGTAGGCCAGACCGCCTCGCCCTCGGGCGTGGTTTCCTCAGCAACCTCCGCCCATACCCTCAAGAATTGGTCTCGGTGTGCGGCCGCTCGCTGGAAACACTCCTCGACTGTTGGGCGCAGGTCCATAATCGGCTGGTCGGGACGGATAGTCTTGTTCTGACGGTTAACCATAATCCAGAGACGGACCTTGCGAGGGTCCAGGTCAAGAGATTCCGCAATGTTAGCCACCAGCTCCTCCATTGTCGAAGAACGAAGTACTCGGTACGACTTGGGTGCTCCCTCATCCTCAGCATGATCCGCATCGAATGAAGTCAGGTCGGTGCCGCCGTGGGCCTTGAAGGTTTGCTCCGTGATAACCTTCACATAGATGTAGAGGTGCTGCTCCTCCTTCTCCTTGCGTTTGGCCTCCCTGAGAGCGGTCTCCTCCTCAAATCTTGATCGCAGATGAAGGGGAATGTCCTCCTTGGTGACGGGGCACAGGATGTCGTCCAAACGCGATTGGCGAATGTAAACCAACATGTAGGCGCTATTCTGGCGCACGACCGGTGCCTTCTTCTGCAGAGGCGCTCGGAGAGGGTTGGCAGGATGCGTTCTGTATTCTCCACCAAAGTTTTCCTCGAGCACTTCGCGCATCGTGGCCTTGGTGACCTTGTCGTCATCGTACTTGTAGAACCATCCATCTTTCTCGGGTTTCAAGAACGCGTAGTAGTGGCCGGCGTTGAGGTCACCGCTGTGGACGAGCACGCCGTGAAGCTGATACGTCCATGGCTCCGATTTGTCAGCATCCTCTGAAAGGTACGGCGACGCATCAAAAATCTCGGGGAACTCGTATCGGTCGTTGATCTTCATCATCGTATCTCGTTGGATGTCGTATTCGAATCGCTTCAGTTGCAAGTGCAGAACGTTTGGGAAGCTCTGAAAGATGACACCCTTGTTGGCGTCCTGCAGCTTGAACTCGTCGCCAGCGTAGTACTGGTTCTCGCCATCCATCTTCTCGACCTGAACGTAGTCCTTGAAGCTGTCAAGGAGGTTCTTGTTGCCGCTGACGTTGAGCTGAATGTCCCAGAAGTCCTCGACACGGCTGGACTCGTAGTCGACGTTGACGCAAGAAATGTATGTTTTGATCTTACCACTGAACATCTGGGGGAGGACGTGTTCAGCCGGGGTACCCTTCATCTTCTCTTCCATGCGCTCCATGAGCTTCCGTGACAACTCCTGGACGTCCTGCTGTTCAAAGATGTGCCTCGTCTCCCAGCCGAATGACTTGGTCAGCTCGTTGGTTCCGACAGCCTGTTCCGAGGTCTGCAATTGGTAAAAGAGGCGTTGCAGGGTGTATGCGCTGTTGCCCATGCTTTCTTCGCTCTCGGTGGGAATTTCGTAGATGGCCTATAGCACGTCAGCACTTGGTCTCATCGCATGGGGGACATTTCGACCGTACTTTGCGGAAAGCGTTGGTAAAGTACAAGGATTGAAGCAAAGAGTTGAGGTAACAGGTGGCGCCTTGGTTGCGCAGGCCGACGTAGCCTGTCTCCTTTTTGGAATCATAGTTGTTGAAGTTGTGCCATAGGACGCCCGTCTCATCCTTGACGATACGGAGGTAGGCCGTGATGTTGGCGGTCTCGTTCTCGCACAGAGGTCGGCTTCCACCCTCCCAGGGCACGTTGAACATCTTCCGAAGCTCGAGGAATCGGGTGAAACCCCAATCTGACTCCTCCTTTGTGAATCGATGATGTGCGGTGTGGTGAGTGTATAGACTCGGGTCGTTCGGGTTCCATAGGACGAGGGCGAACTGCACGCAGCAGCTCCAGTTCTCGGGAATGTTCGCCGGCTCGAATCCATGCTCGAGATAGATGGAGCACTGGTCAACGTTATTGCCATGCGGAAAGAGGAGAATGCGCCTGGCGGTGAATGTCAGCGAAGTCATCGATGAGGCCTGCAAGGGGCCATGAGCAGAGGAAGCGTACCATGGGAAGCCACCGGCTTGAAAGACAGGGCCGTGCTCCTTCTTCGACATTGACCTCCATGCTTCGACCGTCCATGTGTTGACTACGTCTTCGACGATTTCTGGCTCTTCGTGGAGGGGCGGGAAGATGATTTCCTTCATAGCATCGACTGTCCCGAGTTAGCCGGGTGGGAACCTGCGGAAGGGACTAGCAATCTTACAGTCGTTTGCCATGGGCAAATCTTGCAGCTGTTCGGCCTCATTGTCGAGGTTGTCGGGGTTGATGATGGCAATGGGCTCCTTTTCCGAGTCGGCCACGCCGACGTATTCGTCGGTGTCAACCACCATCTCGTTCGGCGAATGGATATCGTTGTTGTAGCTCTGCGGTGGTGGAAACCAGGATTAGCTGAGGTCACGCTTTGGTGGTGTGGACGGTACTGGAAGGGCAGCCGCGGAAGGAATGCGTCGAGCGGTAGAGATGGGTTGAGATTAGCAGAGAGCTTGGCTCGGCCGAATGGCGGGGTATGGAAAAGTAGGGTGAAGCCGTAGCGGGAGCGAATGGAGAAGAGGAGTAAACCAGAGGAGAGGCTGCGGTGATGAAGCTCAAAGAGGGCGAGAGCAGGGAAGAAAGACAGGTAAGAGGGGCAGAGTGGCAGTTGCTGTCTCTGATTCTGGTTCGTGGCTTACCATGGTTTACCTGCAGTGGCGTGAAAGAAATGGGAGAGCGAGAGCCGATGCCGTTGCCAGTCAGGGAACCACAGCAAAAATGGCGATTTGCGCCAATGCTGCCTCGATGACGATGTGGGAGCCGCAGCGGCAGGAGGGCGGCAGGCGATGGGAGGGCAAGCGGCAGGCTGCGTCTGGGACCCAAAAACAGCGGGTGCAACGAGCAATGGTACCTTCTTCAGGATAAGGTCGATCGAGCAAAATGTTGCAGGTAGGTGGTGAGGAAGAGAACTTGCATGAACAAAAAGACAAGACCAGGGAAGGTGGAGGCGGCGGGTTGGTCCAAGCAGGTGCACCGTGGAAACAGGTGCAAGGTCGGTCGGTAAAGGTAAGGTGAGGTAAGGCAAGGCGGGACAAAGCCGGGCGGGCACGAGGCAAGCAGTCAGTCAGTCAATCAGTCAACCAACAGAACAAGTCAACAGTCAGCCAGTCTCCAGTGAATGAGCAAGTGCCTTGCTGTGCTGTAAGGTGTGATGCACCAGACCAAGCAAAGCCAGTTAGTCAGTCGTGGGGAGAAAGGTTGGAGACGGGCCAGGTTGATGGCGAGGCGCAGTACAGACTACGTAGAGCACCAGCAGCAGTGGCGGCGACAGGCCAGTAGGGAGGGACAGCCTGCCGAAAAGCGACACCGCTGGAGATGGAGGGAGTGCGGGAGAGGCACTACAATGGAGACCGGGACGGGTTTGGCTAGGTATTGTTTGTTAGGTTGTGCGGCGGCTAAACACCAGGAGTCTTAACACAATGAGGAATCTGTTTCGAAGGCTGTTCCCCCTCGCTCTCTCTCCCACGGCCCAAGGACCTTTTATGCCGGCTAGCTGCACCAGAGCGCGAGTGCTGGGGGCAAAGGTGGGCTTGCGCGTAAGGCACTGGAGGGCCAAGCTGCACCTACTCCTTCCCCCTCTCATTGGAGAGAACAACATCCCACCCCTCCAATGACGTTGCTGTGACCGTCCACAGAGCTGATTCACTGCGTGGTCCTTTCACCTGTCATCTCAGTATTGATCCTCAGGCCCAATGTCGGCAATGCAGTGCAACATTCACTTTGGCAGCTGACAAGTCTTCCTGTTGCCTTGGCTGCCAGCCGCCATCGCTGTCAATGCAGTTAAGCGCAACCCAACCGCGACAGGACTAAACTCCACGAAGCTTAACAGCCAGGAGGCAATAAGTAGGTACTCTTAAGAATATCATCTATCGCACCGTCTGAAACCTAGGTCCATACATCCGCCATGGGGACCAAACACGACTCCCCCCGAACCGACGGAAACTGCTCCTGCTTGTCAAATATCTAGGTATGAGCTGGTGGTTTCACTACGCCTGTTATCACCTCTTGCATATATCCCACGCCTTGCTTTTCGGGATCTTGCTACACAATAGGGAACCAAGCACGTGTGCTGACACAAGAGACTCAGTATCCAATAGGGTCTGTGGTGCTTCAAGGTGCTTCAACCCGGCTGTCTGAGGCATTGAATTCAGCCGAAGTGAGCTCTGCCAGCTATTGCGCCATGCGCCTTAGTCATGAGATAGTAGCTCGATTCGTCCCAGGTGTACGCACCTCCTCAGCCTGGTTCTGAAGGTGACCCAAGATAACTGTGGCAACGTGCCCAACACCGTGTGGACTATATGCAACACATATGACAAGTAAGGACGACCGACTCGACTATGTAAAGTTCAAGTATGAGGAAACCATGTATCCCACTCGGTCCGGAGAACATCTCGCAGCTAAGCTAGTTTATAGTCTTTCTGGATATGGCCATGTCCCACGGCGCAGCATTCCCTCCGTGGTCGAAAATCGGTGACATTCAAATCCCCCCCACTCGCTCCAATCAGCAACGCAGGCGAACACCGACGCAGGGCCGTCCCCTAGTCCTCTCATCCGTGCAATCTGCAGCCACTGCCGCTCTCATCCAGCCTTCTCCGTAAGCCCATGACGCGATACGGAGGGACGGCACTTCCATGAGGCAGCTCAAGAAGCTACGGGGTCTACAAACCCATGCAAACAGCATGGCAAAACGCTGTGCGCTGTCGCGCCTTTGCAACAGCGCAAGGGTTGACCTTGTCGGCAAAAAAGAAAAATCTGCCCATGGACAGACTATTCAACGCCCAGAACATGCGTTTGAGATCTACCTAGGTATGTGGGCTTCTTAGGCAAGATCGTACCTAGATTGTATGGACCTTCAGACGGCCCGGCCATTCCCCCCAACAGTATCCAGCTTGAATGACTCCATGTGAGTTGCGCTATCCAAGGCCAACTTAGGTAAACCCAAACTTGGCTTTGGTAATCTTGAATTGGTAGTGTCGGGAAAAGTTGTCGTCTTGCGTCCCAATGTCTCCTTGAATCTCCTTGGCCTTCGAGTCCAGTCGCCAGCACACGGGAGCGCAAGCAAGAAACGCCATCGCGAAGCTGCAGAACCCCCAAGCGCATGCAATTCGCCCGAGCTTCCCACGGCTCTTCTATTCCTGACCGAGTCTGTCAACCTCCCTCGACCAAGAAATTCCGGTCCATAACCTGGTACAGTAGACGGGGGAGGGCGGGCACCCTTCAACCCGAGCTCCAGCGCACCGCGCTGACGTGTGGGGGCTCCGTTCCGCCGACGGGGTCCAATCACACCACGTCGTTTCGGCCGCTGGAGAAGGACTGGACGCTGGAGTCGTGCCAGGGTTGCCCGTTGCGGCAGTCCGCAGCATGGTGCGCCGATTCCGCAGTGTGGGGTAGTCCCAGACCCTGTCAAGGTAGCAACCGCCCGACCATTCTTGATGCGAGAGTCATCCAATCTGTCGACCGGTCACGCCCTCTCGAGAGAGCTTCAACAGCTGCCCAACCCGACACGAGACGATCCCTCCCCCAAAATTCGCTCATATCACCCCCCCCCCCCCCCCTCGCCCGCCTTCTCGACTACAGCTCCTCCTCCGAATTCGATTTTGCGCAAACCCCTCGTCCTCTCGACTCTACACAGTTTCGCACCTCTCCTCGCATGGAATCGACGGCATGGTTTCCATTGCATTGCGGCATGCCGGCAGACGATGCGGATTGATATCAGCCTCGAGGAGGTTACAGCTGCCCGCGCAGGTCGGCAAGCTGCGTGAACGCGGCGTCTCCCCATCGCCATGGCGCTCCATGAGCAGTTCCACCTGGAGACCGGTGTCGGTCCTGGACGAGTGCGCCTCCCGCCCTTTCGAGACTACCGTGCCTTTCTGTCACATGCTAAACAGAGCCTCGTTTCCGCTAGATGGGTCGTGAGAGAAGCCCGCCCGATCAGCTTGCGACAGCTCATGGTTTTCGGCCGATCCCTTACGGAATCACGACTTTTGAGCTCTGCAAATTACGTTCGAACTGAGCTGCCGACTCGGTAAGGGTTCCCCCTCACTGCGTCATACCCCTTCGCAGCGGCGGCCAGGAACTGACCTTTCGACCCCGTCGCAACAGAATAGCACATCGCATCCGAGATATGCAACAACTACCCTACGTTGTAGTGACGAATCCCCACATAAAAGAAGTCTACGAGCTGTACAATAATGCGTTCGATACGTTTCGCAAGATCAAGGAGATCAAGAACCTGGAAGACAACGAGAAGTTCTGCCAGATAATCAGCGGCATGCTCAAGGCGCACCTGACCGTCATCCCCAAGCTGTCGATGGGCATTCTGGAGAGCAGAGGCCGCATGGACCCCAAAGACCTTGACAAGTTCATGAATACCATCCTGAGATCGGTGAGTCCTCGTCCCGCTGTACCGCCCGATGCCACCCGTCTCTGTAAACCTAACGCAGGCCCCCTCCCCAGAGAATATCCCGTAGAGTCATCGCTGAACAGCACCTCGCCCTGACGGAAACGTACCACTCGCCATGGTTCTCGCCCGGCGCAAAGCTCTCCGAGTCCGAGTTCATAGGCGAGGTCTTTATCAAGTGCATCGCCAAAGACGTCATCGAGCGCTGCACCCGCGCCGTCCAGAGCCTCGCCCGCTCGACGTACGGCCAAGACGTGGAGGTCCCCGAGATCAAGGTCGAGGGCCACCTCGAGGCGAGCTTTCCCTATATCCTCAGCCACCTCGAGTACATCATCGGCGAGCTGCTCCGCAACTCTGTCCAGGCAGTCATAGAGCGGCGGCAGCAGGGTAAGAACAAGGACTCCAAGGTCCCGCCCATCGAGGTGACCATCTGCGAGGCGCAGCAGCACGTCATCATCCGCATCTCCGACCAGGGCGGTGGCATCCCAAGGGAGGAGCTGCCGTATCTCTGGTCCTTTAGCAAAGGGCCGCAGAGCCAGCGCCGGTTGGAGAACTTGGGCCGGGTGCCTAAGCTGGCCGCCACCATGCAAGAGCTCCACGTCTCGGACGAGCTGGGGCGCGCCGACATGAAGACCCCGAGCCACGGGAACTCTCTGTCGTCGATGACGACCCGGCCGCCCAATCTGCGGCTGGGCATGGGGCTTCCCCTGAGCAGAGTCTATGCCGAGTACTGGGCGGGCAGCCTCGAGCTCCATAGTCTTGAGGGCTACGGCGTAGATGCATTCCTTCAGATTTCAAAGCTAGGCAACAAGAACGAGCAACTGACTACCAGGGCCACCATGGATGCCGTGTAGTGTAGAATACAAACCATGTTAGGAAAGAGGCGGCGTAAATGTTAAGATACCAATTGGGCGACTTCGGGACATCATGGGACAGGCAAACACACACATGCAAGGGGGGGAGAGAGAGAGAGAGATCTAGCACTTGGTTATGAACACGCATGAAACATTTAGGATTATAGACGCCTTTCTCATTAATTTTGGTATCATGAAAAGGTGAGCTGGATTACATCGTGACTAAGAAACGGGGGGTAAACTAAACGGGAAAAAAGGGGGGTGACAGGTCTTGGAAAGAAGAAGGCTCCCAAACGCAGCGTCCATCTCATACCGTGCTCGGGGCACGCATAATTTTCTTTGTTTTTTTCCGAACGGCGGTGAAGACCCTTGCTCATGTCGACGGGTCAACCAATGAGCCAGGGCCACTGCAGTTGGCTAGAAACTAGCATATCCATGGTGACGAATCAAGAAGATAGGGATATTGCAGTGGGTTGGTGCTTTCGATCCCCGAATGGTAAGTGAAGAAGTAAGGCAAGTGTCGAGAATCCAGCAAGCACCAACTGCTCAGGAATAAACCGCTCAAAAATCGAGGGAAAACCCTCACACTCGGACAACCTCAGCGGCGGCCGTGGCTGCGGACGGCGCTTCCTTGCATCTGCTCCAGCTCGGTCTCCAGCTGCTTGATCTGGGTGTGGGTCTGCTCGAGGTCCTTGTTGAGGCGGTCGCGCTCGGCAATGAGCTTCTGCTCCCACTGGCGGAAGCGCTGCTCCTCGATCTTGACCTGCTCGGTGAAACGCTTGCGCAGCGCCTCCTCCTCCTCCTTGAACTTGGGGTTGTCGAGCTTCCTGGGGCGAGCCTCGCCAAACTTGCGGGTCTCCATTTGCTGGGCGCGGTAGGCCTCGTAGTGCAGCTCCTCGGTGGTGTGGATGAGGTCGAGCATGTGGGTGCGGATGAGGATGGAACGCAGCTTCTTGAAGTCGCAGTGGTCCTCGTTCTCGACCTCGGCAACACCCCAAGAGTACTGGCGACCCTTGACGATGCGGCCGTCGCCGGTCTTAACGTCCTTCTCGGAACCAATGACGGCAAAGGGCATCGCGGCCATCAAGCTGCGAGCGTGCTGGGCAGCAGGCTCGTCGTCCTCCTCAACAGGAGGCTGGTAGATCTTGATGCTCTGGGCCTCGATGACAGCGCGGATCTATAGTATAATAGGTAAGCAACTGTTCATTCACACGGCTTGGGCAGTATCAACTTACGCGAGCCTTGAACCTGGCCAGGTCCGCAGGGCTAAGGGTATCAGCCTTGGCGATGACGGGAATCAAGTTCACTCTCGAGCAGAGTCTCTTCATGACCTCGATGTCGAGAGGCTTCAGGGTGTGACCGGTGGGGCGGATGAAGTACAAGCAGGTGTGGACACGCAGGTCGATCTTGTCCTGGCGACGAGGCTGCTGCTCCTGAAGCATGTAGGACTCATGCTGGTCGTCAAGGAACTCGATGATGGGCATCCACGAATCGCGGTTGTTGACATAATCGCCGAAACCGGGGGTGTCGATGACGGTCAGGCGGACTGTAAGCCGTGTTAATCGTATGATCCACATGTTGGCAGTTTGAACAACACAGCAGCGTACCCTTGAAGAACTTCTCCTCCAACTCAGCCTTGGTGATCTCGATCTCGACGGTCTTGTCGACCTGCTTCTGGTGACGGCGCTTGTGGTCGGCATAGTTCTTAATGGTCGTCGAGAAGAGGGTGTTGATGAAGGTGGTCTTTCCCAGGCCGGACTCGCCCGCAACCTGGTTATTGTGTCAGCCACTTATGCCCGTAGAATTCATGTGCTTTGTCGCACAAGAGCCGACGTACCATGATAGTAAAGGCAGCACCTCGCTTGGCAACGATCTTGTGTCGCTGGTTAGGGAGGTTGGCGATACCAATCGGTGAGGCGCTCTCGGCGGCGGAAGGAGCCATTTTGGGCGGTATTGACGATGGAACAACTCAAAATACGTTCGTGATACCTGGGAAAGGATCGTGGGCCGCGAGTTTCGCAATTGAACACGCGACGGTTTTCGTGATGTGGTTGCGGTGTGGGCGTGTTGACTGTTGAGTTGGGGAGGTTTCGAGCTTGTGCTTCAGGGGAATCAAAAGGTGCCACCTCCAAATTTCCCTGCCGGCCTTCTGGGGTTGGGAAGTGCGCATTCATTGGGCAGGTCGCAGGGGACTAATTAGGACCCCCTTTTTCTGCCAATCAGTCCCCTTTTCCCCTTGGCACTTTCACCAACTGCAGGCCTAGCCCAAAGCGGATTAACGCGGGAAAATCGTGGGTAGGATGAATGATTCGCCGACCCCACCACAATCGATAAGAATTATTCGAGGTAGGTAGGTACGTTCGGATTTTTTTTTTCGGCAGCGATTCCAAGGTCAGGAAATGGGTGCCAATTGACAATGAAGACTGATTTCAAGGTACGTTTTGCGAATTTTCCGGCAAGCGCATGCGGTTCCTGACTCTGTGTGCAATTTCTAGTTCTCCAATTTGCTCGGCACAGTATACTGCCAGGGCAACCTGCTCTTCAGCCCCGATGGCACCCATCTGTTCTCGCCCGTGGGGAACAGGGTCACTGTCTTCGACCTCGTGAAGTATGTTCTTCTGTCTCGCGCGCCGACCGCGGCTGGGGTTTCTGTTTTCTAATATGCCATTCCAGCAACAAATCACACACGCTGCCATTTGCGCACCGAAAGAACATCTCCCGAATCGGCCTTACTCCTCGAGGAAACCTGCTGCTGTCCATTGACGAAGACGGCCAAGCCATTCTGACCAACGTCCTCCGCCGAATCGCCATTTACCGATTTTCCTTCCGTTCCTCCGTCACCGCTCTTTCCTTTTCGCCCTCCGGACGTCACTTTGCAGTCGGATTGGGTCGTAAGATTGAGGTCTGGCATGTCCCGTCCACTCCGGATGCGAATGCCGAGGGCGAGCTCGAGTTTGCGCCGTTCGTCAAATACCACACCCACACTCAGCACTTCGACGACGTACGCAGCATCGAGTGGTCTAGCGACTCCCGATTCTTCCTCAGTACCTCCAAGGACTTGACCGCAAGGATATGGAGCTTGAACCAGGAGGAGGGGTTCGTGCCAACTGTACTCTCTGGTCACAAGCAGGCTGTGGTCGGCGCGTGGTTTTCCGAGGACCAAGAGACCATCTACACCGTGAGCAAGGATGGTGCCGTGTTCGACTGGAAATACGTCGGAAAGCCGGTTCGGGACGAGGACGAGATGGTCGATGTCGATGAGGATGACATGCGCTGGAGGATCGTCAACCGACACTACTTCATGCAGAACAGCGCGCATGTCCGATGCGCAACCTTCCACCCCGAGTCCAATCTTCTTGTTGCTGGTTTCTCCAACGGTACCTTTGGCCTTTACGAAATGCCTGATTTCAACATGATCCACACGTTGAACATTTCACAAAATGAAATTGACTTCGTGACGATCAACAAGAGCGGAGAGTGGCTGGCATTCGGTGCATCGAAGCTCGGACAGTTGCTGGTGTGGGAATGGCAATCCGAGTCATACATCCTCAAGCAGCAGGGCCATTTCGATTCGATGAACAACCTGGTCTATTCTCCTGACGGACAGCGCATCGTCACGATCGCAGACGACGGCAAGATCAAGGTGTGGGATACCGAATCAGGGTTCTGCATCGTTACCTTCACCGAGCACACCAGCGGCGTGACGGCCTGCGAGTTTTCCAAAAAGGGCAACGTTCTCTTCACATCTAGTTTGGACGGTTCAGTAAGAGCGTGGGATCTCATCAGATACAGAAACTTCCGGACGTTTACGGCACCAACAAGACTATCATGGTCGTGTATGGCTGTTGACCCCAGTGGCGAGGTTGTTGCCGCTGGATCTCTGGACTCTTTCGACATTCATATCTGGTCTGTACAAACAGGACAGCTTTTGGATCAGCTCACTGGCCATGAGGGCCCGGTTTCAGCCTTGGCCTTCACACCAAATGGAGACTCCCTTATCAGTGGAAGTTGGGATCGCACCGCCAGAATCTGGTCTATTTTCAACAGGACACAGACTAGCGAGCCTCTGCAGCTACAGGCCGATATCCTCGACATCGCCGTACGACCCGACTCGTTGCAACTAGCTATCTCGACGCTGGACGGCCAGCTGTCGTTCTGGTCGATCATGGATGCCGAGCAGGTGTCAGGACTGGACGGCCGCCGCGATGTGTCTGGCGGACGTAAGATTACCGACCGCAGGACAGCAGCCAACGTGGCGGGAACGAAGAGCTTCAACACCATCCGGTACAGCACAGACGGAAGCTGCTTACTCGCCGGTGGCAACAGCAAGTACATCTGCTTGTACTCAGTGCACACCATGGTTCTCCTGAAGAAGTACACAGTCAGCGTCAACCTTTCTCTGTCCGGAACGCAGGAATTTCTCAACAGCAAACTCCTTACCGAGGCCGGTCCCGATGGCCTGATCGACGACCAGGGCGAGGCCTCGGATCCTGAGGACAGGAGAGACCTCTCTCTGCCGGGCTCCAAGCGCGGCGATCCCTCAGCGAGAAAGAAGCTGCCGGAAGTTCGCGTCTCGGGTGTAGCCTTCTCTCCCACGGGCACTGCTTTCTGTGCCGCCTCCACGGAGGGCTTGCTCATCTACAGCCTCGACAACCTGCTGCAGTTCGATCCCTTCGATCTTAACATGGAGATCACACCCGCATCTACGCTTGCCGTCCTCGAGAACGAGAAGGACTACCTCAAGGCGCTGGTTATGGCCTTCCGCCTCAACGAGGCCGGCCTCATCAAGCGCGTCTTCCTGTCAATACCGCACACGGACATTGCACTCGTCGTCGAGGATATGCCCATCGTCTACGTGCCCAGGTTACTGCGCTTCGTCGCCGCACAGACGGAGGAGACGCCGCATATCGAATTCTGCCTGCTTTGGGTCAAGGCTCTGGTAGACAAGCACGGCGCCTGGCTCACGCAGCACCGGAACAAGGTGGACGTCGAGCTGAGGATCGTCGCGAGGGCGGTCTCGAGGATGCGTGACGAGATTAGGAGGCTCGCAGATGACAACGTGTACATGGTGGATTACTTGTTGGGCCAGGCCAACGAGAAGGAGACGAGTGGTGTGAAAATGCTTGATCTGGCCGCGTTCGATCATCCCACAAAGACACTGGCCATTAGGGATGCGGACGAGGACCAGAATGACTCTGATGGAGATGGATGGATTGGGCTGGATTAAAAATAGATATTATTACAATGTATACCCCGTTTTGCCATTTTGTTTTGCCGCTTGCTCTCATTGCATGCGGTTCCGTCGTCCCCAGTCTCCTCACAGCCTTGGAACCATCCCGGTCCCACCAGCTAGTCAATCGCGAGCGGGAATATCCTAGGAATATTAGACACAGTTGTGCAGGCGCAGTGAGATTCCGCTTACCTTCCATGCTTCCTCAAGACCGGCGGAGCGGACCCATCTCGTCCCGGAGTGCTCCGTCCCGTCCAAAAGCATGTAGGACAGGTTGAGCCACTCGTCGTCGCCCTTGATCTTGATCCAGGGCTTGTCACCATACCTGGAAGATAGTTCGTGGCAGATACCAAGTGCCCTTACTACCTTGATCGTATGGCCATCGTCAGGGATGGCATGGAATCTCGGGAGGAGGTCTGCGCCCTTGTCAGCATCTGTAAAGAAACGGGCCTCTTCGGGCAGTGGTCTTACCTGACGGCTTCGAAACCAGCTCTTTGCCCTGATCCTTGTCCCTCGGTCTGTATGCCTTGACTTCGTCCAGGCGGAGCTGCGGGCAGCCGCGTGCTGCGTACTGGACGAGGTCCATCCGGATTTTGTGCTCAAGCATACGAACCTTGTTCTCTGTCGAGATCCAGTGCTTGGAGTTGAAACTGAGGAAGATGGGCGCCGAGTTTGTGTGATGGCTATGCGCACGTTAGTTGTCTCGAGCTGTGGCCAAAGGCTCCGGTACTCACATTAAGAAGAAATCCCACTTGGCCTCCTTTCCCGGGTGAAGAGCTGCACCACCGGCGACGAGAAAGGCAATATGGAACATCTCGGCCGTCCTCTCATCCAACTCCTCGGGCAGGACCTTGACCTTGCTCGCAATCCTGAGCATCTCCTCAGGTGCGCGCTTCAAGACACCGTCAAAAACCTTGTTCGCATCCTTCATCTCCACCGCATTGGCCAGCTTCTGGTTGCCACGAATTTCCTCAATGAGCTCCGCGATTTGCGGCATCGGCGTCTTTGCAGTCTCCTTCGCACGTTTTTCCGTCTCGTCAAAGAAGTCCTTGAGCTGGTTCTTGTGCACGGCGGCCTGGGCCAGGCCCTCGGCGACGATGGCGGGCTGCTCCCACTCAACGCCGTACATGAGCTGGATGATGGGGTGCAGGAAGCCGGCGAACATGCGCTGGAACATGTCGTTGGCGCGCTCGTCACCCTTGAAGAGGTGCTCGTTCAGCGTCGCCTCCCAGCCCAGTCTCTCGATCTCGCGCTGGTAGAAAAGTAGGAAGTCAGAGTAGTGCTTCTCCCGGCCCAGGTACTTCTTGGTCTTTTCCCAGTCGTGCAGCTCGTCCGCAATGCTGGCGTGGCTTTCCTTGGCCGGTCTCTGGTAGTTTGCGTTTTCGTTGTATGCCATTTGAATGGCGTCTGGGCCGGCGCCGGTTCCATAGAGGGCTAGGACATGATGAGGGATCTGAACTGTGATTAGCGAGGTGACTTGCTAGTGCATACCGTCATCCTAGACTTACATGGTTGTGGAAGCCATCCTGGTTGAAGAAGACGTGGTGTTTCTGTCGCATCAGTCAGTAAACAATTCACTGCAGCGAGCTCAGTATGAATGAGATCACACCTTTAGGTCCTCTTGCAAAAGCTCAGAGACCTTGTTCGCAGTGGCGTCTTGCTGCTTGAACCTCCACAGTCCTGTGTTTGTCACTGGGACTTGGATCTTGTATGCAGTCGCCATGCTGTTACTTCTTGTTTGGTCGAATGAAAAGGTGCGCTTTCCACTGAAAATGATGTGCTTTGAGAGTCGTCTAGAGGCGGTTGAAGATGATCTCATTTTAGTTGCCGACAAGCACCAGAACGGCATGGTCGAGATGTAGGCCGTCGAAGGACCTTATGTATTGAGAACAGGGGGCGTCCACAGCCAGGACCACCAGCTTACAAATGAGGCACACGCGAAAGGGAGCGAGCGCGAGCGTGCTGTGATGGGAATCGGGCGTCTCCCCATAGGATGCCTAGATGCGGGCAAACAAGTGTGGGTGGGCTCCCGCGGCGCCGCGTGGAGTCCGTGATGCGCGTCGCTAAACTCTACTTTGTCACTTCCCCAGACTTTTGACGTCATCCAGCATTGAAGACCGGCTTACGGCACCACAGTTTGAGTATAACCGGAATTCCAGGACCACGGCATGTAAAGGCACGACATGGTTTCGATACAACAGAGAAATTTAATCCAGCTCTGCATTGTATCAATTGGATAGTTAACGCATAGATATGTCCGAAACCGTCCGGTCAATGGCCGCCGATATCTCCACTTTTCCGCTGTTTCGGTCTCCGCATCGGATCCGGCGAGGAGTAAGTTTGTTGTCCGAGATCTGAACACCCTCGCGCCGAGGAGGCACATTCCTCTACCGAGCGACCCGACGAAGAATACACTTCGTAATTTGTCAAGTTTGCTGCAGAGATGAACTCCGAGCCCAAGCACATATGTATTGTGTACAAGATTAGTAATGTTGTAGGGCTAGTGGAGTCTTTAAATCAGGATGGTGGATGCTTCGGCTTTGGAACTTGAGCGCGAAGAGCGACTGAATCGTGGGGTGATACTCCTATCGTACGTGTATTAGAAAACTGAAATGTGACAAAGAAATACGCAGTCGATTGTAAATCAACCGCTTGTTACCCATAGTGATTAATTATTGAGCCCCATATGAACATAGTGCAGCAAGCGCACCAGCTAGCTGTGGAAAATAGTAATAGAGGGCCCAGTCCTTTACCTTCTAGGGTTGATGAATGATGCACACTATTTACTTGGGGCTTGACTTGGCTGCTATCATTCTTGGTCGACAGACGACGGGGCCATCTCCTAGTGGGTTTTGACGTAGATCCATCCGACAGCTTCCTCTGTCTTGAACTTTATCTATCCCAACTGTAGTAACGTTTTGGTCCACCAGCATCGACGTACAGAGTCTAATGTCAGGAAATGGTAGTTCCAAAGTTCACAGAAAACGCTCAGGCATGGGGTAATGATGGCAGGTAACCCCAACCCGGAGTCAATAACCAAGGAATAAAGAACAGATGGAGCGGGTCCAACCTTGAGCTTAAGCTTAATTATTCCCAGCAAGGGAGCGGCCTGGCTATCAATCATCCTCTCTACCCCCAACATTCATTCAATGTTTTCTCCCATCATTCGTCGAATGCGTCGCAAACTCTAGCTGACCCGTAACATGGGTCCAGGAGGACACGAATCACAGCCTGCTTGTTGTCTGGTGACAGAAATCATCGTGAGTTGTGCATGGTCAATGCTGGCCCATCGAAATTCGACGTTCAAAACCTGCATTAGCTATATGTCCCTTGTGCGCATCGCCAGCCGCAGCCTCAAATGATAGGTTCACGATTGCATGCTGATACTGACCCGTCGAAGCTAGCGTGCCGTGTCCAACCTCAGCCATGCCCGCTCTAGCTCCAGAGTTGAGCAAGCCGCTTTCTCTAAACCTGGTGCCAATGCGTAGTTCTTTCGTCGAACGGGCGCCAAATGCTACCCCCACGCGATCAAAGAGGCAGCCTTTGTCAAACTCTTTAGGCTGTATTATAGTGCAGGCTAGGCAGGGTACTTGTAGACGGGAGCGAAAAACGTATCTAAACGGCTGGAGTGATTGCACCTCAAGCTGATGATTTCCCTTTCGCGAGACCACAAGATCTAACAACCTGTCTCTCAGCCGCTCTTATTCTTCTACACCGTCCTCCTGAAAACCATACATTTCAATGTCCGTTCGTCAACATCAAGATATTATGCATAAGCTCGACCAGCCGACCTCGAATTCAACAAGAAAGGCATCTAGCGCGCCCGCTCTTCCTTTCTATGTCTGAGGCGTCATGATGCCTTGCTGTCCAGCCAGCTCGTCCGGTTGATGGATGCGTCCTCCTGCCACAGAAAGGGCGTGAAACTATATTCGGGGGCCCTTACAAGACTAGAGAACGACGCGTCTGCATCCGAGGACGTTGCTTTGCGTTATCAGAGCTTGTCTCTTTCAGGATGACTTCCGTCTGGCAAGTTCAAGAACAAGTCCTCAGCCGGGTTCGGCGACTGGAGGACCCTTATGAGGAGCACCCCGGATGTTTTTGCCGTTTGGGTCAAGCGGGTTGTTTCTATTCTTAGGTCGCGGCCAGGGACCCATCTCGATATCCTGGATGGGCTGGTCGGACATGAACTCCCACAAGGTGGCCCTATACGATCGAACCAGTCGGTCACACCCCCCCTTTTCAATAAACGGGGACCTTTGACGCGTAAACATTGGAACTTACTCAGCCGACAAATGACACGCTCCTCAATCAACAGAAACCAGCATTACGAAGCGGAAGAAGCTCTGTACGATAGGCCTCCCAGGTCCCAACAGCATGTCTGCGATGTAAGTCGTCGTCGTCGGAGATTAATCTCATCGCGCTACGGGAACTAATGCCAGCGCGTTACTCAGCTCCCCTACAGCGGACTCTCCGACAGGTCTGCTTCATCTTCTTCGACGCCACCGGCACGTCCACCGATCGAACAGGCAGCGCCTGCCTCATCGTCGGCAACCACCGAGTGGTCTCCTCTGGCGGAGGGGCGGATGTATCGGATCTGAGAAGTTGCTCGTTCACTATGATCCCTCAAGACTCAAGCTCGGCGTACTCACGATGACGCAGAGGCCCTACACATATGGCTATCATGCATGCACTGGCTGAGTTGTACGAGTTGACCTGATGTGATTCAGAAGGGGCATAGCCAACGCGGTCTGGACTCTGTATCCTAGACGAGAGTGATGAAATGATGGCTTTGCCTGCCCCGTGTAAGTGAGCCTTGCGTGATGGTCTGGACCAAAGACCGAAAGCGATAGCGGCGCCGGTCAAGCCGTCGTCGGGTCCAACACTAACCAGAGTGGGTAGCTCACGCAGCCTACGCCGGTCGTGTAATGATCTCAGTCATCCCAGCCAGCCGACTATCGGTTCAACCACAGGCATTGTCGTTCGAAATGCCGGTCTCACAACTGTCCTCGCCGTAGTCTTACCGGGGCGGAGGAAGTGCTAGTGCCCAGCCCCTCGCCCGCATGCCGCGTCATCAGCTTCCAAATGCCTAGTTCAGACTGCTCTGTGCTCAAAAGTTCGGCTAAGATCACAATCCATGAAACACACAGCAGCCACCTCCGCCCTGTCAAGCTGCTGATGGGACTTGGACTAGTAGCAACCGGGCTCCCCGTACGTTAGGCAAAGACTGGACAGAAGAGGCCTGCTGTGACACGACAAGACAGCCCTGGTGATGAGACGTCTGAAGCTTCACAGAAGTCGATGCAGCACAGGCCGTGGACTTGGGATGCGGTCACGTTGAAACGTTGAAAACGAGCAGACTACTATGTGACAGAGAAAAAACTTTTGTATTGAAGATCCCCTTCTGGGGAATGATCATGGTATCACCAGGGTTTTGTGTCTAAGGAAAAGAAAAAAGGCGTTTCATCGTCATGGTCATCATCTAAGCCTTGCGCTTCTTGTTGGGGGTGGTCTCGTCGGCGTCGCCCATCTCCTCGTCCTCGTCGTCCTCGTCGTCGGACTCGAAGTCGGCATCCGACATCTCAGCAGCCTCCTGCGCTTGCGCTATCATCGAGAGTAAGTCTCTGTCTTGCTCATCGGCGTCGGCGGCTCGCGAACGGAGGGACTTACTGAAGTAGTGGAGCGCCTCGGGCCACAAGTCGGTGGCGATGGCGACGGCAATGTCGTCGCCGTCGGGGCAGATCTCGAGCTCGAACTGGACCTGGTCCTTGGCCTCCTCCTCCTCGTCATCCTCTTCCTCCTCGGTCTTCTTGCCCTCCTTGCGGGCCTGGAGGTCCGCAATCTCCTTGGCGAGGGTGGCGGCGCTCTCCTCGGGGGAGATGCGCTTGCCGACGAAGCCGAAGAAGGTGAAGAAGGAGACGCCGCCCATGCCGGTCTCCTCGACCTTGCTCTTCAGAGCCTCGGCCTCGGGGGTCAGCTTGCCGGGGGTGATGGGGCCCTGGTCCCAGACCTTCTTGGCGAGGGACAAGAGACCCTCGGTGAGGTCCTTGCCGTCCTTCCACTTGATGTCGACGGGCTCGGAGACGAGGCCGGAGTAGGACTTGGAGTGGCGGTACCAGAAAGTCTTCTCAACGACCTTGTCCTCAAAGTACTCGTTCTCGTTGAACTCGAAGCGGATGGTCAAGCTGCGGGGGTCACCGTTGGCGGCGCCGTTGTCGATCTCGGGGCGCGAGACGGCAATGTTCTTCAGGGAGGAGAGGAGCAGAGCAGCGTCGGAGGGCTGGATGTGCTCGTCAACCTCGGCAGGGGACTGCTCGAAGACGAGGGCCCAGAAGTTGGGGATCTTGGAGATGACGGCGGCGCGCTTCTCGTACAGAGGCTTGGAGAGCTCGTACTGCTTGCGGACTGGCACAATGTTAGCATTGGTGAAGCCTTTCTTGCGGGATCACATCAGTGGGAAGTGGAGGATGTGAAGAAGAGCTCTTGGAATGCGAGGGATTGCTCCTGAGCAAGCTGAATAACGTACCGATCTGGTTCTCAACCTCCTCGAACTCGCGCTCGAGGTCAGCAAGCTGCTCGTAGGTGACGCCGGTATCAACCATCTCAACCATTTTGGCGGTAGTATATGAGTGAAGTGACAGAAACTTGAAAGGGGGTGAAAGTAATTAAGAGCAAAGAAAGGGAATCTCAGTAAATTTTCTGAGATCTCACGTTCTTCAGTGGCGGGGTAACTGATTAAATGGCGGGGTTGTAATTAGCTTTGGGTCGCAAAAGATGAAAAGACAGCAAGCGTAAGGTGTGTCTCACCTCGGGGGACGTCTCTTAAATAAGGGGAGACTACCGGGCCTGCTTAGCAAATATTTTTCTAGACTGTTTACCTCCAAGCGGAAAAGGGAGAGGGATAAAAAAAACTCTGTGTGAAGAGGATCAAAAGAGGGAACTGTGGTGCCGCAGGACGTGGGGGAGGATGGCGACTGGCTGCTTTTGCGACGGATACAAACAAAAAAATTTGGCAAAAATTTCCAAACTGGCGCAAGCTCCGGGTTGCCTGCACCTCTAGCCGTTACCTACTGCAGCCTCTGCGTGTGTGCGTGTGTGCGTGTGTGCCAGCTTCAAGGTTGAGTAGCGGTGACTGATGTCATTGGATCGTCCCCACGTCCCTGTTGATCGCGAAACTTTTCAGAATGGCCAGCCCAGTCAAGCACCCATCAGCACCGCAGCCCGCAGAAACTGGCATCACATTGGAGCGACAATTGGGCACCAGACGGAGAATTTTGGCGGGGGCAATGACCGGACTGGCTGCCTCGTGCATGGGTTGGGTTTCTGTGATGTGTCTCTGGGACCCAAACCCAATCAGGAATGCCCTTTTCAAAGTCTTCTCGAAGCAAGTCATCTAGTGCCTGGGACGTGCTTCTCACTAACACGGCCGACTGTCACCAACGCGAGTCGCCGGTGGTGCTTCGACCTGAGCCTGTTAGGCTCATGCTCAACGTTGAAGAAGAATTAGGGGTCCTTCGAGACCAGGAGAGGGGAGACGGGGGTCTCTTAGCGGGGTTCCATTAAGGCCACTCGGTGGAACCCTGAGCCACCATCTTCCAAGTTGTCCAGCACCGAGATTTCGGTGCAGAAAAAAATCCTTCCACGACTCGGCTTCCGGGTAGTCCCCCACATCGCAATTTGCCAGATGGTGGCGTCTAGATCGTCGACCTCCTCCAGCGCAGATGGAGCCCGGCGAAGATTTTCCATTGCCTCCCCCAAGCTAATAGCGGCAATTGCCCGGTATCCGCTCGTCGAGACTGGGAGGCCGCTGTTAGTGTTTTTCATGCAGAGGCTCCCCCAATTTCTTTAGCCGCCACTAGCATCCTCCATTGACTTTTTCGCGCTTTTTCAATGACCAACCGTGATCCACTGAGGGGTCCAAATGCGGTTGCCCCTCGGCGGTTGTTGTTTACTTTTGCTGTTTACCTGCTCGCGAGCCGTGTCTGGAGGTTTCTCTTTTTTCTTCCTTCTTGTATCTTGCTGAACGATGCTCCTTGGCATCTCTTTAAGATCTGAGTTGTCAAAGTCCAAGACGCCGGGCGAGTTCCTTCCTCTTATTGACATGTACATTGCTGCGTATTGTGTGTATGGCTTCGAAGAACTCTGGCATCCAGTCCCGGTCAGAAATGGGCACGGCAACCGCAAACCAGGGCTCTACTTATCGGATGCTGCTAGAGAAACCCATACGTGAGAATTGCTAATCTTAACCTCCCTGGATGATTGCCATCGTTTGGTCTTCGCTGGTCCTCTTCCTAAGAGCAGACCGAGGGTATGGTTGCATCGCCCACGTCGCTCGCGGGATGTCACCGCGGCCAGACGCTGACATTCACAGCAGCATTGCACAAAGGAAGACCGGCAAGATCCCGGCATCTCGGTGCCGGGGGACGCCTGCTACCGCCCTTCAGGAGACGACACGAATCCGTGGTGCCTTTGGTCCATTTTGTTTCTCGCGGCGAAGAACGGGGACTGCTTGCGTTGACCAAAGGCCGCCCAGGCCCAACTTTCGCAATCTCTTTCTCGTCAGGGGTACTCTCTCTTTGAATGAAGAATCCCTGGCTGAAGATGAAATCCGAGCATGGCTAGGGCAAACCCGTCGTCCACTGTCCTTCTTCTACGAAGAAGCATGTACGAGCGCGTAGGCTCCGACCGTGTAAGGAAAGAGATGAAGAAAACCAGCCCTCATTGCGCCCGGGACCAAATTCCGTTCTCCGAAATCACCTACTTGCTTCCTCTGTTCCTCTACCACGCTACGGCGTTCACACACGAGAGGGTTCGGAGCTGATAGCAACGTGCGAGTTTAAGCATTTTCTTAACGCAAGACAAATGTTTCGAGTGACTTGGATATTCCGCAAGACTCTGAAGGGGATTCTCCAAAAGTAAAAGCTGGAAACCCTCCATTTGCAAGTCGACTCATTGCGCAGACCGGAAGTCACATCGGCCCGTCGCCGGACAAAAGTGGAGAACCGGACCTGTTGACTCCCGAGAGTGACCAACCGTGTCCGCACGCCGGACGAACTCGCGCCGACCGGAGCTCAGACGACGATGCCGTCTCCTGCCGGTCGAGACAACCATATGATTTGCGGCTCTCGCACTATACGAATTGATGACCGGATCACCGGCATTGTTTCCTGAATCTTGGAATCTCGCCGTCGCTTGCAAAAGCAGCACCATAGTTTCAGATATCGTCCCATCTCCCCTCGGCCCGCGAAATGCCAGCCGCTCCCTGTCGTGTTAGCGTTCCCATCCTGGATACTTTTGCAATTGAGTTGCGCTCATCTTTAAGATTGCTTGTGTGATTGCAAATACGGGAACCCGAAAGCCTTGTTCTCTGACGGGTGGAGACTACATTTATGCCATGTGTATTACGTTGTGGTTTGGTACAAGCCATACTCGTGCTGATGTTCCCATTACCCAATGTGGGTTCGACGACTATTGCTTGCGCAGTCCATAGGGTTGATTCTTTGTTTTTTTTGAAGACCATGCAACTCCTCCCAAAATGCAGCCCATCCGCTGCTCGCGGCGATAACGGCTTGGTCCGAGTCCACACCGGCCAGCCCAGACACTGTTTCGTCCTAGCAACTGTGTTGATAAAGAAAAGCGCTTGCAATATCCCCCAATCATGACTCGTGAATTTTGGTGTCGAGAGTAGTGAGAGGAAACAGGGGGAGCAGAGAGGAGAAATACATGAAAAAAGATCAAGTTTTGATAGCCTCTGTACTCTACCAATCGCTGGGGTATATCAAAAAGCCAAATACGCAAACGCAAGCATAAAAATTTCCCCAACAAGCAACACGGGCCACTTTTTCGGCCAACGGCTACCATGTTATCTGGGTGACCCTAGACCGCATGTCTGGCATGCCAGTGATGATACCCCGAGTGCCAACCTGCAGGTTGGCGAACCTAGCTCTGAGATCGAAGTCCACCGCTCGAACCATGACGCGTTTTTCCTCGGGAACGGACCGTTTCGATTTGGCGAGGCCTGGGATGGCGCTGTCCCTTCGCACATCCCAACGAGCGTTGCCACCAGGTCCCAGAGGGGTGCCTTCGCCGAAATCCACCGACCCCTTTCTCGCGTTGCCGTTCGTAGCGCTGGACCGTGGGTCAGGCGACGGCGCCGATCTATCCTCCTCTTCCTCGATCGCCGCAACCCACTGCCCGATGCGTGCCGTGAGCTCGCTATCCCACATGCCCTCCCGGCGAGCGCTGCTCCTGAGAAGCTGAATGGCCTGTCGTCGAATAACGGGATGTCGGCACTTGGTCGCAACGACGAACAGGGGCGGTACAATTCCCAGATCGGCACTGAAGCTTGGCTTAATGTGATAAGTGTTGTACTCATGGCCACCAAAGATGTCCGGGCTATGGTTGTGGCGGTGGGGGCACTGGCTGGGATCGGGGCACCTCTTGGCCGCTGCGCGCCTCTCCTCGTCACCCACCACCTCGGAAGCAAGGTCCACGATGGCCTTGAAGTGAGACTGGAACACGTCGAACTGTGACTCGCTGTCGCTGTATGTCATGAGGAACAGGATTTGGCTCATAATCTGGAACATCTTGAGGACCGCAATGCCCGCTTTCTCCTGATAACTGACACCCGGGGCCGTGCGAGACTCGAGGAGGTAGTCAAAGGCTTCTGACCACGCGTCCAGCTGTCCCTTGAAGCTCATGCCGTATTGCTTGAGCGACCTCGGGAGAATTCCCATCGGGCCGTTCGCGCCCGTCGACTTCTGATAGACGAACAAAGTCTCCGTGAAGCGAAGCATTTTTTCAAGCAGCCTGTCCCAGGCGATGCGGGCCTCCATCAAGTTGGAGAACTGGTCAGGCACCGAGATTGAGCTCATCGACGAGGGTGAGCTGCCGGCGTCCGAGGGTGGCGACTGAGGAAGCTCGGGAGTTTGCGGGGTCAGCCGAATCACATAAGGCTCGGGGAAATGGAAGGCCATGTCGTACGACTTGGCCTGGATAGCGAGTCTGGTGAACATAGTAACGAGCTCCTCTTCGACGGGTTCCTCGGGAACGGGTACAAACGACCTTCTCCTCTCGGCCCTGAGCTTTTCTAATAAGCCGAGGCCGGTTTGGATCTGCCGTATCGCCTGTCTGTGATCGCCGACGAAGGAATCGAAGCAGGCCAGAAGCACACTGGCCATGAGCAGAGTCCGGTGTGACTTCTGGTCTCGGTGGAGCTGGACAAGTGCGTTGATGGCTTCCGAGTACTGTTTTACCGCCACTTCCCAATGTCGGTATGCTCCGTCCATGGGGCTCATGACTTCGGACGGCGAGCCCGGCGGAGACTCGCATGACTGCTCCAGGGTCTTATAGAGGGCCCCAAGTGCAACAACGGCGTGCCGAATGGCGTTTTCGGAATGGCATTCCTGCAAGACCGTCCGAGTCCAGAAAACCGAGTCAAAGTAGCCGGAGAGCTCGTTTGCAGTGTGGGAGCGGAAGAGTTGGAAATAAAGGCCTTCCTGCGGGGTCAGTTGAAGGTTGCCCGCGGGCCGATACAGGGTAACGATGGAGGAACCACTCGGGGTTTGCGGGGGCGTTAGACGGCGAGCCTGTATCTTTTGTTGCCTTCTGGGAGGCAATCCCTCGATCGTGGACGCTCGCGGGGGTACGACGCTGTCCTGGGCAGCAGCCAAGGGTTTCGGGGCGATGGCGAGGACCTCATGAGGTCTTGCGCTGCGGCTGGGAGGCGGGTAGCCGGTGCAGATCTTCTTCGAACGGACGCACTGGGAGCAAGACGGTCGTTTTTCGTCGCATTTGATGCGCCGCTGTCTGGATGGAGCATGTCAGGCTCTGCTTCGCGCCGGAAACCGCGGCAGGAATTGTTACGTACTTGCAATTGTTACATCCCGTCTTGACTTTCGGTTTGCTAGTCCTGGCCCTCTTGGGCTTCTGCTGAGAGTCAGAGGAGGCGGGACTGGTCGATGCTGCCGAGTTGGCGTCCGCGTTGCCGTGGGACGACATTGTCGAGGTGTGCAGGTTGAAGTTTATGGCCAAAGCGACAGCGCAGACGCATTCATCGCCTGCGGCTTGGGATCGCACAAGGCCTTGTGTTTTCGGCCACGGGGTTTGCGTTGGTGGTTTCGACGAAGCTGAGGAGCAGAGCAGAAAGTTTGGCCAAAAGGCAGGGGACTTGGGGGGCTCTTAGTGGTGTAGAAGACAGGGCGGAGAGGGCAGCAGCTAGAGGAAGCTAAGGATCGGCGCGATGACGGGTGGTCTGTGAACTCGGCGGTTAGACAGGGCAGGCCTAGCTTGGGTTTGGCCAGGTCGGGGAACAGGGCCGGCGGAGGGGTGATTTGCTCGAGAGACGGGGGCTATCCCTCAACTTGAGCTCTGGGCTCTCGTTACTTACATGACTAAAGCAGTACAGGCCAAGAAGAAAAGGGTGGGCTGGGTGTGCACGGATGTGGGCGAAGGAGAACCACCACAGTCGACGCGGCCTTCTTTGAGTATTGGTGATGGAAACTGAAGCACGTCGAACAACAGTGATCGCTGGGGATTGTTCCTCGACTGGGGGGGGATTTGATACGATTGTTTGCCTCTGGTTTGCTGATTCTGCTTAACGGCAGAAGTGTTGAGCAGGTTCACAGCGGGAAGGGGCTTGGGGGCCGCGAGAGACGGGTGATAGAGTAATATAGGGCTGGCGGATGGTGGGTGACGGCGGACCTGGGCATCCGTAGCTAGTGTTGTGACGCTACAAGCCACTGGACATGAATGGAGCAGCGAAACGGTAGCTTGCTTGGTCCACAGGGACCAGGGGGGGAGGGGGATCCGAGTAGGTCGGTGGGGGGGAGGCCGAAATCCACAACAGAGAGAAGCGAGCTACAGAGCCAAGCAATGGGACAAGTCGCGATGTGGAGAGGTCTGGGAGGCTAGAGGGGGCTTGCGATGAGCAGCAGACTGCAGACGTGGACCGGGATATTTGTCGATTGTGGTGTGGTGCGAAGCAGTGCTATGGCGATGGTGGAGGGAAACACGGCGGTTTATAGGCAGGATGACTGAGGGATACGTTGCTGCGCTGCGCTGCACTGCATGCAGGCCTCCAACGTCGATTTGGCATGTACCGGAGGGAGGGGTGACGTGGGGAGCATCAGCGAGAGGGCGGCCAGGGGTAGGTGGTAGTGGTTGGCAAGTATCTGGCGATGTTGCTTATGGTGGTGTCGACGATGGGGTAATGTCGAAGCCGATGTCGACGTCGATGTGTGAGTGCAGGAGAGAGGTTGCCGAAGAAGCAAAAATGGGGGGAAGATTGCCGGGAAAGTCGGGCAGGGAAACGATATTCGGTTGGGACAAAGTGGGATCAATGGGCCAGCCCAGGCCAGGCAGTGAGTGATAGTGAGAGAGAGAGAGAGAGAGGCAATAAAGCAATTGTGCGGCCAAAGACAAGTGCCGCGGGTTATCCATCGAGAGCGAACCAACAGAGGCGAGCGACAACCGAGCCTAGCCAAGAGCAGAAGAAGGGAGAGAGTAGAGGGGGAACGACGGAGACCTAGGTCGGGGGGGTCGGGACTCGGAATCGGCTGGCCTACAGAATGCTGCGGGAGGCACAATCAAAGGGGCAAGGACACTCGCAACAAACGGCACCGTCACTCCTATCCTTGTACGGTTTTATTGCAGGCGGGCAGAAAGAGACAAGGAGGAACACCAAACGAGGCAAACAGTGTAGAAGAACCGTCCAGGCGAGACAAGGCGTCTGGTTGCCGTGTCTCTACTTGACGTATGTATACAAGCATGCGCGCCGTACATACGGTACTTTAGGCGCAAGTCGAGCATTGCTAGCTTTGAGTGAACCAGGTATCTGCAACTCGTGAAGGGGGGAAAGGAAGACATGGACACGGGCAGCGGTGCTGGAGATTGTTGAGTCTACCGGTACAAGTAGTCTGTGTCGCTAGACAAGAGTTGCGCATGAGCAGACGTCTACGTCTCACAAGAAGGGGGGTTTGTCGGTCGTACGTACGTCCCCCAGTGCAACGCGACACCGGCCATCAAATGCCTTTGACTGCATGGATGCTACATCGGTACATGTTGTCGCTGGCGAAGTACATGCTGTGCAGGGGGGGGGGGGGGGGGTCAAGTACCTGGCTACCTATTGATGTTTAGTTTTTGGGCTTATCCCAATCGGTGGCACAGATCTTTCCGCTCTCGTCGTTGTACCTTGATCCCGTGTGACGGTTTCGAAGAACGTGTCGAAGGACGGATGGAGGTGTTTCTTTCTTTGCCTCGTCGGCACAAAGGAAGGGGGGGCGGGAGAGGAGGACGGGGAAAAGCAATGGGGTTTATCTGAGGCTGACGAGGTAAAAGGGCTAAACAACCGAAACTTCATGGACTCTGGGATATGAGAGGGGCGCGACGTCGGCGCGACATCCGGCCATCAAAGTTGCCAGGCCGCGGCAAAAAGAGAAAGAGGCATTGAAAGTGGTCCCAATATGGCGCCGGCCCTCAACGCGTCCCGGATATACGCCAGTCGATTCGCTCCCACTGGACTGGCCCCGTCGTCCTGGTCTCCGAATCTCCAACAGGGCGTTTCCCCTCCTTGCTTGCGTCTCCCGCCGACGTCCCTCGGATGTTTCTCTGCTCTGTCGCGCACACATGAATTCGCGCTTCGTCTCCCGCATGTCCCCTAGTCTCGGCCACGCCTTCGACCATGTCACTATCCCCTCGAATCATGACACCAACGACGTATTAGTCTCCTCTCACGGAGCTTTGTTCCGTGGCTGTGCTTGTTTTTTTGTTAGTTTTTTGCAGTCCTCTCGTGCTGCAGTCTTTCTTGGTGGGCGGGCGGCTAAGCCCTGTAAGCGACGGGGGGGCACAGAGGACATGATCGTCACAATTCGCAAAGACTTTGAACCAGGGGGGCAGAGAGAACGGCAAGTGGAGAAGAAACATGGGGGGCACCGCAGTCGCAGTGGATTCCCCGCCGACACACGTGCTCACCTGTAGATTATCTGACAAGGCACCCCTTTCATCGCTTCGCAGTGTTCCTCTAGCGGCCCAGCCCTCCAGTCTCGATCCAGTCACCAAGTCGCTCCTCGTCGAAGGTCTACCTAGTCTAGTCAACGTCCCGGCAGTTTGTGGATAGCTGCGGCCGCCGGGTGCCAATAGACTGCGGCGATCCCGCCATCGCCTCTTGAGTGCGTGCCCCGAACGACCGGACGACCCCGTGAGGGCGGGCTTACAAAGCGGGCTCCTGAAATAAACCTTTCTTACGGAATCAACAGAATGGCCGCTAAGTGTGGTATCCGGCTGTTGCCTAGAGTCTTTTGGAGGTAACGCAGACGAGCTGCTCTGCAAATGCTAGGTACTTGGGAAGGCCAGAGAGGCAACATGCTTAGGCGAAGCTTCAACTAACTACCGGGATGTCCCAAACCTCGTGCATGAGGCCCATTGATGGAATCCCACCAAGAGCTTCTTCGCTGGAGACTGGAGAGAACCCGCTCCTCCTCTGTGACCACACGACGCCGGGGAGTTGACAAAAGCGATGCGGCATTGGCGCATGCGGACGGCTTACACCACCAGTCCTGAGCTTCAAAAGCCACGTTGTGCGGGAAGCAGCGCCATTGAACGCCAGGAGGTTCGCACCGTCTTAGGCGTCTTGCACCACGCCCTCGACCGGACGTGCCCGAGTACGTCGTGGTCCCGTTGCCGAGGTCGAAGGGCCGCACCGCGACGCCCGGCGCAAAGATCTCGACGAGGGCCCCAGACTTGGAGAAGGACGCGCGGGTACGGTTCCAGTCAGTGGCCACGTCCGTGAAAGCACGCTCCGCTCTTGCGCGCGACCGCCGGCAGGCATCCTGGTTTAGGTTGCCGGCCGATACGACCGTCACTACGCCGACATCGTACGTTTCGTTGACCGCCCCGTCAAAGGTCGACCGAGGCTGTCGTACTGTCGGGGAACCCTGGAACGGAAGGGTTAGCATGGGTGTCTCTGGGAACTGGCGCAATAGCACAAGCTGGCTTCCTCAACGAGACTGATGCTGATGACGGATCTGGCCAGACGGCCGGGGGCTTTAGCGATGCTGTTGACGGACCCAGTTGTACCCGGAGAGAACCGTCGCCGTAGTGTACATGGTGCCAGAACCCTGTGGAGCGGGCGTGTGTCAGCGACGATTACTAGCGCTAGAGATTGGGTTACGGGCCACAGATTGTGTGGAAGCCAACCCACAAGCCCTGCGAGAACCTGGATATCTACAACGATTCCCTTCTTCACCGCGCCGTACGTCTCCGACCCGACAGTGCAAGCGATGTGCGGAGCGTGGCTTCTAAAGTCATTAAATGCTACTTCTGGCTGCGCGCTGTGCCCCCTTTCACCGCGCGACCGGCGAAGTTGGTATGATAGACTTCCACGCCCGTGTCGAGGATGTAGGGAGAGGTGCCCTCGCCGGGAATGACTCCGTCGGGGGCTGCGGCGGTGCTGGGGACAGCGGCGGGCGGAGCATGGAGGCCGACTGTTAGGAAGACGGCGGTTGCGCTTAACCACGACATCTCAGCAACCGCGTACCGATGAACACTTAGACACACGACGGGTTTTCGGTTTCTATTTTTTCCATATACAATTATTGAGCCTCGAATTGCGAGTCGAGGATCTTCGCCAATCACTCCATGCAGCCTCGTAAATGCCAAGGGCCAAAATCACGTTTGTGGCGTTTGGGATATCAAGCCTCTCAGACGAAGGATGTTTAAAAAGATCATGTTTACTTACATGAATGGACAGTTGATATGTCGAGCAACGTGAAAACTGTTAGCGAGCCATCCCAAAGATAGGCTATTACCAACGAAAAAGAAACCAACATTTCTTGTCGACAATTTGCCGGATCAGTATTATCAGTACACGCCCGTTCTTCTCTTGGCATGCAAGACCTGCAGGCATCCGCATCTCTTTCTCGTATCGCCAATGGCATCGCCAGTCAGAGAGGAGCCCTCGTATCAAACGGACGCGAGCGGCCCGTTTCGACGGCGTTTGTGTAAGGCGAGCTGTGCCTGTCTCGCAGGCAGTAAGCATGTGCCTGATGGAAACCGAGGCAGGCAGAGGTACTTTTCCCACTGCCAGCAGTTCGTCACTGGCTCACTTCGGCTGGCTCGCGACGTTTGTCAACTCGAGTGGGAGGATGCCATCGAGAGGTCGTTACCCATTGCCAGACGTACCCGCCTCCGGGCTGGCAAGATATTCTCCGACGGCAAGATCGAGCTTGAGCCTGCTCGTCATCTGTCAAGTCCTGATCGCCGTCAGAGTGCCATCGTCGTCCAAATACGTCACACCAGACCGCATCCCAGCCATTCAGACGACATACATCACTGAGCGAGGACAAAGATCGCAGTTGGGTCTCAGATGGATGCTCCCCACAGATAGCAACCCTGGGTACCCCGGGACATGTTGCTGCCCTGTCCAGCAAATAGACTGGGTCGTCTCAAGGTATCTACGCACTGACCAGACGTTCCTATCCAAGTAGCCAAATGTTTCGCTACTTCTCGCAACCATTGGCAACGATACAACCTCGTCTCGTACATCTCGTCTCGTCACCCTTCCTTCATCGGTCGCTCGTCCGGGAAACGGACAAACTCAACAGAGAGCCAGAGAGTCAGGCCGGTCTGCAGAGCGCGCAATGTCTCGGCTTCAGTCACCGCTTCGGCCATGTCAGCTGCGCCACATGCAATAGCCATCCTGCCGGCCCGCTTCCGCTGGGGGAGGGTTTCAAATGCATTCATATCGCTTCATGCGGGCCCTCTCTCTCTCCCTCTCGAGACGGCCTCCCTCCCACCCTCCATCTCAGCCCTACGACACGGAGAAAACAGCGTCAGCAATTGCCCTACGTGGCCGGGGAATCACCCACCAATATCCACCTGGCGTGGGCGCTCTAGCTAGGGCGGCCTCCTCCCCGCATCCAATAACACCACTGGAATCTGCCTCGAGTGCGCCCACATATCGCCTGCCTTAGCGCCGCTGCTCAGCCATCGACCCAGCAGCCCCCGTTCTGTCTCTCGCCTGGCAGAGGAGCCACATCTAACCATGGTTATTGACTGCATTGAATTCATCCCGCCGGCCCTCGCTGCATCTACCTACGCTTCTTTGCATCTTCCTCAGCCCTACCGATCAGCGTCTCTAGCATATGATTGGGGGCACGGGCTAGTCAACAGACATGCCATGTTGCCGCCGGTCATGAGAGTTTCCTGCCACCCAATAAAGGACCACCAATTAACAGCCCCTTCAGGGTCCGAGACGTGAAGCTCCCTTTAGTTTGGAATCAGGGTCTATTGGTGCTCCGGTTCCCACGCACGCACGCACGGCGCCACCCCCAAGGACGCTTCTGCCCGCTTCTCTGGCATGAGAGGGATGCGACTACTTGGACTCCAACCACAGACGTGGACCTTGCGGACATGCTACCGGTTCCGGAGTCGTGGTTCGAATCAAAGACCCTCGACACCGGGTCTAAGACCTTTGCGGACCCGCGTCTCTCGGCAGTGAGACTTTCTAGATGCTCGGAACGGCAGTCTGACCGGTAACCTCGGCACCTTTTCGATTGTCTAACGTCTTCCACGGGTGTCCAGACTCCCTACGAATGCAAGGCGTTGGTGCCGTGGACCCCAAAAGCGCGGCATGCTTGATTGTTTCTGACGGTTGGAATTCACGTGGTCAACACGATGGCATGGCATGTCTCCATCAATGGCCCGTTCAAGTTGTGTAGCGGATGACATTGCGGTTCAAATCTCCGACATCACCCCTGCATATCACTGGGCATCATCTCAGTGTCTCTCGGGCATGTCCGTTGGCGATATCGACGTAGGGAATGCGTGTCTGGGTTCGAATCCGTGCATCAACATCCGCATGACGGGTCTGATGCACAGCAACCCGCGGTCATCTATCTGGAGCTCCAATCTCCTGCCAGGTACCAGCAACCAGGATCGCGAGCTCCGAGTCTGGGAGAAATTAAGCAGACGGACATGCTGCCTTGCGAGACGCCTCGTCCCACCTGTCTTCACTGCGAAATTAGTGTGAAGCAACAGGCCAATCCCGCAACCCCATACCGCTGCGCCGAGCTGCATGTCAGAAAGAAGCGAGGAAGTCGCTGGCATCGCCGTGGCCCAAAAGTTCCACTCAATGGCAGGCAGTGCTTACGGCCGCTGGGGGGCATCACTCTTGTGCCATGTCCACTGGTTGCTCTGATAGGGTCTTCCGACACCACCACCCTGATCGGGCCTTTCCCCCCCTCGACGTTGGCATGCTAGGCATGACTTCATACGGTGACATGACGACCGAGTATCTGGATACGCCGAAACATCTGAGTGATGCGCATACCCATCGCGGAGGAACCCCACACGGACGATCGCGCGACGTACCCACTTGTTCCCTTACATTCTCTTACATCACAGACTGACCGGCGGCGTGTCTCATCTTCGGCAACGCCAACACAGCCTCGCCGTCCCTCGTCGTCCCTCGCCTTACAGGGCTGCCCTTATTAGATCTTTGGGAATCTGGGCTGAGAGGACCGGCAATCGACTGGTCGATTCGATCATGACCCCTCTGTCCAAGCCTCCCCACCAGGATGGTCCCGATACGCGGAATCCCGCTTCATCATTTGCTGCTCGGACTCCTCCGAGATGCGACCCAAGCCTCCGGGACGGGTCAGCCTCCCAGGCTCCACACCGGCCACTGTGATACGGGGGAGCTCATGAAGAGGCCGTAATCTTCAAGCCTCGTGTCGGGGCTCTCGGCTGCTGGCACCCGGGTCGCTTCCACGACATGGTTTCCGGCCTCCCCCAATTGTATAGCCGGTCGCCTTTGGGACGTGTGGCGCGCGCCTATTGATTGCTAAACGAGCATTCAACGTTTGATACGGCCAAAGCTCGTGTCGCTGGCTTTTGCATGACACTGGGCCTGCTCTGGAAGATGGAGTCATGAGCGAACTGGTGCTCTTGAGACTCTACTAGTACGCGGGCACGTTTCGTGCGTGGTAGCATTATTCCATAGACGCACGGTTGCAGCCAAAGGTACTTGCGTATCTCGACGATGCTGGAAACGTGTTGGACTGGCGAGATTGTTGCCTTTTGAGTGTCACGATGCCCGAGATGGAGTCTTCCTACCCCCCGCTAGCAACATCCGCAACAGACTCACGACAGGTCATGCTACGGTCCTTCACTGATGGCTGGCATGCACCTGATGTCGGTTTGAAGAGGAATGTCTTTGATTTGTTTATCGAGCAACCCTTAGGGCTTCACCGTACAGAGATAGTAGGATATACGATGGCATTAAGGTAGCGGGATGGTTGCAAGTGTATTAATCCCTAAGCTCCTTCTCTTACCGATGCCCGTCGGTTTACTATTGGGCACCGTTACAATACATGTCTACACATTACTTGATAAAGCCATTACGTGCGCAGTCTGCTTGTCCGTACCCCCAAATTACCACAAACAAAGAACACGCGCGCGGACACATTACATTAAGCGCCTACTCGGTCTCTCGCTATTCCTTGCTGCTCTCCACCTCGGGTCTCGCAGCTGTGGAGATCTGTCAGCCCGTCATACACACAGAGGCGGGAGCGGACTGCCGACCTGAGCTTGCTCCGCAGATGCCGTCCATCAGCCCGTAGACGCCGTAGTTGGGCGCCAGGTTCAGGTGGTGCTCGTCGTGGGCGTCGTCCCCCCACAGGAGCTTGATCTGCTCCCCGACGGCGGAGACGAAGGAGAAGGCCAGCGTGGTGGCGAGGTTCATCTCGAGGAGCTTGGCGATGCCCACCACCGGGAACCCGTACAGGAACATAAAGTCCGCGACGGACATGTAGCTGATGGTCAGGATGTGGTGGTTGCCGGGGTGCTTGATCTCGTGGTGCTTGGCGTGCACGCGCTCGTAGATGCCGGGGGCGTGCCACAGCCGGTGGATGACGTAGAAGACGGCGTCCCGCAGCAGGAGGCCGACGGCGAGGTCCCGCGCGACCTCTTGCCAGGACGGCAGGCTGTACGGCTTGATAAAGGTCCGGGTCAGCATCGACTGGCCCCCCGAACACATGACAAAGGCGACGTGGGTCATGGTCGCCACCACGTGGTTACAGAGGCTCTGCGTCAGCATCTCCCGGGACGTCGCGCTGATGTACGGGGGCCGCAGCTGTTCCAACAACAGCCCAAACACCATGTACACCAGCTGCACGGACACACTCCCCATGATCTCAATGTACCCGGCGGGATACCGGTCGATCAACTCGTCCATCATGGTTTGGGGTTTGGCGGGGAGAGAGACGAAAGGGGGAAAGGGGGACGGCTGGGGCTGGCGGTATATTACTCCACGAAAGACGGTGAAGCAGCCGGTTAAGCCCCCCACTCTGGTGGGTTTTACCTCGTGGGAGAGTGGGAGTTGTGGAGGCAATAGTGCTTGTCGCCCCCTTGCTGGGCTTTCGGGAGTTTAAAAACAACGTGGAGGAGGGTGCTCGGTAAATAAGCTTGGGGCGAATCCACCAGAGAAGGGCGGGAACCGTGGGCGAAGGGCGCCGGGTTGCTATATGTAGACGGCAATATGGGGCTTGCGAGCGGGAAGCCCTCGCCTTCTACCTATCGTCGAACGAGGTCGAGATATTGGGCGAGAGTCCGTTAGTCTCGATTTCAGTGGGATGCGCTAGTCGAAAACCTAAACCCGGGCGGGTGTCCCGACACGCTGGGGCGCGATTGGTCCGTACGCCTCGGGGCAGCCTGCCATTGGTCGTCAAGACTGTGAGATTATCAGCGTCGTGGCGGGCAGCTTTCGCGTGGCGGCCTCTGACGGGTTATCGCTGCATCTGGTCGTGATGTCAACGTCGGGGGAGGTCCCTCGATGAGGGGCGTGGGTTGAGGCCGCGGAGGTTTTTTTGTTGCAGCGCCGCAGAGCGAACCCGGGGTGGGGGCGGGCCCATATCGCGCGGTCCTCTTTCCAGGTAAATCCCGGCGGTGAAGGGACGTTCGTCTCGGGGGGGGAGGGTTCCTATGTTGGATTGATAACACGGCAAGAGAATCACCATGCGAACTCTTGTGGCGAGCATCGTGAGCAAGCGACACGGCTTGGGTTGACGCACATCCTATACGAACAACACGAGCGCGCATTGCAACCTCCGGCTGATGGGTCCTTTGACGTGCTTGGCTGCAGGCGTTCGGCCTTGGCCCAAATCCGGGGTCAAGAGCTGGCCACGTTGATACACCGTCCGGCCCATATAAAGGAAAATGGAGGCTTCCATGCGGTTTGCCCATCTGGCAAACTTTGTGATAGTGGCGCGGCGGGGCCCGATGCGTGACGGAGTTTCCCGGGAGCATGTGAGTCGACGTTGTATCGAAAAGAAGGCGGCCTCGGCCCTTGCTTGGACTTGCCGTATTGGGCATCATGTTCAAAGGGCATTGGGGCGAATCTGATCCCGGGGCTGCTGGCGCGTTGTCGACGTGGGAATTCGGATGCAGCTGTTGGACCTCGTAACCGGGATCGTGTTATTCTACGTCATGATCGGTGGACACACACCATAGCAGACGCTGGGAAAGAGGTACAAAGGTGGTCGTGTCTGCCACGGCACCCTGCGGGGGATGGATAATGTGAACGCTGGGAAAACGTGTCGCATTTTGGCATCACATCTATCGTATATCCGCTACACCGCTACAAAGGAGGTAGTTCCTCCCGACAAATGGGGCACTGCAACCTGAACCGCATCCACCCCTCCAGACAGGCGCTGTGGAAGATGTGCCGGCATGGCGTGACCATGTAGTTCCTCCGCGTGAAGACGCCCACGACGCTGCCGGCCGCGGGATCCTCCTCGCCGGCCCGCATGACGGGCACCTCAAGCACCTCGCGGCAGATGGCGCAGTCGATCGCGCGCAGGTTGCTGCCGCTCTTCCTGTCCTTGTCCTCGCCTGATCGGACCCGATCAAGGGACGGCGAGCCGGGCTCGGACAGCAGGCCGATCGGCAGCCCGCCGGCCTCGAGGCCGTCCTCGCGCAGGACGGGGTGGTAGTCCCATGCATCGGGCGTCCAGCTCTTGGGGATGCCAAAGCGCGGACCGAGGACGTACTGGAACGCTAGGATCCAGAGCTGAACCCAGAGCCAGGCGCAGAAGATGAGAAACGCCCGGCGGTCCGTCTCGGCGAAGAGGAAGTTGTTCTCGTAGACGTAAAAGTAGGCGAAGGGGAGCAGCCGCAGGACCGACTGGCCAATCATGAACTGCCAGGTGAGCGCACGGCGGCAGTTCCGCAGAACGTTGCGGTAGATCTGGGGCACCCAGAAGGAGAAGTAGACCATTGCCACGCTGTTGACGAAGAAGTTGCGCACGCGCGGGTACCAGGACGTCGACGCGATGGAGACAAGGAGGATCAGGGAGACGATCATGGCGAAGCGGAAGATGACCGCCTGGAACGTGACCTCGGGCCCGATGCGGTGGCCGCCGCCTGCCCCGGTGCCCGCTGTTGGGACCGCAGCCGCCCCGCTCGCGGCGTCCGCCAACTCGGCGTCGATGTCCTGATCAAAGGGTACAATGATCGGGGGCGACGGCGCTCTCCTGCGAGGCCCTGCAGTGACGGGCTGCGGGAGGGAGCCGGGCTCGACGGTCGGTGCCGGCGTGCGCGGCGTGTCGTTGTTGGCGTGCTGCTCTCTCTCGGCCCGCCGCCTGTTCTCGGGTTCTTGCACTTTGTGGATTTCCGCCAGGAAAAAGCCGCCCAAAGACATGGACAGAAACGCAGCAAAGAGGAGCGACAGGGACTCCAAGTACGTGATGCTGGCGTCCAGCGCCCACATGGACGCGGCGGCGAAGATGCCGCCGTCCACCATGACCATCATACTAATCGTCGAGTAGCTAATGCGACCCATGGTCGACGGCGTCGCCGATTCCTTCATCTGTTGCTTAAGCAGTAGTGCCTGGCTGAGAATCACCACGGCGAAGAGGAGTATCCATATCCTTATCTTATGGTATATGATCTCCGTCTTCATGCCTTGAAGATGTTGCCCGTCCGCGGGAGCAAAGTTCGGGGGTCCTTTTGTCTCGAGGAAGAAGGCGCAGTCGGGTGACCAGATGATGGCGGAAAGCTGTAGCTCCGGAACACCACGGATGGGCGCACCCTCTGGAAACCGGAGTTCCTGCTCGATGTCGCTGATGATTTTCGCCATGCCTTCTCTGGTCGGGCGGAAACCCTTCATGTTTAGATGACTCCTGTCCGGAGGGTGCACCTGGGCGTACATAATGTACTCGCAATGCGGCGCCGGATTGAGCGTGTCTGGCGGGTTGGACAAGTCTGATGTCCACGGCATCACGCCGTCGTTGAACACCTCCTTCTCCTTCCTTCGCAATACCTCGGCCAGCGTCACGTTGAGAAGACGCTGGCTCGACTGGAAAAAGTCGGAGCTCGGCGTTAGATGGGGCAGACCAAAGATGCCGTCAAACTTCTCGCTAGTCGTGGTCAGCAGAATGGTCCCCTGACGCGGCCACTGAACGCCGTGCAGCCGCATCTCCCAGTTGACGCCGCTGCCCTTGACGTCTTCGATTGTGACGGAAGCCTTGGCGCTGCGGACCTTGCCTCCGGACGAGGCGACGCCGTCCTCGACAATGCCCTGGTAAGAGATCTCCCTCCCGTGCTTCCCCGTGTCGACTAGGTCCATCAAGATCTTGCCCTCGTCGCCCGTGATATTCCTCGCCCATTCCGACTGCGAGCCGCTCCAATGCAAACTCGGCGTGATGGCGCTCAGGTTGTAGCTCGTCCACTCCCTCTTCGACATGGCCTCCTTGCGTACCCACGTCCCCTTGACAGCGCCCGTGGCGTTCTGCCAAACGGCCTCGCCCTCGCCAATATCCCAGAGGTTCACACCCCCGACGGGCGGGATTGCATTGTGACTCCACTCCAGGCATCGCTCCTGGAACCGCTCAAGGTCGTCCCATGCGAACCCGTCTTCGGCGCGGAAGCCCGTAAGGTTGAGGGACCTAGGCAGCAGGTCGGCGGACGAGCCGTTCTGACGCGGGACGAAGTCGCCCCAATTCGAGGTGTTGAGCAGGTCGAGCGCATGCTGGTGCCTCCGCAGGCGCTGGATAGCGAGGTCGGAGGCGGAAAAGAGGGAAGCGCCGCCGTTGCCCGGTGCGAGGAGGATCCAGAGGATGCCGACGATGGCGAGGCCGAGGACGACGGGGCGCGGGTTTTCGAAAGGGTAGGGGGGCATGTTGGGCGGCGTGCCTTGTTGCCGCTTTATCTCGTGGCCATTGTTTTGCTACACTGGCCGGCGGGTGTCGGTAGTAGCAAGCAGGAGCTTCGGGGATCGACAATTGTATATTCGTGTGTTGCGATGAGGAGGGTCAGGATGTACGGATGAACACTGTAGAGCTAAAAAGTAACTTTGGAGACGGATGACGGCATCAGCTGAGGTTGCCTCGAAGTGCTGAAAGCGGACCGTTGGTGGGCATTGGGTTCCGGCGCCCGTCAGCAGTTGTTTCTCAGGCTTGGTCAGTGTGCGGCTCTTGGCCTCCCCTGAGTTGGCGCTGTAGCAGGCACGTCTCCGGCGCCGCACTAGCCCACCGGCTCTGGGAGCCCGGCCTCGAACCTGGAATGTTTGCTAGGACCAACTGCGCAAACATTCGGTACCCCGCCATCGCCTCAAGACACTCACACAGTGAATTTAAGAACACGAGCACGACATCTCAGCGGCCATCTTACCTCGTACATCAGCCTCTCAATCCTCCAGTAATTCGTCGACAATCCGAGCAACGCCGCTCAAGATGGCCTCCAACAACCCCGACTCGAGTGCAAACCAATCTGCCGTTAGTAGACCACCTTCCAGCCCCCGCCGCACGACATCGTCCACACACTCATCCACAGCCATCATTAACTTCATCGCTCCGGGGCTGACTCTGAACAACGTGTAGATTTCGGAAGACCCCAAGACAGACGTCAACGCCGCCGTCGAGGAGCTCCTCAACACCATCTCCAACAAGTTCGCCGGAGTGTCCAGTGAGATTTTTGCAAAGAGTAAGCCCCATCACTGGAAACCTTGAAAGTGACTTTCGGGAAGCCAGTCTGATGCCGATCACAGTGGACGAGATGTCTCGCCGCCTGGACAACCTTGAGGCAGCTCTGTTGGCCAATAAGGAGAAGGATGGTGGCCCTCCAAAGTCGTCTTAGCCGTGGTCTGCATTCACGAGGGGTGCGAGGCAGCATGCCATTGGCGTTCAGGATTCACAGAAATACCTCACTAGAGCTGGATATGTCGGCAGGTTTTACGCGCAAACTTGATTTATACTTGCTATTGTTATTTCGTCGTCGTCGGCATCCTAGGCTACCAAATCATCAACTGGAGCGAAACCCGCTCAGTTGCATTGTGCTTGCTTTTTCAACCTCCTAAACCTTCCGATACCCAGACTTCAAGATGCTTCTGAAAAATGTGTTGTAAGAGTTCACTACAACTCCTCCTTCTCGCCGGTGACCTTCTCCTCGACCTTCTGGAGGAACTTGCGGAGAACGTTGGTCTTGCTGGTGATCTCATCACGCTTGGCCGGGGCGAGGCCACCCTTGGTGAGGATGCCTTCCAGGCGGGCGAGCTCCTTCTGAGCGTAGCCGTCGCTCTTGTTGAGCTTGTCGAAGACGCGGACGTAGTACTCGGCGTACTTGTACTGGGCCTGCTCCTTGAGGGTCTCGGCCTCCTTCTTGGCCTCGGCGGCAGCGTCGGAGAGGCTGGTGCCTCCAGTGTACTTGGCGACGATCTTGTCGAGGGCGGCGATGGTACCAGCGACAGCGTTGAGGCCACCGCCGGGGCTGCGGTTGGTACCGGCCTTCTCGTTGATGAAATCAACGAAGTCAACCTCGCTGCGGCCGCCGGTGTAGAGCTCGCCCTCCTTGGAACCCTTGGGGAAGAACTTGATGGTCGGGTAGGAAGAGACGCCTTCAGCGGCGGCGGTGCCCTTGCTGTTCTCGGCCTCGGCGTCGACCTTTGCGATCACGACACCATCGTCAAGAGAAAAGTCCTGGGCAACGGTCTCCCAGATAGGGGCGAGGGTCTTGCAGTCTATAGTATACCAAGTCAGCATTGCCAGCGGGAAGGAAGCATGAGGTGGGGAATGAAGACGTACGTCCACACCAAGGAGCAGTGAAGGCAACGAGAACGTCCTTGTCGCCGCCAACGGTGGCCTTGAAGGACTCATCGGAGAGCATGTTGACAGCGCTGGGCGGTGTGTACTTCTTGCGGGGCTTGGCGCTAGTCTTCTCCGTGATGAAGGCGCTCAGGGCCTCGAGGTCACGACCTCCCTTGTAGTCAGTGGGCTTATCGCTCTTGCCATCGAACCACTTGAGCGTAGGGAATCCCTGGATGCCGAATCTCTTGCCTAGGTCACGCTCGGCGTCGGCGTCCACCTTGGCGATCTGGACGTCCTTGGAGGACTCGAAGGCGCTGGCGAGCTCCTCGTAAACGGGAGCAAGGTTCTTGCAGTGGCCGCACCAGGGGGCGAAGAACTCGACGAGAGTGGGCTTGCCGGACTTGAGGACGACATCGTCAAAGTTGGAGGGGATAAGGTCAAGCACGGCGGACTTGGCGGCAACGGTGGCTGCCAGGGCGCCGAGCACGAAGCTCTTGAGGACAACCATTGTTGCTTTGATTGGCTTGCTTGAAAGAAATAATTCTAGTGATGCGATACCCGATCGACGTGAAGTGGTCACAAGCTGCTGGAAGTAATACAGCAGTTGGGAAGAGTGATGGTGTAAGCTGATGCTTTGAAATCAGCCGTTTGAGGTGTTGGATAAAGAAGCCACTTTGCAGGCGAACGTCACAGGAGAGCTCGGCCCCTTGTTCTCCAGCAACCTCAGCAAGGTGGCGGTTTCCCAACTGGCGACAGGGGTACCTTTCGGTGTTCTTATCGCTAGTGCTGGGCCTTATCGCGCGACCCTCCAGAGTAACTTAGTCTCTTGGATCAACTTTCCTCCGTCCGTCGACGGTGCACGGGCCTCTTTTCTGCTCCCCTCGGCTGGGGCTGCCAGACCCTGTCCAATGAGATTCCATTGGCAAAATCCGCATCCGCACACAAACCTGGGAAAATTTCCGTCTTCGCGATCGAAAAGTCAGTCAACACCCAACCATCCAGTCAACCCATCTCGAGTTTCTCGCCGACCACCCTCTCGACGACACCGCCCCCTCGACAACCGACATCATGTCTCACGAGTCTGTCTGGAACTCCCGCCCCCGCACCTACGGCAAGGGCTCTCGCAGCTGGTACGGATAACCCCTCGATCGGTCTCTGGTGGAAGCAAATGGAAATGGGAGACTGGAAATCTGCGGGGGACGAAGTGCTGACATTTTTTCCTCTTCCCAGCCGTGTCTGCAAGCACACCGCCGGTCTCATCCGCAAGTACGACCTCAACCTGTGCCGTCAGTGCTTCCGTGAGAAGGCCAAGGACATCGGCTTCAACAAGGTATGCGAAAATCCCAGGCGCCCCCAAGCGCGCCGCACGATTGGACTATGGGGGAACCCGATCGCTAACCGAGGCGCGAAACACAGTTCCGTTAAACGTCGAGATCCGAGACTAAGGATGGGACTCGAAGGTGGTTGGGCATGATGGCCCGTGGAAAATGCATTCAGACAGAGGGAGGCTTCCAAGGGCATGGAGTTCTTATGGCTGGCTTAACGGAAGAATATGCAACTCCGTCGGACATCCATTGAGGATAGACGAATACCACGACATTGAACCTTACCACCATTCTATCTGGGGCCTCCAAAAACCAAGCCACGACTGAGCTGCGCGTGATGGCGCGACGTACTGTAGATCATGAGACCGCGCGACGTATGGTACCCATAAGCTAGTACGGCCCTGCAAGTTCTGGGGATGCAATGATGACTCGAGGTTCATTCAACATATTCACTTGAATGGGCGGCGTGAAAGTCTTTTGTTCATGTGGCACAAAGCACAGATTGTTCTATTGTCCATCGTCTTCTATAAAAGTACATGATTCAAGACAAGGGGTGAAGTAGAGCGGAGATCTTTGAGCCCAAGACCCGACAATATACACGAGCGCGAGGGCTCAAAGCGGAAAACTTTGGGTCAGTTGTACATGAAATCGTGAAGCAGTCCAACTCCTTTTTTTGTTTGTACAATCCCACCTTTTTCGTCATCCAGATTCTGGTGTTTCGTTCCTGGTTCATCTCTGGCGTGCGCTGAGTGCCAACTCAGGGTATCGAGGGGATTCTTTTCAAAGCGGATCCCTTATTTCAGGATGCGGGTAATGAGACCAGTGGCGACGGTGCGGCCACCCTCACGGACGTTGAAACGCTGACCGACCTCGATGGCACTGGGGTGGTGCAGGGTGGCGACCATCTCGACGTTGTCACCGGGCATGACCATCTTGCTCTTGGCGTCTTCGGTGCCCTCGGGGAAGGTGAGAGTGACGGACTCGTCGGCAGTACGAAGGTACATCTGGGGCTTGTAGTTCTCGTGGAAACCAGTGTGGCGGCCACCCTCGTCCTTGGAGAGAACGTAGAGGGAGACAAGGAAGCTGGAGTGAGCCTTGACGGTACCGGGCTTGCAGACAACCATACCACGGCGGATGTCCTCACGCTTGACACCACGGAGGAGGAGGCCTGAGTTGTCACCAGCGCGGGACTCGTCGCAGGACTTCTTGAAGGTCTCAATGTCGGTGACCTTGGACTTGATGATCTCGTCGCCCTTGCCGACAATCTCGATCTCAGAGTCCTTCTTCAGGAGACCACGCTCGACACGGCCACTGACGACGGTACCACGGCCAGAGATGGAGAAGACGTCCTCGACGGACATGAGGAAGGGCTTCTCGAGGTCACGGGTAGGAGTGGGGATCCACTCGTCGACGGCCTTGAGGAGCTCATCGATCTTCTCGTTGCCGATCTCGTTTCTCTGGTTGTTGAGGGCCATGAGGGCGGAACCCATGATGACGGGGGTCTCGTCACCCTCGAAGCCGTAGGTGCTGAGGAGCTCACGCATCTCCATCTCGACAAGCTCCAACATCTCGGGGTCGTCGATGGCGTCGACCTTGTTGACGAAAACGACGATCTTCTGGACACCGACCTGACGAGCGAGCAACAAGTGCTCACGGGTCTGGGGCATCTGGCCGTCGGAGGCGGCAACGACGATGATGGCACCGTCCATGTTGGCGGCACCGGTAATCATGTTCTTGATGTAGTCGGCGTGACCGGGGCAGTCGACGTGGGAGTAGTGGCGGTTTTCGGTCGCGTACTCGATGTGAGCGGTGGAGATGGTGATACCACGCTTGCGCTCCTCGGGAGCCTTGTCAATGGCACCATAGTCGAGGAAGTTGGCGAGGCCCTTCTCGGCCTGCCTCTTGGTAATGGCGGCGGACAGAGTGGTCTGGGAGACTTGGGTCAGCTTTTGTCACGTAACGTCGCAAATGCAAGTCTCGAAGAGTACCTTTCCGTGATCGACGTGGCCAATAGTACCTGCGTAGCAACCTTGATTAGCCACAACATGCAAAGTAGATCACCAGCGACTGCACATACCAATGTTGACGTGAGGCTTTGTCCGCTCGTAGACGGCGTATGTGCGATAGACGTTGAGGATGGGGGAGACGTTCTGTCTCTTCAGGGCGGCCTGAAGGGGGCTAACATTGCCCTGGCGCAGCGAGGCGCGCGCCGTCCGGAGGAACGGCGCAACAGATCTGAGGGAGGCGGACATTGTGATGGTTGTGGATATTAAATAGTACAGCAGAAGGAGAGAAGAAGGAACGGAGAGGAGATGGACGATGTGGTGCTCGTTGTCGACAACGGCTGTAGTGGCTGGTTTGTAGGGGGAGGGGGAGGATGAGGTTCGGAGGTATCGTCTGATGGGAGCCAGAGTCCTGGAAATTTTTTTGCTGCCGGGAGTTTCCTTTTCGTCCAAGGAGACGGGGGAGCTCTGCTGGAGCTTCTTACGTCCATTGGCGGGCCGGCATGTCAGTGCTCTCCCCGGCCCCACTACGCAAGCCATTCACGTGAGGTCGCGTCGCCTCCCTTGACGAGTGCTAATTCGCGAAACGTAACTGGTTGGGCGTGTGGGAAGTCTTTTTGTCTTGCACGTCATGAGGGTGTTGATGGGGTTTGGACCACTTCATGGTCTACCAGGTCATGATCGACTTTGAGAATATTGAAAGTAGCTCGCAAAGGGCATAGAAGCATCGTTACGTTTCAATGCCTAACATGGCCTTGGGGGTACGCTTAGCCCTGTGCACTTCAAGCCCGTATGGCTTCGCTGCAGTATTCAGAAAACGTCAGATTGATGATAGCCTTACTTCTTGGATATGGTTTGATACCAATCCCCAAATCAAGAAAGGATTTTCCAACTGTTAGAGATCAAGGAGATCAGCATGGAAACACATATAATCCTAATGCTTCCATCTCTGGTATCTGACTTGGCATCTGAAGTGATTGCTTGCGCCCGTCTAACAAGGGATTAGTGCTACCCACGGAGGAACCGTTTTGACGGGCATCGGTTCTCGGTCACATCATTGACATTTGTGAATACTCATTACTTACAAGGGTTTCAAGAAGCAGCAGCAAGGAAGCACTCAGCTTGGAACAATGTATGCATGCTTCTGGATGGTTGTCGCCCACTGGACTTTGATAATCATCTTTGGAGCCGGTTCAAAGCACATACGACCATACCCACTGGAAAACTCGGGATCCCGTCCGCTCTCCCACAGATAAGCCAGTGAGGGCCGGATTAGTAGTTGAGTCGGTGACGATCAGCGAATACCTGGTGTTGTATGTTTTTTGGGGTTTGTCTCCTTTTCTTGGGTTGGTGATGATGCTCGATGTATGCCGCTGGCTTTCCCAAGTCTAAGCATTCGATGCACATGTGCAATCTTTTGATTTGCGGTCCAGATGCCGCTACCGCTTATACCGGTCTCCCATAGATAAGCTAGTGAGAGCAGATGTTCAAGTCGGGTTGTGAACGCCCACCGAGAAAGGTGGGTTCCGGTTTCCACGGATACGGCCCGCAATCAACCGAGCCAAGTTCAGGGTTCTCCTGCCGTATCTGCTTATAACTCTGGAGTCATCAACTGCTTGAAAGCTTGCACAAGTTTCAAGGCACCCTCTGTGCGGTCTTTCTTACCTTCGCTATCTATGAGATATCGTGACAAGTGACGAGACGAAGTAATCATGCCACTGTTAGCAGGGGTGCGTGTTAGTGTAGAAACGATGGCTGCAGACTAGCCAGTGATATCTCTTAGACTTTGAATTGAGAAATGCCTCCCTCGCCCACACTTTCGCCCGAAATCGCACCTTTTCTTCCTTCTCGAGACGAAGTACTTGAAGCAAAGCTGTGTTCTCGAGTGTGCATAGGTAAACGCTATAATTACTGGAGCTTTCCGTGTAATGATGCTAACAACTTGTGGTATTACTTGCATGACATTGCCTGTAGCTGTACCAATATAGAGGCAGGTGTACTGTAACCTGCGTACGTGCATTGGGAAGTCCTGGCAGGCCATAGATCATCTGGCACACGGATCCCGGGATGGATCTGGAGAGTTGCCCAACAATCAAGCACCGCAACTTTGCAAACACCTTGTCGCTCCAATGCAAACAGCAATAGCTCAAAGGTTTCTGTTGCGCAGGACTAGGCAATTCTCTCATCAGCTCATCTCCAACCACTGGCAGTCACCATCATTAACCCTCAATCACCGCGGTTCGTTCAGGAAGACTAGCACCAAAAACGAGCCATCAGCCGGCACAGATGCGGTCCCCTACAGCTTTACACTCAAAGATATCAGCACATCCAATTGGTCGGAACACCCGTATGCCTCTACAGCCTTTGAAATAAAGAACTCGGGCTTCCACCGCTTTGGGTTTGTTATTTACCGCACCACCTACGACGACGAGGCGGCGTGGGAACGCTACCTCGAGGTGCTCAAGTTTGCTGCACACCAGTCTCTTGTGAAGTCAGGCAACGACGTGCTTCTTGAGCAGTATATGGACTGTAGGCCTAACCTCCAGCCTGCTTATGGTTATGCACCTAGACGTTTTAACGTTTGATTATCAGGGCCAGTAATTTCTAATCGGGTTGCACTTAATGGTGCCTCTAAGGCCGAGGTACGACGGCACATTAACGCTTGGTGCGAAGGCCGCAGCGAAGAGCGTGACGGCGCCGGCGCCACCGGTCCCAGGGTTAAATGGCTGCCGCGGTTCAAACACTGTGTTTACGTGGACCGCAAGTGCCTCGATACGTTAGTTAAAATGCCGGCAAATTACCTCGAGCCCCAACGGCTGCGCCTCCCCTCCGATGTGCTGGCCGTGGTTGTTGACGGTGCTTTCGACCAGAGGATACCGGGTCCAGATTATGGCACGTATCCCGGCATCGAGGGTTGCACCGAGAGGTATGTGGGCTGGAAGTACGAAGAAATTGAGATGCTGGTCAACACGTACGACGAGGCCCATCAGTATCCCTTGAGCGAGATCGAATACAAGCGGCCGCCGCTTAGCGGGCCCATCAGGTTTGAGCCTACGCCTTTCTAGGCACTTGTCTGCTGGTTGCTGGGTCACGGCTGCTTTGTGAGTTAGAAGAGACCTGCTTATCACTGGGCCCTGATGAGCGTGAGACGAAATTGACAATGGCTACTGCTCACACCATGTAAGAGATCTGGAAGGCACTTATCACGCAAGCCGGTGACATAATTCTCTATCAAAAATGACAAGAGGATTCTCACAACAACAAACACAGATAGATGCTCCGACATCGAGAAAAGGACAACAAGAGCTTGTTTCCGGCGTCTCGGTTAAGCCAAGTACGTAACTTTGTGATATCAGGAAATTCTCCCTGACAAGAGATTCAAAGAATGTTAAGGCAAATGTGTTGGTCTCACAGACGGTTAGGTACTTATACAAGTGATGACAGCAAGTACGTCAAAAGTGGTAACAAACATTAATTGTTAGATACCGGGAAGAGAAGTCTAACGAGTTGGCTAGCAGCAAATTAAAGTAGGATATGCCTCCTGTTGTTGAAGTACGTTAATCAATAGAATATCTCTTGTTGCTTCTATCAGGTCTATGTCTCGAGAAAAAAACCCCTCGTCTACTGGCTGGCCTTTTGCCAGGTGCAAAATACACATGCCATCAGATTTCGCGTATTGAGCTGGCGAAATCCGTCCCAGGTATGAGTTCGACATTCGCCCAGACTGCCTCACTTCGTCTGGGTTGGGATGCTGTTGACACGTCTCGGACCTCAAAGCTCCCGACCATGCCGGTCACATCTTCACCCGGCCTATTTGCATTGGAAGCAGCAGGCACCTAGGTGTCCCTTTAAACCTTCTCGAGATCCAGTGCATCAGTTGTAAACGTAGTGAGGCCGTTCGGGGTCATTTGGGCATTTCCAGTGATCTTATAAGTGCTATTTTCATTCTCAGTTAGCCGTGTATTCCGCTTCTACCGGGCGGAAAGTTCCTTTTACCTATCCACGGACTTAAATGTGTAGGTCGCATAGCTAACCACATTCAAGGTGGAAACATGGACCATGACAACTTTAAAGGTTTTGCCATTGGTGTTGTTTTCAATCAAGTGGCTGCAGTCGAGTGTTGTGCCCTCGCTGCCAGCAAGCTCGCATCGCGGAGTGAGAGAGAAGGCCGGGATAGCCACGTTGTTCCCAGTCAAAGCAGGACCCGAGGCCTCGTAGTTGGCCCAAGCGATGCCGTACACACCGCCGCTCCAGTCCGTGATGGACCACTTGTAGGTCTCAAGCATATAAGCGAAGGCACCCGAGGCCGAGACGGCGGCGATAAGGAGGTTGGCGGAAACACGCATGGTGGCAGATGAGCGAGTGGGAAGTAAAAAGAGAGTGGCTTGAGGCGAATTAACTGGTCAAGATGTCTGAGTTGGTGTTCCTTACGACCTGGAAATCGACATCGAGGGGCGGCCTATTTATATGTCTTGGCAGGGACGTCTTGAAGCCTGGGTGGTGATCGTATCGTCAATATCATGCCATTGGCGGCAAAGAAGTCAGCAGATCAACTGCGCGCACTTCGTTCTAGCAGTTGTAAGAGAAAAGGCCGCAAAAAGATGGTTTTCTGTGAATAAGAGACCCGCCCATTCATAAACTTGGACGTGGATGAGTTCCATATGGACATGGACGTGTCCCGCTTCTTCCCAGCGAGCACAACGCTGTTTTGCTGTATGATAGTGATAGAACATATTGCGCCGGCGTGGCGCGGGTGTGTTATCAAAGTAGCGCGGTGGACCAGTAGAGAAACCGAAAAGCAATGTCCCAGCTCTTTCTTGATGCTATCAGAGTAGAAAAGGACCAATGACGCATGTGCATGATTGCTCCCGCCTTGGTCTAAAGGGTGCTGTCCGCTTGAAAAAAGACCACCGGAAGCGCGGCTTGGACGAGGCTGTGAGGTGGAAGCCAATACTTTCGGGACATCGACCAGAGACGCAGCCCCGGCTTCGCAGGAGCATGCAGAACGCGACTGTACCCTCCACAAGCAACCGCGTGCTCTACAGACCAGGTGGGCGAGTGGTAGCTGAAGTACCGCTTCGCCGCCAGTCGTCCGCCTCCCGCGCTCGATCTGGACTTGCCATTGCTCGGATCGCCATCTGGTCACACTGTTTCTGTTCATTCCATCTTGCACATCATGCATGAAATCTTGACAATGTTCGTCCGTCGCCTACCTGACGAACGCCCCCCACTCACTCACTCATCGCCCCCGTCGGACCCGGACCCGGAGTCGTCGCCGTCGGCGCCGTCCTCGCCGTCCCCCTTCTTCCCCTCCTTGGCCTTGGCCCGCTTCCGCAGCTTCTTGAGCCGGTTGAGCCGCTTCTTCTTCTCCTTGAGCGCCTCCTCCTTGCCCATCTTGGCCCTCTCCTGCTCCTCGGCCTTCTTCTTCCTCTCGCGCTCCTTGACCCGCAGCGCGATGCGCTTCTTCTTGCCGGGCCGCCGCCTCCGCGCCGCTTCTTCCTCTTCTCCCTCGCCTGCAGCCGTTTTCGGCCCCTTCCTCGACGTGCCGGGCACCCGCGTCACCCGCCACGGCATCTCCATCCCCCACCACCGCTGCGCCGCGCGCGCGAGCACCTCGTCGCCCGACACCGCCGCGAACGCCAGCTCCGCCTTGGCCTCGGCCGTCGGCTCGCCGGCAATGTAGTACGACAGCGGCCTCTTGCGCAGCATGTCGCCGTCCCCCTGGAGCGCGAGCTCGTCCTCGTCGACCAGCGCGATCTTGGTGGCCGGGTCCGTCGTCGTGAACAGCCGGAACTCGAACTCTTCGGGGCCGTTGTCGTCGCCCTGGGTTTCGGGGGCCGGGCCGTCCGCCATCGGCGCGTCGTCCTCGTCGGCGGCGGTTTTGGTCGGCGCCTGGTCGAGGCCGCTCAGGTCGAGCATGCCCGCCATGCGGGCGTGCAGCTTGGCGAGGAGCTCCGCATCCTGCTGCTCGTCGTGGTCCGCCGCCTCGTCCTCGGATGAGGCATCGAGGTCCTCTCGCCGGACCCTGTCATGCGTCGGTCAGCATTGCGGGACAGGCAAGACCGTCGTCAGAAGGGTGAGCCTCACCTCTTGGCGTCTGGGAGCTCAAACATGGCTGGTGCTCTACAGGAAATGCCCGCTGCGTCGGCCGAGTTGCTGTCGATTGGCGGTTGAGGAGAGGTCCCGGGGTGCGGTTGCGGAGGAGCAGTTCCAATTTGCACACCGATATGATTTCGATCGCCAGTCCCCGTGCAAAGTCCCGTATTACTAGCAGTTCGCAATGACGGCGGCCGTGCTTTGTGGAGTTTTTTCCCCCTTAGTCTGGTGGAGGTTGCGGCTGTCAGCAGAATGCCGCCCGAGCACGGCAGGCTCAACTGAGATTTTCGCTCGCAAGGTACCTTGGAGTGGGAGCGTGGGCCTTATCTTATCGCGCCGTTTGGCGCAGGTACGTAGCTCGATGCTCAAACGAAATGTCACCCCTCGAGGTCTGTCATAAAAGTCGTCACAACTCGTTCGCCCACTTACATGCCATTCCATGAGGGTGGGCGGCTTTACGGCCGAACGACGAGTTCTCAAACGCATGACTACAAACATGCGGGCTCCCAGAAAGGTGTTTCTCTCACCTCACCCTCCCTCCACCGCCAACCCGTGCAAAGACATGCACTGCAACTCCAACCCGTTTTCCAGCTCGCCGTCCAGCACTTCCAACAGGAGCGGCACACCCCGTCCGTTGCGTTGGTGAACCAATCACCCCGATCCCCGTCCCGGGCGTCTGGGTTCCATTCATCGTCTCACGCCTCAGTGAGAAAGGCATGGCATCCCACTCCATCGGGCCCGTTAGCTCCCAACGCCTCCAGTCAAGGAGGAGTGGAGATTCCGCGACCGTGACATGGCAGGCAGGCGATGGAGTGCGTGGGAAGCGCGGAGGAGACTGGGGATGGGAAGAGGCGCGCCTGAACCTGAACCTGAAGGGTGTGAAGCGGGCCGCCGCCGGGGGCTCTAAGCAGAAAAAAGACGTAGGCAGCGACAAGCCCGTTCCGTCGTCACCCAGCCCGTTGTCTCTCACCCCCCTCAAGCCTCAATTTCTTGGGAGATTCCTTCTTCTGGGCAGAAGGGAGGGGAGGGGGGAGATCATCGTCACCCAATCCCGATCATTCGGGTCCCTCTCCCCCCTGCCTTGCCCTCCCCTCTCCTGCCTGCATCCCTCTGTTGGCCTGCATTGGTCTCTCGTGGGCCCCCCAACTGTCAACCTCCTGTCAAAACCCGGCCAGTTGGTTCAGCCACAGACTACGTGCCGCTTCCATACATGCCATTACTACGCCGTGACACACTCACACACACACCCACACACAGTCGAATCCCACGCGCCCAGGAGTAGCATTCAGCCTCCCCCAGCAGAAAAAGAAGCCCGAAACGGGCATCCCGCTCGCCCTGACTTGCGTAAGTGACTTGCGTTCGTGGGTGGTGTTGGAGGTGGGCTTTGTTGGTCTCCTACCGATTTGTCCGCCTGTCAACAATGCAACATCCACCGTCCAACGTCCTCCGTTCATGTCTTCCCAAAAGGACTCCCCCACCCCCCTCATCAACCTCAAAACGGATAGTCTCGGTGGATTCCCCCAGCATAGAGGATCGGGGGTTCGAGCGGCCATTGGCGCCAGAACCATCGTGTTCCCTCTCTTGTCTCTCCCCCGGGGGGAGGGGTCTGGGTCTCTGCCCGCCCTGCCCTGCTTTGCCTCGTGCAAACATGCAAGACAAGGCGCCATCATCGTTGCAGCCGTGCCCTGCCCGCCGCCGCCGCCGCCGCCGCCGGCGCAGCACTAGTCCCATCACGCTATTGGAAAAAGCGAGCCCAGCCGGGCGGGACGACGCACATCGGAGCTTGGAGGGTGAACTGACTGTGTGTGTGTGTGTGAGTGGGACATGTCGCGGGCGATGGCCATCTGAGTACGCAGAGACGGTCAGACAAACCAGCAAGCCCGTGCCGCTGCGGTGCTGCGGTAGTCCTGCTGCGTGTGTGCGCCCAACGCACCAACAAACGGACAAGTCCATAAATGACCCGTGTGCCCGTATCCGTTTTCACATACTCCGTATACAGGCCAGAGGGGGTTTTTAATACGAGCTCTTGTGGCCCCTCTTCGGACAGACAGGTGAGCCAAGTGGATTGGGGCTGGAATGCTTGTTCATTGCCTAACTGCTTGCTTGCCTGCGCATTTTCTGGCCTATTTTCTCTCATCTCTCTCTCTCTTTCTCGCTCTCTCTCTATATCTCCAACAAGCCCGGAAAACCCCCCATTTCCATCCAATGTTCGGGAATCAACGCACAAACAAAAAAGAACGCCACAGTGCTCGGTCGATGTTGGTGCCACCGACAAACACGGCCCAGACCAGCCCAACCCAGCCAACCAACACACCACCCCCCGCCTGCCCGTTCCCGACAGTCTGGATCCGTCCCGACAAAATCGGCCGAAGCTTCTGGCGGTCCCTGGTCGGAGTGGCGGAAACCAACTCTTTGAGCGGAGAGAGCCTCTTTGCCAAGAACCTTGCCAAATCCAACGTCACCCCACTCTCGAGGCTGGCTCCCAAGCTCCCTTCCTCCCCCTTCCTCCATCCTCTGTACTCCCTTGTCCTTTCCACACCACCATCGACCACACTGGCTCGTTCGGGGAAAATGATGTCGGGTAGCCCACAATGCCTTTCATTGCTTTCCTTGTCCGATACCCGGCGCTCAATGTAACCAAGAAATACCATACATCGTTAAGTAGTCCGCCCTTGCCCACTCGCCCATCCCCAGTGTCGCGGCACGGCCCGGAGCCGGTGATAGAAGCGTCCGGCCAGAGCATTCGACGTCAATGCTATCCTTCGTGTGGTATCGAAAAGCCCAGCTACCAGACAATGCCCTCCTCTTGATGCCGATCTCGACCATCTCGTTGCTGCGCCTTCCCAAATTATGCTCGGGCCCGGTCCTGTCATGAAACATAAAAAAATAAATGCCAATGCCGAGCAGGTTTGGAACTTCGGCGCCAGTGGAAGTCGACGTCCTTATACGTAGACTATCTCACTGGGTCCCAGTTCGTGCGTTGGCAGGACTCAGAAGCGAACTCTCTTGCCTACTTGAAAACTCAAAATCAAATCCGAACCGCAATTGTTCTCCTGGCCGCGAATTGAAGGTATAGTGGTACACAGTCAGGGCTGCCGTGCCAGGCAGGAAACAGCTTCGGCCTCAAAGCCTGTTTCTCTTAGCCTAGGCACCATTGGGGCCCGACCTATTATGCTTTCCTTATAGTTGGAGTCATTTGGCGTGACCCAGCAGCCAACATTATACGCGTAGCTAATTAGCGTTCCAGGAGTAATGGTTCATGCCGTCAAACGATCCCCGGTGGGCGCTGCTGTATGACCCGGGAGCTGGCGGCGCAGGTCCGTGATCCTGCTTGGGTGTCGGCGCAGAGCCTCCGCTCGAGTATTGGTCGGGGAAACCGTATGGCCGTCCCTCGCTGCTACTGTATGCCACCGTCGACGCAGGCTCACTGGCTGTCGTTGTCCACGAGCTCGAAGGCGGGTAGTAGTCCCGAGCGGGGCCGGAGTGCGGCGCGGGCGCCTCAGTCTTGTAGGATGGCGGCGCAATATCGCTGGGGTTGTTGCCGACGGCGCCGTACGAAGAACCATATCGGTATTCGGGAGAGGCCTCGTGGTGGGACATGGAGCCAATCGATGGCTGGCTAGCATGCCTGGGGCTCTTGGTTGGCCGGGAATTGTCGACGTATCTCGGCACGTTGAGGGCGTTGTCCGAGCTCGATGCCATCGCTGTGGCTGACACCGACAAGGGCGGCGGGGCAGTCGTGCTCTGCACATAGGCATACTGAGTCCTGATGGGAGGCTGATGCTGGTCGTTTGCCACCAACGAAAGCTGCACCGATGGCATCGATGTTTGCAGTGGCATGTCTTGGGGCTCTCCGCTGAAGCTTGTTCCGCCTGACAGCGGAACTTTGTGGTAGGGCTCTGCTCCCATCGTGGTCGCTGGGTAGCTTCCCGAGCCAGCCGGCGGTAGCTGCGACATGGGGACGGGGTTCGAGGACGACCAGTTGGGATACGAGCTGCTATGCGTCAGTGCGTGTTTACAAACATGCTGGCGAAACCCCTTCCACGCCCATCGAGTGACTGGCTTAGGTACGAAAAGGGGAAAGAGAGAGAAGTGGCTTACTTGGATCTCATGGCTCCCATCGGCGCTCCTGGCATCTTCGGACCTCCTGCGCTGAACGTGAAGGCAGAACGGGGCATCTGCATGTCCAACCCTCTTGCTTTGGCATCCTGCGGCTTGATGGCCAATGGCCCTGCCACGATGCCCAATCCTGTCTCAACCAACGCTTGGCCTCTGGAGCCGGCGCTGGACCCCAGCAGGGGGATCTCTTTTCTGGCCTGGAAGTTGCGAGGACTGCGGCCACGTACCACGATGGGCGCGGTTGTCGCTTCGGTAAGCACGATTTTGCTGCCGCTGGCCAAGGTTCCAACAACCTTGAGGTGAAGCACGAAGTGTTGCTGGAGTTCCTTCCGGCGCCCGTTGTTTGCCGTTGCGCTTTGCCAAGTTAGCCAAGGTCCGCTGCCGCGACCGCGCCCGGGGTGTACTCACATTCTAAACTGCAGCCGGCGCCAACCAATGGGGTATACTGCGTACTCTCCCTCGGCCTCGCTGCCATCGTCTTGGAAAGGGATCAAGGGGAGTGATGCTGGCTCCTGGTCCGGGTTCTGGGTGATCTCAGGGGAGTTGGGTGGGGGTGTCTTCCACGGGATAACGATGAGTCGGACGGGATGGCCGTCGACCGACTCGATTGCGGAGATGGTTACTTCGGTGTTGCTGACGGGTACAGTCTCGCCGGTCTCGGTAATGACGGAGAGCTGGCCTCGCGGGGTGATCAGAGAACCGCTGATCTGAAAGAGATTTCGTCGGTAGCATGTCAGCTCGGGCTGGAGGATGGAGCCGTCGGTGCTGTTGGAGGGCATTTCGGACAGGAAAAACATTCCATGAAGCTGCGCGGACAGCTCCAGCTGCTGCATCCGGCCATGCTGGTCGACGATGGTGTGCTTGTCTTGCACTCTCTTGAATGAGAGAAGCTTGTGGTCATGGTTGACGGTCAACTTGGAGCCGTCGTCCCGCGGATCCTGAACAATCTCCTGGTACGGAGGCTGCTCGGTCTGCGAGTAGGGTCTCTTGAGGTTGGGGAAGCTGTGGTGGGAGGTCAAGCTTGGATGCGAGTGTCGGTCGTACGCATCCGACTCGTCCTGGGGGTAGCGACCGTAGGGGTACGATCCGTGGTCTACACTCGGGTGGGTGCTTCTTGGGCGTCCCGCATGTGGCGAGTTGGAGGAGTGGCTTCCGAGGCCGGAATCCAGGCTGTTGTTGAATCGAGACGACATTTGGACGGGGCTTCCATAGTTCGACCAAAGGTTGGAATGCGCCGGCTCTTTCAGCTCTGCCATGACGGGGTAGATTACCGTGGTTGACATTAGATCATGCCTTGTTGGAGCGCTGCAGTCCTGTCCCAGACCCAAGCGCGCCTCTCCTTCACACAAAGATATGCGGTGGTCCTTGCTGGGTGATCAACAAGGCGTTGGATATGTTGTCAGACGTCCTGAACAAAGAGCAAGCAACGCGTAGGAGAGAGGTGCGACTGCGCTTTGTTATTGTCGAGCAGTGATGGCGAAGAGTCAAGAGATGCGGAAGATGCAGAGGTGAAGTTGAAGTTCAACGGACGACGGTCATGTTTAAGGTTGCAGGGAAAGATGTATACTTGTATCTGATGGGTTGGGATGGGTAGCAAGAAGGACGGTAGATGTTGGAGGGGGGTGTCTTATGAAAATCTTCGGCACTGTTCTGGGTGGATACTCTGATGGAGCAGGGCTGGGGAGGCCAGCCAAGGTCGAGTTTGTGTCGAGTCGAGTCGAGTCGAAGTGATGCCTCGACGGGATATTCTAATGCTGGACCGTTGACTTGTGCCTTCTTCAGCGGCAGCGGCAAAGGCAAGGTCACCGGTACAACGTAACAGCGGGTTCTTTGGACAGGACGGTCAGTGCATGCAGCCATACTTGGAAGGAGAAGGGGGAGAAGCGGGCGATCTGGTGAACGGAAGAACAAGGCACGCAATGGAGCTACGGCGATGGAGTGTGGGTGTGCCCTGCAGAGAGGCGACCAGGTTTAGGGGAATACCCTTCTTAGAAGGCGGCGCTATGGGGGAGGGGGGGACGAGGAGAGGAGACAAGTCGAGGTCCTGGACTAGGGGCGGCACTGAAACGGTTTGATAAGAGCAAACGAGCACAATTCAGGATGCCAGGTCCAGGGCGTTTGGGTCCTGTTGCAGCAGCAGCTCTCTGGGTTATGGAAGTGCATACGTGACGACCGGTCTAGTGATTGAGGAAGATGAGAGAGCTCCAGCATGGAAACCGCGCATCGAGGACGCCCATTTGCCCGCTGCATACGAATAGCCGGTCTATACATACCTCGCATATCCATATCTGCACCCACACATAAATCTGGGATAGGCAAGATGCATACACGTCCGTAGGTATCATGGACGAACACGGGTCGAGCAGCCCCGTTGGACGCACGCATAGTGTACACACTCTCTCTGTTTCTCTCTTGCGTTCGCGTTCTGTCACTCCTACTCCTCACTTGCTCGCGCCGCGCGGAGACTCTCGCGCACACACACCCACACCCACACGCTTCAACGCACCCCCGCTTCTGCCGGAGGCGTGAGCGAGTTCCTTGCACAAACTGGCATCGCTAGCAGCAAAAGGCATGGAAGAGAGTTGACGGCAAGCCTCCAGGGTTGGCACTACTGGCCCTGGCGAGCAGGGTGGCATGTGCGGTAAGTAGGTCCGTCAAGATGGAGGGACGGAGAAGAACCTGGCATGGATCGTACGGAGGCACGGGGGGGGAACCATCCCTCAAGGAGAAATCGCAGGCTGGAAAGGCCCCAAGGCCCCCCATGCCGACCAATGGAAGATCCATGGCGGAATGTCCAGGGGTCGAGGAGGGGGGTAGCTCGATAAGAGAACTAGACAGAGAATCCTCCGACAGCTGTCGTAGGCCAGTGGCCCGCAAATTTTCTAGAAGGTCGTTGGGCAGAGACGCCGATGAAGGGCAGGAAACAGAAAAGGTGTGTGGGCTAAGGGGGGTGTGTGTGGGAGAAGAGGGGGAAGAAAATCGGTTCACGAGATTGCTAGAGACTAGGGGCCGAGTTGAACTCGCTTGGGGCACACATCCATTTGCAACATCCCTGTCCGGGCATGGTGGAGTGGACAGGCAATGTTGAGAGAGGGTTAATATAATAGACACATGCGCCTGACTGAGGCTTTTGCTGGCGGGCTGGTCAGACATGAGGCAATGTTTCTGCTATTTTTCATGGTCGTTGTTCGGATGAGGGGGGGGTGGTTTCCAAAAGCAAGGCTGTCAACGGCGCGGTTCGTTCAAGCATCCAGGCCTCACAACTCTGCTTTTCTTTTGCTCGGGCTCGGCCGTCAACTGTCATGACTCTGGCAGGCACATGCCGGATTGAATCGCTCGAGAGGGGTGTGGCCGAGAAAGCAGAGACCAAAAGGCCATGGGGTCGAGCGTGAGGAAGAGGAAGGTAATTGAGCCGGCTGGCCAAATATGCTTGATGCCATGGTATATCGGATGCGTCCCACGACTCGCGATGCTGTCGCTTGCATCGCTCAAGGCCTCACTGCGCATGATTAGACTCATATGGAGATCCGTTATGACTTACATACATGGACGCTAGCGACCCTATGGGCCAGGCGTAATCTCCTGGGTCCTCCTTTCTCCCTCCTCGTGTCCGGCTCCTGTGCGAGGTGCTGCGACAAAAAAAAAAAAGCGAGGGCTCAAGGTTAATGTATGGAGACGACGGTGCCGGTCAATAATCCGAGAAACAAGTCAGGACAAGTGGCAACCACGGACAATCGTCAGGGAAGAAGGCGGTAGAGAGACGCACAGAAACCATACGAGACAGCTTGGAGCAGTGGAAAATCAGAATGCAGAGAGAGAAATAAAAGAGAGCAAGGCACAAATGCGGAGGCGTCCAGGCATGTTCGTGGCAGGAGGTCCTGAAAGGGGAAGCTAACAGTCTGTGCCCGCACCCGGGCCAGGGGTCCGCAAAAGGCGCAGGGTTGATGGGTCGGTCCTCATCATGGCAGTTGATGGAACCCGGATTGTGACGGGAGAGTACGTACCGCTGCCCCCGTAGTAGTCCCGCCGTCCGCGCAGGTGCGCAACCCACTCGACAAAAGTCGAGGTGCCGTGTCCGGCATACTACGAACCAGTCGCATTGCATCTTTGGCATTGTGCTGCTGCATTACTGCCAAGGTAGCTGGCAATTGTGCGCAGAACACCCGAGCTGGTGATAGTTCCTCGTTATTGGAGTTTCTTGCCTCTCCCCCTCTCACTTTTCTTTCTCTCTCAGGCCTCTCTCCGTCTGAAAGTCGAAATTGCGTGTGCTCGGATACCTCGCTCCCCTTCCCCAAACAAACGGAAGAAAGGGGACCCTGGGTAACATGAGAAAAAGAGGCAGCCCGTCTCATCAAGCCGCAAGGGGGAAAAAAAAGGGGGGGGGGGATACGTAATGTTAGCGACCGTGTCCCGGGATGCATAGTAAACAAACGACGAAGGTTCGATACGGGACGAGGCGAGGCGAAGCGATTTAAAAAAAAATAAAAATAAAAAAGATGATAGAACAAAAAAGAAGGTGGCCCTGAACAACACCGACAATCAACATCTCGTCGCGGTGTGCTCTGACAGGAGGATAGCTGTCTCACGCGTGGCAACGGGGGACAGTAGCAACGGCTCCCGAGGAGCTTCGAGGTAGGTAGCGTAGCAGCACAGTGCCAAGAAGCAGTGGCAGCAGACACAGAAGCGTCAGCAGTCCAATGCAAGGTAAGGAAAGCCGGCTTCCCATTCGCAGACGTTTGGACGTTTGTGCAAGGTACCTGAACAACTTCGACTTACCGACATGGATGAAGGAGCCGCGGCGCAATGGAGTACAGGTGATGGCGGCTGCCCGCCCGCCTTCCTAACCTCACGGCACCTCATCGGGAGGCAAGGTACAGAGGATTCTAGGTACGGACACTATGCAGTCTCCAGTAACGGTGTGTCTTGGAGGTGGGTCTCAACTTTGGCTTGTGTGTGCTTGTGGCTTCTGCTTGTTCTTGGTCGACGTCTTGGTACTGGGGGCGCAAAGGGGAAGGAATCACGGCCGGGTGCATGCAGAGACGATGCAGCTGGTGCAGTAGTGGCAGAAGCTTCGAGCCACGGCTGCAGCGGCGGCCGAATATGGCTGTTGAGAAAGCGTTGGTGGCCTTGGGGGTCTGGCCGGAGCGGCGGCCACATGGGCCAAGTCAAGCAAGGCGGCGCGCTGTGTAAGGTGAGGTGCGTTTAGGAAGTGATCAGTCACCAGATGCACACTCATGTCCACACGGATGCCGAGGGACAAGCAGACCGACATATGCGATTGCCTGCGTGGTATTGTGGAAATGGAAGAGTCGCGCGCGCCGTCTCCCGAGCGAGATTCGATCGGAGCGTAGTCCGGCCAAGTCGAGGGGCCACGGGGGGGACAAGTCGGAAGGTGGAGGATGGAAGCGGGACGTAACGTCTCACTCAAAGGCGTTGTTGCTAAGCCAATGATGCCTGAGGTCAGTTGAGCCAAGCTTAAAGAGCTATCGGTGCTAGGTACACACACTGCGTTGGCCCACGTCCATTGTCTAAGCACCATCTGGGAAGGTGCCTCGCTCATTGACGTTCGATATTGAACTGGTGACTGGGTCAAGAGATATTGGAACAAGGGTTAGGTAAGTCATTATCCGACGTTGATGCTTCTGCCAGATGTTGCGGACGTGCGGGCATTGGGGGCGTGGGTTACCGATGGCAACTATCGATGGCGGATTCTCCTCTCCTTTCCAAGGAAAACACAGCTCAGAGTCGGTCCTTTGCACAAGATGGCTCAAATTGCCGCAGCCGGTCGACAAGGAACAGACCTCGGGAACGAGTCGGGTGGTGCGGCAGAAACTCGGAGGCGGATATGCAGGCTGTTTCCGTCTGTCATTATAGAGAACCGAGAAGGGGCATAAATCGATAACAGTCGGGGTTCCAAACAAAAGCAAGCCCGTGATCAAGGCCACGGCCATGGTCATGGTCATTGCTCAAAGGCGCCTGTGATCTTTCTTGCAAGGTCAAGGTCAAGGTCGAGAGAGACGGGACGGGGCCGGAATCCGGAGCAAGCCCAAGCCGGAAGGGGAAAGAGTTGAGAGCCAGCCCAGGCGCCGGTGCATAGGTTGTCCGAAGCTTCTTACTGCGCGCAGTGTAGTGTAGATTGAGTGGAAGAAGGACTCGTGAAGGAAAGCTCGCAGATTGTCCGAGTATCTGACTGCCATGTCTCACCTGCCTTGACCTTTGGACATACTTGATAACCAACCTTGATTATTGAACGTAA